TGCACGCCAGAGCTTGAATTTATCCGGCCCCACCGAGGCTTAATCCCCAGCTTCTCCAGCAACCTGCCCACGGGAAAATCAAGCGCGCATCAGTCTGGAGAGCCCTCGAATTCGTTGTCGATGCCACAGAACGCGTCAAGTCTTGGTGTGCACAAGCTTTTTAGCAGGACGATCGCGTAACGTCCACCTGCGTACATACAACGCATTGTGCATTTCTCTAAGTTCCCCCACTTACTCACGTGAAAGTGACACTTCTTCCCAGGTCATGTGGCTCTCCGGGCATGCTTGTGCATGTAAGCAGCCACGTGATCTGTCGACCTGGGATCCGGTGGTAAAGGTCGATGAAGTTAATATTAGGGACGCTGCTCGAGCCTTTCTCCCCAAACGCTTAGCTTCTATCGAGTGGGCCCCAGGGACTCACCCAAAACGTAGCTTTCCCGTGCATTTGCTAATTGGTGGAACATCATCTACAAGGCCCCGGATTAGGAGGGCTTGCCCGTCAACAGTCACGCTACTTTAGCGTCGGACTAGCGTTGCACCTGGAAGTCCTTCCGGCACAGACGGACGCGGTACTTAGAAGAGTTTAGCGTCATCTTCGAAAAGTTAGAAGTGGCTTCATACCAACACGCCGCGAAACACAGTGGCAGGCAACGGATACGAGCCCTTTTCAAATGTTGAACAACGCGGCTGCGGCTATTAAAGTCACGGAGGAATTATGGCGCCAGTCCAATGATCTAAATTGCCTTACGACCGAGTGGTCATGGATACCCGCTGTTGCCCCAGATTGTTCCGGGCTACCCAGGTCCAAGGTTCTCGCACATCAGTGGATACTCATTACAGCAACGTGGGCGGCGACCAAGAACCAGCACTTCTGGAATCGCGTTTAATATGTAGTAAATCGCCGAGATCATTTATGAAGAAGGCTTTTGCGCAAGATTCGGCAGAGAGCCAAGGATTCCATGGCTTTGTGGGGATGCTGGCTTTCACGATTAGGGTCTCCATGTCTATCTACAATTCCCTTGCTCTTAGCCCGCAGACACATCGTTTTCATCCCAAATGTCTTCCGTGACCTATGGACTTGAATAATATACTAGTTGAAACACTTTTGAAGCCTTTACAGACACAGTATAGCTGCGGAAGTCACCGGATACACAGGCCCATTTATCTACTTGGAATTCCTTGGTATTCCATTTCCGCAACTTCAGCCTCACTCCAGGGAAATCCTATACCACTCCAACAGATATTCACGATATCATTTAGCCAAAGTCAATATGAATATGCCACTGGTCATTCAACCCGACCAAGCTGCACTACCGAATATATTCAGTGTGATTTAAAAGCTTTCCAAAGACAAGACGAAACGTCACGTTCCTAGGTATTCTAATGTCAGCTAAGTTATTGTTCTTCGCATTGCAGACGCTCCATCAACACTCCAGGTACAGTCACCGAAAGCAATCTTTTGAACTACGTAACGAAACTTGCATCATTAGAAGTACCGGGAGTTTATCATAATCATTGTACAAGGGGTTTTTACTCATCAAGCGTCCACTGCTAGGGACGCAAATGGTGTATTTCCACGCGGAAGTTGCAAGAAACAATGGACGAGTTCATTACGCGCTACAAGCAGTCTGGTTGAATGGCATCAGTGTCAGGACACAGGTCTGCACCCACTGCGCCAGCATACCAAAAAGGTTACAATGATCAATCAGCGATTGATCACAGTGCAGAATAGTATATATCGTCAGCCAGGCCTGACAATCAGTTTGTATAACAGAATGATTCGAGGGCTCCTGTGGCTATATAGGAGTGCGCAAACACGTCACTGGAGGCAATTCGAAGAGACATCTCGGAATTCGATGGGCGGAAAGAGTTTGAGATTTTGTTGTGGTGATCTAGGGTTGACGTGCGAAGGCTGTCTCAGGCGGCAGCAATCTCAGAAATGAGATTGAGGCATACCCCCTCCTTCGAGATCAGTGACACGTTACCTCCGTGCACGATGATGTGTAGCTTGTAGGGCTCTTCGCTTCTCCAAGGTATGCGCTACGGAAGCGGTCATCTTCACGGGCTTGGCGTATGTCTCATAAGTCTTGAATTGCTGCAGGATCCATAGGAACGCTGTCGTACACAGTGCGCATCATCTTTGGAGTTACCCTTCCAACGCAGGCGGAGAAAGTTGCGATGTAATGCTCACTTGTCTGACCCAACACGAGAATTTAGTGCGGCTCTGCTACCTTTGACTCGGATCTGAGCCAATAAGGGTTGAACGTGGCCTGTGCTGACATTGCGGCGTAGTGCTTTCACCCGACAGCTCGAATCAGTCTGCAAGACAAGATCAACAATATGCATAGTCATATAACCCGCATAGATTGGATGTTATTGAATGTGTACCAGCTTGTTCAGCTATTGGATGATCCCTGTCTTCGGGGACCACTTGTGTTGCTTCTGCGGGAAAGACGTTATCGCAAGGACGAGTGCTTTGAAGGCGGGAGGGAGGTTCGGGACACTACAATGTCTATCTTCAGATCTGGTGCCGGTGGATCTAGGGCTACTTTGCCGGGACACAATATTGATCTGCGGAGACCTCATCAGTTGAGTGCGCTCGTGACATGCCAAGGTACCTCTCCAACGACGATGTATGCCTCTGACCGCTGTTTCATAGCAGCTTATTGGTTGCTTTCCCGGTCAGACATACATGTGGCTATCCTGGTGGATGTAAGACTCTGAACTGAGCTCTCAAGAGACACTTGTGCTGCACCTATTATGCGGTAAGCCGACAGGAGTCGACCACCTGGCCGGCAGTTATTACAATTGCCAAAGATGATGTTTGATAGGAAATCCTGTTGCACAATCTGCATTGCTGACATTATGTGAGAGTGTACGGGCCAGAATCCAAATGCATAATGTAACTAGGTCGAGCTCAGCAATAATGCAAATATTCCATGAAGTACCACAGGTGTGTACTTGTAGCGTGCGTGAGAGATAGAAAGAGTGTGGGTCTTATTGTCTTAACGATCGCCCGGATCCTGTGCCTCTGCCAGATGGATATCGCCTCGCACCCATATGTATTGCGATATAGCCGAATGGATTGTTTCTAGCACGATACCAACGGGTCGTACAGACTCACGGGCCGAAATGTGACCCTGTCTTTCAAGTCGGCAATCTGCGTGAATGGCATCCTACCATTTGCGCCACCTCAGCTTGCGCTTAACGGAACTTCATGCGAACCCCACTTACTTTGACTACTTCTGGACAGGCGTTCCAAGAGAATGCATAGATATCACAATGATGTAATCATCGATTGCATTGTTTAAACGCATGACCATCATGTGAACCCTGTCAATGTGTCTGGTGGTACTTATGGCTGCTGTGGCTGCTGTGGCTGATGTAACGCCCGTCTGACCGGTAGCAATGTCTAGCAAGCATGGATCTGCATTTCTAGAATTGGCATTAACCAGGGTATAGCGCGAGATAAGTGCGTACGTACACTAACGATACTGGAACCATGTTGGAGCATCCTTGACAGGCTCAACATGTTTCCAGTTGACCAGACATGATCAGAATGAATGCCGGAGATGTCTAGTGCTGATCGCGCCACGATCGAATTATCACAATTCTGTTAGCGCCAGCTTGCCAACGCTGACTATGCTGAGGATGAGCGGAATGTGTGTGTGAGGCATACTAGGTACGCCGCAATGTTGAGATGGGGATAGAAGAGCAAGATCGGCCTCCAGCATGCTTACCCCTGCTGCTTGTAGCTTGTGTGCGGGAGATCAATATGTGGCACAGGATGTCGCGCATGCTCCCGAGGTGGGTGTGCTTTGCGCTGCAAGCAAGACGTGCTATTGCCTGCCCAGGTTAAGACCGGCTCTAAGACCTACCACATCGATGAACTCCTTCTAGATTCGCTTCATCGAGGTGCATAACGTCACAGTCTTTTCATGGGTTTTCCCTGCGAGGCCTATCACCAATCATACTCCTGCTCGTCCTACTAGCAGAGTCACCATGCGGATCCTTCATGCTTGAGGCGGTCAGCCGTGTATGCCTCAATCCCACGTGAATCTGCCTTATCGGTGGTGAATGCCCTTTGGAGGTCCCTGGCTCCTTGAGGCTCAATATGTACCGTGCCGTTTAAGGTTGCGTAGCAGTGCAGATGGACCAGGCAGCGGAGCTGGGAAGTTGACAGCACGATGTCCTGCATGCCGCATCGCCGTCCAACCAGTCTCATGCCGAAGATTCAGACGTTTCTGACAGGGCGATCATTGATCCCTTGGAGAACTTGCAGCAGTCCTTGTTCAAGCATGCGTGGCTTGTACTTCGCTGTGCCTCGTCAGGTATGAGGTTGCGTGCATGTGATAAGGTGCAATACTCAATGTGAGCCTCATGCGCCTTGCATGAAATGATTCACCGCTATTCTGCACCGGGGCGAGCGAGTCTGTCGACAGCTGCCAGCTTTAGGACGTCATGACCCACGGCTTTGTTGGCGGCATCGTGTGAACAGATGGCACTTGAACACAATTGTAACTGCGCTCGACCATGTGAGGCAAATGCTGTTGTCAAAGGGCACTGCCTTCGTATCGAGCGCTTTGCAACCAGAATGAAGTGAAGTAAACTGCGGTCTTAACATCGACTGGCTGCTGAACATCTGTCAGGGCGTCGGAGATGGCCGTATGCGCACATAAACTAGGCTTTGACCATCGCCGGGCCCGCCAAGCGAGTCAGGTGTGCCCTTTCGGGCTGTGTAATGTTGAAGCGCCTCATGAAGGTTGAAATCCGCCATTGGTGTTGCGCGACGAGGGGGCTGTTGTAGGCAAACCTGCGCCAAGGGACCTTATCCTTCGCCTAGTATGCCACCACGCAATGTGCCCCATGTTTCACTGCAGTAGTGCATCATAAATCTACCGCTTTATGTCTTTCTTTATGTCCCTCTCTTTCCCAATACTTACCCCTTTGTACCCCTTCATTCAGCTGATCTTGCAGACATTCGAGCTGCCTGACAAGAGGCAGACAAGAGACTGTGGTTACACTCCTTCCACAGTTTAGACTGCCATCGCGTGCCAGTATCTGAAGCTCAGTCATGAGTGAGACAGCGGGTGGCGCCCCTCTAGTGAACATGAACGGCAGCTTCCAGACCCATGAGGAAGACGAGAGTACCTCGGCGTACGATCATCGACCGATCAGCGACCATGACGACATGCGGCATTACAATACATATGAGGCTTATCCTTCGTTTCTTCCTTTGGCACCTCCGTTCCAGCAGGGCTCGTGGGAGCCGCGCGCACCGGCATCACCCTGCCCAGTGATCACAGGGACTTTCTTGTCGAATGATCCTCTCCATGGTAAGATGAATGGTGCGAGGGAAGATAGAAAAGAGACTGACGAGAAATAGAAAGAAGTCAAATGATCCACGATAATGTCGCGAATGGGGAGTGGTACACAAACGGGTACTCCGACAGTGTGGCAGCTAGACCACACGGTTCGACCGAAGACCAGCCACAAGGATATGGACCACACCAGTGGTCCTACTCTGAACCAACAGTCATCACGGGACCGAATGTCGCATATCGAGCGAACGCGACCCATATACAAACTCCTTCGTACTTGAGTGATGCAGGACAAGCATCAAGATCACAATTCCCGGCCAACTTATCGCTCGATGCCACGCAAGAGCCCTGGTCAGCTGTCGCTGCCCATCCTGGTGGATACAATATGCTTTCAAGCAACTTACAATCGGGCGATGAAATTTCGCATTACCCAGAGAACACAATCAGCAGCACTTCCTCTTTCATCAACGGCACGGGTGCGATTACACCAGATTCGTCATGGCCGAACAATGTGGTTGACCAAGCTGGATCATGCAATTTTGGTCCGAGCGTGTTGAGCATTCGCATGAAGGACGTAGAGCATGAGACTCACGGTTTGCAGGAGCAGGGTGCGTCCCAGTTTCAATACAATGTCCAAGAAGGATCGCCGTCGATTAACCATAACGTTCACGAACATGTCGCTGCTCCTAAAGATGCTTGGTGAGTAGATCATTTCGATGTGTGATCTCGGCTGATGCTCCTAGGTACGCCGGCGGAAGCCAACATTTGGCAATCCAACTTCCGTCACGCTCATTGTCCACCGCCTCACATTCCGGGTCGGATCAGTCAGCCAGGAGATCAACAGGGTGCCTTCCAGATGTGCTTTCTTGCCCTGATCCCACGTGCGATGCGATCTTTCGTGGACATCATCGAAAGGGTAGTTTCAATCGTCATCGCCGACTGAACCATCAGCCTGATGGTGCTAGAATATACCTGTGCGGGCACCCATCCTGTGAACATGTGTTCAAAAGGCAAGATGCACGATTGAAGCACCATAGAAGCCGCCATCCAGAGTTGGGTGAACAAGGGCCCGTGCCTCGTTCGCGACAGTGCGAGACACAAGATGAATTACTTCGAGATGTATCAGGCTGGACAGGACCGATGAGCGACGAGAATCATTATTACTGAAGATCCAAGCACTGGAGCCAGCCAAAAGTCGATCCCTTTTACCCAAGCTTGAGTATTGAAAAAGCACTTGCCTAAGCAAGTTGTTGGTAGGTGTCATGCTGATTGAAACGACCCCGGGAAGAGAGAGATAGCTTCAGCTCAAGCAGCTTGGTGTATGATTCTCCATGAAAAGAGCATACCTTTGTAAGTTGCCCCAGATGGAGACTCATCCGATTCTTCTGAGAAAGATGTGTTTCTAATTGTGTAGATTCTATCGGGTCGCGATAGGCGAGGCGAGGCAAGGTCATGGAGCAACTTCGGACAGCTGGGACAGTTTGGAAAGGAATGACAAAGTCCGAGCGACGATACATAGACCACCCGGTACGACGTCCTCAGTGCGAGACAGCTTGCCGGGGTTGCAATAATACAATAGGATAGTCGCGCAATGCATTGTGTCTTGGTTCCAGCGGAATCGCCTTCGCTTCAACATGCAAATTGATATCGATATTGTCTTTCCCGGGACCTTGTTGACGGGATAGCAGAGACTGAGATCGGAAATGGATCAGCACGTCTTCCGAGCACGCAGCAGCACAGAGTGTGTACACGTGCTTCTATTTCCCCGTTAATCTTTTTAGCGGTCATTGTATTTAGGACATGCGATGAGGTGTGTGGCATAGCAGAACGAAGTTTATCAAAGTCCAATCAGAACATGATATCCCGAGGTGCTGGATGGCATGCGAAATGTCCATGTGGCTGATGTCCAAATGCAGTTGGCCGAGGCAATCCTGCTTTTCTTCTTCGCTCGTGACATAACAGAGAGGCAGAAAAAGGCAGATATGTGTAGCCTTCATACGTAAGCGTATCCGCGGAAGGAGCGCTTTCGTATAATCATAGCTCATGCGCGCTCGAGGCGTAGCTCTCACAGACACTTTACATAGTAAAGACAGGAGCATGCGATCTCCAAAAACAGGGTGCGTCCGGAGTAATCTCGTTTGAGAGAGACGAAAACGATGAACTGTTCGGCTCTCATCCCGTGCTGGGGTTGAGTTTTGGCCCCCACAGATATCGTTTACCGCCGTCGATCGTAAGCCGTATGCCGATTCAATCAAAGTGAATTTGGTCTGTCATTTCCGGCTCTTCGGCTCCACGTTGATGACGCGCGCCTCACGTAACTCGCCCCGATAGCTCAGAAACGATTGGGGAACCCCACGAGGGCTCTCGCTGGGTGCAACTGCAGGTGCGGGACAGATTGCGTTCATGCGACGATATGGCAGATGTGAAGTGGGGCCAAAACCTGCAGGGTGGCCGTGTGTGGTTAGAGTCCCCTGCTGGATTTATTGTGTGGCTGCTGCACCTCGGTGGAACGCATACAAGCGCAAGGAAATCGTGCTCGAACGATCGCTTCTGGCGGCTTCGTATGCAAAATTCGGCGTTCGAAGGTGGTTGGGGTGTTTCACTAGGCCCGTTTCGTTCATGTCTCGTAGCAGCTGGCAATTGGGTCATAACATAGCTTCGTAATGAAGCTCTTGCGCTCAAATATGTTGGTAGGTCCAGCAATGTTCTCTTCCATACCGAGTGCTTTCGTGTGCCAAGGTTGGACGTAGCCATGTCTTTACGAAGGGCAAAGCTACCATCAGATATGACGGAGTCCGCCCAGGTTTGGGTCAAGATTGGCGTCCACATATCTGCTTCCCACCCTGCATAGTTCGTCTGCACATGAGCTGCGAACGCGCCTAGTCCTGTCACAACTCACAAATGTGATTGGTTTTGTGACGAGAAAGCGGCTCTGCGCTGAGCGTTGATTGGTGGTAAAGGCTCGACTGAGGCACTGAGGCGTTGCTCTCCACTTCAATGCTCATGTTTGCAACGCCTACATGACAGCTGTTGGATGGCCCATGTGCGTCCAGCTACGGCTCCACATCGTCCCATATATGTGGCACAGTTGCTCGTGCGCCGGCCTCAGGTCCATGATTCGGACGACATGGAAACCATCGTGGATGCAGCGCTGAGATATGACCTTGTCTTTCATCGACATGCATGGATGCATCTGCAAGTAAGAGGAAAACCATGAAATAAGCAGTGAGCGTTGCCAGTCCGTAAGCCACCATCCTTTCGTGGCCATGTGGGTTGCAGCCCCATGCAACTTGACGCCTACATAGCTTTGGGGGAATACAACCGACCTATCATGGCACCTTAGGATGCGCACCTTCCTGCGCAATCCTCTAACGGCTCGGCCCTGCTGTTTGTTGAAGGATAGGCGTGGGTGATCTACTGCGTTGGATTGTTCAAAGAAGTCCCTGTTTCCACCGCGTTCTGTCGTTGGTTTCCGGAATCTTTGATTTGTTCCTTCTTGCGGTCTTGCCCACTCGCACGTGTACATCATCACTTGTCCACCCAGTTGTTCTTATTGCTCTTTTCAATGCCCGTATGACCGACGCCCTCAGGCGACTTGTGTGCGCCGACCACCTTCGGTCAGCTTCAGAGCTGAGAGGGTTGTGTCTACAGCTGTCGCCTCTGTCGACACCCTCGACACCTTCTACCTCTTTCGAATACCCTTCCCTCGACAATGGCTCTCCCAACATATGAAGTTCTGGTTTACAAGGTGTGGCTTAGAACAGACTAGTGAGCCTTTAGGCTCTGGTGCTGCACATCGGCATGTCGCAACAAACGATCTCTCTAAGCTCCCGCTGTAAGTATGAGTTCTGTTTGCGAAGATCGGGAACAAAGAATCGTTTGGGAATGGAATACCTCCTGTGAGAACAGTTTCCAGATGAGAGAAGTCTAACTGGCAAAAGTGTTTTCGATCCGACATGATGGTTTTGGTTGCCATGCAGCTAAGCCCCGTCCAACAAGGAGCTACACACGTGGAGGACGTCGTGCCGATGGTATCGTCACACCGTCTACACAGGGTGCTCGATATTTTCGCAGAGAATCGTCTCGTTCGGTCCTCGATACATCAAGTCGGCTTCGACTACTCGGGCTTGCGTTCTATTCAACTACGACTGTTTCTTGGGAGAATAAGTTGGGCCTCCATCTATTCTCCGATAGGCTCGATTCATCTTCCCGGTTGCTCCTTGCACCACCGTTTTTCTCCGCTCGACGACACGGGCAAGCAACCACCTCGGTGTGACAATACCTGTAACCTCGTCGTACCCCTTTGAATGGTGTCAACGTCCAGATTCTACATTCCAGGAGCGAGCGATATATCGTGGACCGTTCCAGAGAGCACCGAGCGAGATCGAAGTGTCGGATAACGTGACAGTCCTCCAAAGCAGCGCAAGAGGCGTGTGTCGCACGGAGCCCTCCCACGACAACCACGGCCACCTTGTCCACCTTGTCTACCTCCCTCCCTTTTAAGCTCATCCACCTCATCACCCCTCAACGAACGCAACCTCTCAGCGCTTTCCCTCCTTTTTGCTTGGGACAGCCCGACGCTTCTTTTCTTGACTCAGACGCGGCGCTACACTTTCATTCGCACACCACTGCTGCCATCTCCACAGCTGGCCTTCAGAACAAAGTACCCACTGTGCCGGCAACGAGGATTCCTTGCAACTGACCAAGCGCATCGTGCCTTTTCTGCTGCAAAGCTCTTGCAAAGCGAGAGGAATTAGAAGCGCTTGGTGAGCGTTGGGACGCGACTGCAAAAAGCCTTCAGGTCCATTCAACACGATCATGGAACCCGAGCCGTGGTTTGACGATTTCCTCATGCCGGACGCCAGTGACTGCGACCCTGGAACGAATCACCAGTTGGAGATGGCGCCGGTGCCGCCAAGCACCACCAGCTTTCAATCCAATAGGGTTGACGAAACGTCACTCCTCCTGACCGGTGCGAGCTTTGGTGTCGAGTCCAACACTAATCAACATTGGACGAACAACTACCAGGAGTCCTTTGGGCGCGAGACCACCGTGCCTCATCCCAACATGGCCTCGAACAGTCAGGATCATGGCTTCCTTGATTCTGGAGAGCTGGGCGCTTCCTTTGTCGAAGACAACAGCATACTAGAATCCGGCTATCCGCAGATGGTCTATAACGATGTCAACGATTGGCGATCTGTTAATGGGCACCGGAGTCCATTACCAACCTTCAGCATTCAGCATGACGGCGAAACGCCAAGCGACAGACAGCAACTCGATGCTGGACAGGGCTCGGATGGCTGGTGCCATAACCACCATCAATTTCCGTCAACGGAGGACACGCACGGATCGAATGAGTTTTACCACTCAGATTCTGTTGCTGGCCAAATGCCGACTGTCTTACTGGAGAGCCTCATCAGCACGCTGATTCTCTTGATGGAAACATCCCTGCGATCGCACGGAGACCAACACGTACCATCCGATGCGGTAGTGATAGTGCACACTCGAGCACCTTGGAGTCATCTAGTGCTGCACGCTGCGCCAAACATGGCACCCAGCTGCCCTACCTGTACCTTCCTGGCTAGTTCAAGCCGCGGACCGGACTGCCCACCAATTGTTCATGCTCGCTTCTTTCGAACACAAGAACATCGGCAACCACACCAGGTTCGGCGTTTACCGGAATTGCGGATGTTTTTGACACACTGCGAGATGCAGCGTCTGGAGGCGCTATGAACCAGTTCCCACAATACCAAATGCGCGGCTTCAATGGAAGTCTTCCTGTTGTTCATGGCGCGGAAGATGGATTTTATACACCAGAAACCCATGCTGGGTACTTGTCGCCACATCCAGAAGCCGACAGAGTTCCGCGGTTAGTGTCAATCACTGCAACGGAGCTCAACAGTATGCTGACCAGCACGTAGCTCTCGTCCCTCATTCTCCGGGCACACTGAGGACTCATCGTCAGTCATCTCAGCTGCTAGCAATACTCTCTCCCACGGCTCAGGAACCTTGTCTTGCCCTGAATGTCCAACAACGTTCTCAGGGCCATATGGACGTGGGAATTATAACAGGCACAGACGCCACAAGCACGCGCCATCCGGAAGCCAAGAATATCCTTGCGAGGTAAAAGGCTGTGGCAAGACATATCTGCGCCCAGATGCACGACTGAAGCATTATCGCAAACGGCACGCGGATGCACGTGAGACTGGACCACCCAAAGCTCGCAAGTCGTTGTGTCATGACAACAAGAGTCTGGAACCCAGATACCAAACATAGCCTCCAGTGGGTCATTGGACTTTGCAACTTCACATACTTCCAGGTTCAGGTCTCGTCCTCACGCCTGCTCCGCATTCATGAAGTATGATCCGGCTTCAGGTCTCTTTTCTCGAGGCTCAGGCTTCTTAAGACAACCTTTCCATGCCATCTCTTTCAAGTTCAACAGAACGGTCTTTCTCCACTGCAGTTCATCTTCGGGCCATGACGTTTATGTCCGCGAAACATTTCCGTATGCAACGAGTTATGTACCGCGCTCATTCTTTGAAACGAGGCTGACCCTTCAGCCATATCTCCTTTGTATATCTCCTCCGCTTGTAGCACATGATGATGTATCCCTCTTACAACGTTGCTGAATTCTGTATCTCTTTCATATGTCTCTGCTCTTAACAATGTCGCCCCCTCTTGTATCCCCTCTACATGTACATTTCTTCGTTTCTTAATGCGTGTTCCTTTGTAGCTGGAGTTTGGAAGCAGGGGCTGTATGAAGGTGATAATGTCTCCGAAGACTCATCTCTTGTGATGAGCCTTACGAACAACAAAAAAATGATAATGGGTTCCGGCGTTTGTTTATACGTGGTTCGTTCGGAGAGACACAGGCGTTGTCGGTAAAAGTTAAACGATTACGGTGCAGCTTTGGGATATGACCGCTCGGGAACGAAGGTAGACATGCTCGCTGCCTGTAGATGGGGGCGGCCTCGCAAGAGTTGGGAGCCTAGAACGACATTCATGTTATCTCCTTGTGTTGTAAGCCATGCGATGATCGTTCGTATATGGCTTTCGTCGGCAGCGGGGAGGGTCGCTTAATGATGGTGTCGCGTTCGAGACACGGTTGTCGAACGCTGGTGGTGGTAGTCCATGGAAAAAAATCGTCGTCGTCTCATGACACCCTTCTCCACCTTCTTTTCGAATATGTCTCTTGTCTCTTCTCCGTCAGCATGACCATGCTTAGCCGGATTCAGTCTTTGTCAACGGCCTTGGTCCTTCGGTAGCCTGCCGTGATGGTGTTATCCAGGCAGACATCGTCAGCCCGTTGTCCCGCGTCTAACATCAACGAGAAGTTACAGTCCAGAGGATATGTCTAAGGGTTAAAACTTAGGTGACCAGGTGTCGCGAGATGTGTGTGGAACCAGACGGCTAATAGTGGATCCGGCGTGTTACAATGAACAGACGTCGTTGCAAGGGGGAAGCTACGGCGCTCCCGGGCTTCTTGGCGTCGGTCTGTTCCAACGTCCTCCAATACTCCTGCCCTAGGGACCCCTTCCGCAACCCCATTGCACGATCTGCTTCTTCTCTTATCCATGAACGCTCTGACTGTACTGCGTACGACTCTCTCATACTGTGTCAGACGCGCGATGTATGCCAATCATAAACCTTTTTCCCACTTCCAGAGGAATGCACTGCCTCTCCGATGCAACTTATCAGCTTCTCTACCTTGACTTGATGATGGCTAGACAGGTCATCAGCTATGACATGACAAAGACCATACATTATGGGAACAGAATGGTGTAGGAGAAAGGAAGCTGATTAGCTAGATGCTTTCGAATCCCAGTCTTTCTAGGAATTTTTCGCCTCCTGGGGCGACTGCTAATGTCCAGCAGATTCGACAAGCCCAACAAGTATGACTCCGTGTGCAGCCAATTCGGTGGTGAATGTCTAGGTTCATGATCAGGCAACGTTGACATGCATACGAGGTACACCCTCCCGAGCCACTGCACGCCATAGCGAACCATCTGGATGAACGGGATGGGCCCAGGAGCTGGAATCAAATAGGAATGAGAGCCCTGTATGTGCAGGATTCTCCTGCTATCCTAAACCCTAAAGTGTCGAAGCCCTCCTTGCTCAAACACGCGCAATGCCAAAGCGTTGCTAAGCCCAGAACTCTGTGCACACACCCATTACGCCATTAGACGCATCTAAGCAGTTCGGAGCTGCCGCAATCCTACAAAAGCTTTTCGTGGGTATTATACTCGTTATGACTAAATACGATGCACCGCCTCCTTACTCGCCACAGCTCTACTTGGGAACCCTCGGGCGAGCATTCTGGAACCAGCGAGCAGGTCGCCACTCCCATCAAGAAGTTCTGTCGTCCACATCTTTCGTAGGATAAGGAGATGTGATCTCAAGTTACCCTTGAAGCACGGATACTCGTTGGCTTGAACAGGGCTGAAGTTACTGCCTCAGGTGGGTGGTCTTCCAGCCGCGTGCATGAACTTGATCCCTGCAAGGTCATGGACTTGCGGCAAAAACCAATTACTCGGACGCAGAACTGCAGCTTTAAGATACCGATGGGCCATAAGCCTGCAGAACATTTTTGCTCAACGCAACGACAGCTCATCTTCGACCTGACGCGCATTTCAGCTAGGAGCCTGATCGCCGGTACCTGTATGCACGGAAACCCAGGGCCAACAACCCAACGATGGTTCCGATGGAAACGCTCCACTCGCCGACGTCGAACAAACTTCACATGCCGAGGGGAACCTGACACGACAGCCGAACTGCGCATATACACTCATCCTACAGCTGCAGCCACATCACACAACACCTACCACAATGCACTTGGACCGCACCGACCAATTTCGCAGACCAGCGCACAAACATGCGATCTTGTAGCTGAGCGCACAAACACGAGGGCAGACACTACCGACTGACTTCACAGGCCAGAGCACGTACCGACCACCGATCAACACCAGCACGCCAGCACACTCGCCCTCAGGCATCCGATCCCGAAGCAATACCGCTAATACCTACTCCTCCTCTCGCCAACGAGCATACTTTCGCCAATGCAAGCCTCGTACACCAGTACCGCAAATAAAGCCCGACAATGTCGAGCCGAGGCAGGTCTACCGGACACAAAATCTGCAGTCAATGAAGCCCAACAAAGTCAAGATGAGGCAGAATCTATTGGATGCACATCGATCGATGGCCTCGAGAATGCTTACTTGCTTGCATACAAGAATCAATACCTGCAGCCGCCGATTCCTGCCACCAGCACGATAGACTGAGCCCCCCTAGCCAATGGTGCTGAGGCAATCCAACCGGATCGATAGCCTCGAGAATGCTTGCTTGCATGCCGGAAACGATATCTGCGGTATCCACACAGCGATGTCTAGCCTGCAGTCGCTACCAAGCCACAGGATATATACATGTGACGAGGCTACACACGACCTATCGCTTTGTAGATTCGTTCTGTTGACGATGTGACCAACATGATAAAATCCTCCGAGTGAGTAATGGAATGAGGCGATATTTACTGTGTGATCAATCACAAGCACCAAATCTGCAGGTGGGTGCGAAAATGGTACTCATCTTGCGAATTCTCTCGATTGTTCATTTACGTAGATCATACCGTGAGTAGGTTGCACGACAGCTGCTATACTATGGAAATGTTGACCGCCTCCCTACCACACCACACACATTATGTTGCCTAGCCCTGGCGGTTCAGTAGCATAGGTCGATGCTGAACTCGTGGATCGAACCCTGTAGAAGACAACGCAGACCACCCATTCTCGTCTACCGACCCAGTGGTCCCATATTCGCGGCGCCTCCTGACCTCCTTGACTTCTTTCCCTGGCCACCCAATGCAAAGCTGCCCATATTACCCACATTTCGCGATATGCTCCCAAGTGGCTGTCGGGTCATCGGTGACGCTTGATACGAAGGGCCGCTGTCGTGGTTGAGAAGGACGTTCTGTCGTGTACCACCAAGTACTGGCAGGCGGCTTCGCTGGGAGAGACCTGGTGTACCAACTGGGGCGGCTTCTAGAAAACGATGAGTCAAAGCACATCACCAAAGGCTCTGAGTGAACGTACGACTAGAACCCATTCTGTTGCCCAGACCATGGCCTTGGAGGTGAGGCGCATAGTGCTGGCTCAGTCCTATGCCTTGTCGATGCTGGCCACTGTCGCCGGAGCTCCTGCTATCAGCCCTGTTGTGCGGTCGACCACCGCCAACCCGCTGGCTCACACCCGTTTGACTGTACTGTGCGGTGCCAGCTCGTATGCCAGGTAACCTATCGATGAAGCGGTCGCCGCGAGCCGTCTGGAGTGTGATCTCTGCTTCATTGCCGGCAGCATGCGCGACATGAGATGCCATGACTTGAGCTTTCAAAGCCTGGTAGAGCTTCGTAATCTGTCCAAGCGATCGAGCCTTCTGGCCAAAAGCGCCACTGAGCTCATGGTTCTTCCCTTCAAGCGCAGAGTACTCTCCCTGCATTGCTATTGGATCTTAGCGGATTATCAGTAACCGTTTGGACTGAGCTCACTCTGCATCTTGTCCTGCAATGCCTGGATCTGCGAATTCGCCTCGTGTATAAGCTGGTCCATCTGCTGGCTCAGCGTGTTGTACTTCTCTGTCAGGCCTTTCGCAAGGTGCTCTTGGTAGATGATCTCTTGAGAAGTCTGGTAGCTGTGAAACGCCAAACCACGACTGGCACACTCCATTATGATCGTGGGACTCAGCCCACTGAGCACGCTGGTCTTGTAATCCTCGGTTGGGTTCAGCCCAGTGGTTATAGCATCATCTGGGTTGTGAAGCGAAGCGCCGCATGCTGGACAATGCCTGTGTGCACCTGTTGACCTCGACAATCCACTGGCGTCGGCACATGGTGCACAAAATACATGACTGCGTCATTAGCGCCCTGAACCAAACGGCTGCTCGGAGAGAAACAAACCTGCAAGTTGTGACGACGGCGCTGTCGTGAAGCTGGGTGCGACACTTGAGGTCGTTGCACCGCAAGGCGAACTCCATCCGTCGCGAACGAGGTGAAGTGAAGTGAAGGTGAGAGTGAAGACTGGTACATGGAGAAGGCACAGTCGGACAGCCGTGACGCTGCTCGATGACACACGATTTTACAAGGAGGCAAGAGCGACTGATATGGAAAGAACAATAGGCTCATCCGGCCCTGGTATCATAATATCGTAACGAAGAATAAATCTACACAACTCGTCAACGCTTCGCCCCTCCGGAAGTCCTGGGACGCCGAAGCTATCGGTCTTCCTTGTCAGGCTTCCTCCGTTGCCTGGTGCTCTTCTTTCCAGCCACGGCTGTGTCGTCTTCTTCCTCATCACGACCTTTGAGCAAGTCATGGTCGAGGTTCCACTCTTCGTTGTCATACCAATCCTCGCCATCGCTCATTTCCCCAACATGGGCTTCGGCTTTGGACCACTTGAACACATCCTGCCGCATGCGGTCGGCCTGTAGCAGTCCTCGATAGAGGTCAGCCGTCGTGCGGGCAACTTCCTCTTGCTTTTGTACATAAGCCATGAGAAGCATGCGCGTCTCTTCAGCTTCATTCGGCGGTAGGCCCAGATCGCGATCCGGTATTGAGTCGGTGGAGAAAGCAAATAGCGGGTGTATAGCGTTGGCGCCGTTCGCGGGAGACTGTGGCGGCGAGGGCGTGGAGGGTGCGTGTGCGCGGGCGCGTGTCGTCATTCGATGTGCTGTCTGCTGGGAAGCTGTATCGGAGGTGTCGTCGGGTGCGTCTTCGCCTTCTGCGGCGGTCTCTCCATTTACAAGTGATGCTCCATTGGTCGCAGGCTCTGTGCCATTCAACCCACTCGAATGACCTTCGCCATTCGTCCCGTTTCTTTGCACACCGTTCATCTCTCCCACGTCCTCCATGTCCACATCTGTCGCACTCGCTGCTGCATCTTGAGTCTCGTCCTCGCCTCGAGCAGCGGCCCCATTCCCTTGTTGTGCCGTCCCATTTGTCCAGGTATTGTGAAAAGGCGCGGGGCTCATGCCCGCCAATGCAACAGGCGCAAACGATGCGTCTCCTACAAGCTTCACAAACAGGGTCTTGGCGCGCGCGATAGTAACGTGCTCCTTGCGCGAAAGAGCACCCGTCTCATTCGCCAGGTCTGTGAGGTGTTTTGAAGTGTATGCTAAGCTGAGTGCTGGGTGGGTCGGTAGATCGGCGGCGGAGGTCAAAGGCGCGAGAAGATCTGTGTCGTATGTCAGTCTATGGTTCCTTGCGAAGAGGCGGCGCTGCTACGAACGTTCTATGTGTGTGTCCGCGTAAGGGTTCTCCTCAACCGCCTCCAGATCATCCTCATCCTCGTACTCATCGTCTGGCTCGACAATGTCGCCGTCCGGGTCAAATCGTGGAGGGTTGCGTTGCAAAATGTCTCGCTTGTAGCCTGCGTGCTCGATGCGCTGTTTCAGTTAGCATCACGGCGAGCTGCAGGCGCAAGACTCAGAAGCCTACCTTCTTGTACCGCCGAGGATCTGAGAGGAAGTCTGAATCGCTTCCTCGCGCATACTGGACCTTGCGCTTGAGGTCTTGCTTGTTGGCGCTGGAGAAAGGGTCTCCTTCGTCTGTGTCTGCTGCGCACAGGGTTAGCCTGAGCGCGAACGCGGCACTGGGGGTGTATTACTGTCGTCTTTGCGCAGAAGCTTCCGCTTCATGCTGAAGATGGTATCAATGATCTGCTGCTGTTGGCTGGCCATGATGGCGAGGCCTCTGCGAGCTCTCGTGGAAAGCAGGTGTAGTCGTGCCGAGAAGTGAGAATGCGAACGCGGCGCGCTCAGTAAGAGCGGGACGTGAATTCCAGTGGCGCGTGGAAGGACACCAGCTTTGGGGACGAAGAATACAAGAGTGGCGGCAGCAGGCGTGGAACTTTGCGATCTGCAGTGAATAGAGCGCGTTGTGGAGAGGACCTCAAGCGCGGGTGGAGGGTGGATTGGAGCTTGATGCACCTCCGATTCGCTGATATGACATCGCCAGCCCTGCATGTGCCGCCAGCCTACCTCCGCCCTAGCATCGCCAGCTGGTACGAGACACAAGCGAACCTCGAGCGCAGGCAAATACACAGCATATGGACATCTACTCTGTCTCTACAGCTTCCCACCTCTAGAGCACCTGCCACCACCGCCGCCGCCGCCGCCGCACCCCCGCAGCTTTCCCGCAACCCTCACCTCATGGCCTGCTGGTAGTCTCAAGTCTCACTGCAATGGAGGCTTATCCGCCCGAATATGTACAACACAACCTGCCCTTCATAGTCCTCTCTGGCCTGGGCGCCGGTGCAGAGCTCGATGCTCCCCCGCCAGTCCACAAGGTGCTGCCTGGCCGAGCTGTCACCACCATCACCTCGGACATCCCGCCAGTCACGAGTAAATATGCAGAACCGCTGCTCGAGGACTTTCTCAGCGCAGATGGCACCAAGACGCCCTGGAATGGGCGGGCCACCAGTCGCAAGGACTTTGCGCACAATTTCAGGATTCGAGCTGTCGGGAGGGTAGGTGGGTAAACGTAGTGCGGATGCATCCAGGCATGCTGATATCTTGCAGACCTATCAGCTGCCCCCCAAGAAGGCTGATGCTCCTTCCACGTCCGAGACCACACCACCAGGCAGCCCCACCATCGCCGCAGCTACCTCGTGGATCCTACACTCTCCCATATCGCCGCTCTCGCCCGGGGCTACCATCTTCCCAGATGGCGTCTTGGCCCCCTCGTGGGTAGCAAAGCACCAAGACTACGTGCCTTCCGTCTTCATATCATTCTTCGACTTCACCACAGACCCCATCACCAACAGCTTGCATGACAATCAGCTGAAAACGGACATCAACAAGATCAAGAACCAGATACAAAAGTCCGACTATCGCACGCGCTACGTGGTTGTGCTACTGAGCGACAAAACGATACTCGAGGCACCGGACATTGAGGAGCGGCTGGCCAACATCCGGCGCACCACTGGCCTCGACCCCAAGAGCTCGCTGTTCTTCCTCCCTCCAAACACGTCGCAAGTCGAACTTCGCGCATTCGTCACCTCCGTGCTCTCCACACTGCAGCCAATTTGCGTCGAGTACTACCGCGACCTTACAAAACATGCGAGACGAAAGAAGAGCCGGGGCACCATACCGCCACCGACAGCGCCACCCACTCGAGGAACCTCACAGACACTGTCCTACCCAGGTTGGGGCGTCCGCTACGATGTCAAGCTGGGCGTGTTTGCAGAGTTCCGCCAGGAGATGGACGCAGCGCAACGGCACTACAACTTTGCGCTTGAGGCACTGTTTGGCGCAGAAGGAATCTTCGAAACTACGGCAAGCTGGTCACCCAGATGGGACGAAATACGGCTACTGGCGGACATCGTTGCACTGCGACACATTCGCTGTCAGCTGTGGAACAACTATCCTACTTCAGCTGCACAAACATGGCTGAGATACAAGTTCAGGCTAAGAGATGTTTTGGACCGACGTGGCAAGGGTACATCGAACTACGGTTGGCAGGCGTGGGAGGCGAGATGGGCTCAAGTCATGGGTCAGGTTATCCAGCGAGTCGAGTTACCAGCTTTCCGCATCCTTCAGCCGGGTTCAGATCCTCTGAATAGCACGATAACTGCCGTCTACTCGCTACCAGAAAAGCAGTTCCCTATTGGCGAGAGATTGCCGCCGTGGGACTGCCTCCATCATGCTGGGTACTGGTACAAGCTATCGGCGGATCACGCAAAGAGGCGCTACATCCTAGCCAGAGAAATGCCTGAAGAAGATCGGACTCCCCCAGGAATGTCGCCGGCTACTAGAGTCTCAAATCGAAACCAGGTGTACGACCAATACCTTGTTCCGGAGCCCCACCAAGAATTTCCCGTATCTGGTGTAGGCGGTGGATTTGAGCACTGGGCTGACATATCGGCAAAGCTGCGTGCCGCTGCAACTGAGTTCCAGGCGCGAGGACAGCACCGGAAGGTGGATCAATTGCAACTTGAAGTTGCCAGGACACTGCTCCACGTCAAACGTTTCGATGATGCATTCAAGGTGCTTCAGCCGCTCTGGCAAACAATGGCCTGGAGAAAAGAGGGCTGGTGGCCCCTCGCTTCAGAAGTGTTGTGGGCCTTGCACGAATGTGCTCTTCGTGTCCAAGACCGAGAGGCTTATTTGGCTACCGAATGGGAGCTTTACAGCCAAGGTCAGTAGCTTTCCTTCCATGTGTGATTATGACCCCTAACGAAAAGCAGTTGTCCCTGGAAAGACGAGATACAAACACGACTTGATGAACTGTCTAGATGCTTTCTCGCAGGACGACACATTCAGCGACAAGGTGACAGTTCAGCTCGATGCCAAGGATAGCATTTCGTGCTGTAAGTATGTCTCCAAGAAAAGGAACGGCTTTGCTAACCAAGTAGTATCTACATCTTTCGCGTTTTCTGGCATCGAGGGCAATGTTGGTGAGCCACTTCGTTCACAGATTGTGATCAGGTCGCTTGCGCGGTCAGGCTCCGCGCCCGTCACCTTATCATCGCTGGTGTATCAATTTGAAGGTGGTTTGAACGAAGTGCATTTGTCGCACGACACTGGCAAGGACGATCCTGGAACCGATGCCTCTAGATCGGACGAAGTTGTACTTGAAGAGAGTGTCGTCCAAGGTCAGAAGCCAAGCTGGACTGGCACCACCGACTTGACCATTCATCCCGGACAAACCAAGGTGTACAACTTCCAGCTCGTCTTCCGTGAAGCTGGAGATGTCGACATATCCAACTGTATTTTCCGAATAGCTACAGATAAATTTGAGCTTACCTGCTCGAATGTTGGTCTGAGCAGCGAACAACCAGCACCTGCTTGGTGGACTCAAACCAACTCGGGCGTCAAACCACGCAAACTCAAGGGAGGGTCGACAACAGCGATCAAGATCCTGCCCAAGCCACCAAAGATGGAGATAAGGCTACCCGATGTGCGTAACCAATACTACACTGACGAACCTGTCACTGTAGCCATCGAGATACATAATCTGGAAGAGGAAGACACGGAAGCTGTGCTTGAAGTTCGACTCCTGGGTCGCTCCAAAGACTCACTTGGATACTTATGGCTTGATCGGCCGGCCGCGTCTCCGATGAAGGAAGTCCCTCCTGCACTTGACGGCTCTGCAGAAGTGGACCTGCCGGGTCATGTGGTCGGAAAGCTCGCCCAAGGTGAGCGAATAACAGAAAGGATACGCTTCACCGCACCACCAGACCCTGCAGACTATGCTCTAGAAGTAAAGGTGCTGTACCATGTGCTGAGCGATCGCGACATACCCATATCGAAGATCATGATCGCCGACCTCGTGTTCAACGCGCCTTTCGAAGCCAGCTATGACTTGAATGCTCGCGTGCATCCGGAGCCATGGCCCAGCTACTTTGCACTCCAGGAAGCTGAAAGTAATATCAACCCGGAGTCAACAGATGCGTTCGGTATTGCACAGAAATGGGGCTTGCGAGCAAAGGTCGCATCGTTTGCTGACGAAGAGCTGGTCGTCAAGGACCTGAATGTACAAGTGCATGGCGTTCACGGAGGTGCAACATGTGACGTGACGAAAGAGTTTGAGGTCGAGAAGATGACTGTAGAGCCCCAAGTCATACACGAGTGGGCTTTCAGTCTCGATGTCAGGAAGAACAATCTCGAAGAACGCCGCTCTACCGCCCTTGACACGACACTCGATATCACCTGGCAGCGCACATCTACTCCCGATGCTCCAACCGTCACTTCCTCGCTTCCTATCCCACGCATCCAGATACCCTCCAGCGAACCTCGAGTTCTTGCCTCTGCGGCAGTCTCCGGTGCTGTGAATTCACTGGTGCACCTTGACTATACTCTCGAGAACCCTACGATGCACTTCCTTACATTTGAGCTTAGCATGGAGGCGAGTGAAGAATTTGGCTTCAGCGGCGCAAAGTTACGATCTTTGCATCTGCTGCCGATGAGTAGACAGACGGTGCGCTTTAGCGTGTATCCCTTGGTAACGGGCGTGTGGATCTCGCCGAACCTCAAAGTGACGGATCGCTACTTCAACAAGACCCTGAAGGTGCAAGCAACGGAAGGATTGCGTGCGGACAAGAAGGGTATCAGCGTTTGGATACCTGGAAATGCTGGCGAGAAACCACAAGCTCCAGCTGGCTAGAGAATCGCTCCTGCAACGTGCATGCCACAAACGCAGAATTGCTCAATATATTTAGTAGATTCAACTTAAAAGGATTGCATGCTTCAATAGTGAAAAAGACCTATGTCGTGTAATACTATTGGTCCGGTCTGTTGTGAGTTGGAATATCGGCACACCGACCCGCCGCTGGCCGGCCGGCGGTCCTCGTGTGGGTTTGAAGAACGTCATCCATATTTTGAGCAACACAGGTCACGCAAACAACCCGGGCCTATGCCACTCCGCCGGCCCATGAAATAACCACCCAAAAGCCTATGCAATATGCGAAGCATGCTACTGTATCATACCATATAAAAATTGAACGTCGGAAGGAACGGAAATGACTGATGGCGGCAAGAATCGCGCATCGTCTTCTTGTAAGTAGCTGCAGGCAGGGAAGCTAGTTCAGAAGCACACAGTAACACATACAGTCCACTTCTTCGCTGGCTTGAGCTCAGGCGTCCTCTCTGCTGTTCTTCTCCAACCCGCCGACCTTCTCAAGACCAGAGTCCAACAATCGCGCTCGAATACGCTGCTTGGTACTATTCGATCGATCGCAAATGGACCGAACCCCATAAAGCAGTTCTGGAGGGGCACATTGCCCAGCACCCTACGTACAGGATGTGGCTCTGCCATATACTTCTCCGGCCTGAACGCGTTGCGACACCGTGCTAGCTTAATTGCAGCAAAGCGAGGCGATGTGGCAATCGGAGGCGGGGAGCACTCGAGCTCCCTCCCAAAGCTGAGCAATACAGCCAATCTCGCAACGGGTGCCTTTGCGCGAACATGGGCAGGCTTCATCATGATGCCTATCACCGTGCTGAAGGTGCGGTATGAGAGCAGTCTGTACAACTACAGCTCGCTCTTCAGCGCAACACGAGACATCTTCCGCACCGAAGGGGCCCGTGGCTTCTTCGCGGGCTTCGGCGCAACAGCAGTCCGCGACGCACCATATGCCGGTCTCTACGTTCTTTTCTATGAATTATCGAAGCGACGGTTATCAGCTCTGGCTACCAAGATTGAAGAGACGTCGGGCGCCAGCACCAAACTATCCACCAGCACGTCGGCTGGCATAAACTTTGTATCTGGGGTAGCTGCGGCAGGACTGGGAACTACGATCACCAACCCCTTCGACGCGATCAAGACGAGATTACAGTTGATGCCGGACCGCTACGGCAACATGGTTCAGGCTGCGAAGAAAATGCTAGCAGAAGAGGGCACGAGGAGTCTATTTGATGGACTGGGTATCAGAATTGCGAGGAAGGCGGTTAGCAGCGCATTGGCATGGACAGTCTACGAGGAGCTGATTAGACGGGCGGAGAGGGAGTGGAGGGAGGCTGTTGAAGACAAGATATAAATCTCTACTCTAACCAAAACAGGTGGTGCATACTATTGTAAATATATTCCAAGTCAAACTACCGTGGTTGCGATAGTCTGTCATGCAAAGCAACTTGAAAAGGCCCGACGCCGGCGAAACTGATGCCTGTCAGGCATCACTCACCCCACCGATGGTTCGTGAACAAACTTGTCACAGCCAGCAAGCGAACAAGCCTATCCTTACAGCCTCGAGCGAGTAGTAGTAGCACACAGCCAATCACGTGCTGTCTCACCCAGTACACCGACATGGGTGCTCAGGCTTCGTCATCATATCCCGTCATGAGTTGGCATGATGCAGCTGCAGCTGCAGAACTTGTTTGGCGGCTCTTGTGACCGACGAATTCGTCGAGCAAAAGGGAGTTCATGCACACCCATGAGGTTGCAGCAGCTGTGCGCTTGGATGGTCGCAAATAGCAGTCGACTGCAGTAGGGTGCACCCGGTGAGTGCCGGCAACCGGGAGGCAGTGGCTCACGCGCGGTGAGAGTTTGTGAGCCCGGTCAGTAGAGACCAGTGTGAGGCGGGCGCAGCAAATCAGCAGACCTCATGGCACCCTGGTCGTGGCTCCCAGTTCGCAGGTTGGGCGTAGGACGTGGGCGCAAGAGTCCAAGTTGGTGTCGTGTAACCCGAACTATGACGTAGCGGACGAGGAAGATGCCTTCTACCCACTCCCGCCGCATCAACGTGAAGGTAAATCTCCACGCCACTGCCTTGGGTCCCAAGACTATTGAGAGCTATCCGCCCTTTCCCTGACTTGACGACCAAAATCCATTATAATACGACCGCCGCCGACTGCCCGCAGGAACTTGACACTCACGCTTCCCCTGCCCACCTTGTCAGTTCCTTTGCCTGCCCGTTGTATTTCTCGTTGCGACAGCCCACCAAGCACTTGCGCTAGCAGCCAAGTCACTCCAGTCTGAGAGCAAGAGAGAATCCGGTATGCCTGCCATGGTGTGAAATGTCTCCCACATGTACCCCGCTCACACTGTCTTTTTCCTAGCAGATCCAGCCTGATTGAGCCGCACCCACACCCGAGGACCCTGAGAGAGCCAGAGAGACAGCGAAAGCACTACCCCACTGCGGGCATCGAGCACCATGTCAGAGTACAGCTATGATATGCCGCGCCGCTCGCACCGCACCCGCGAGCCCGAGTACGTGACCGAGACGACGTACATTGAGCGCGGCGGCCGTGGAGCTGCTCCAGCTCCAGTGCGGGACCTCGTCTACCGCCCCGCACGTGAGGACAGCATCGAAGACATCCCCCGCGACTTCCCACCCCCAGGCTCCGAGTACAGGCAGACCAAGTACCGCGAGGAGTATGCGCCCCGCCGCACCCGCTCGGTGAACCGCGACGACTACGACCGCTACGAACGCCATGACCGCCGTCGCGACTACTACGACGACGACCGCTCCGACTACACTGCGCGCCCCAAGCCGTCCCGCCGCAAGTCCATTGTCGACCAAGTCAAGGACTTTGGCGAGGCAGCCGGTCTTGGAGGCGTCATCGGCGCAGTCACCGGCGGCCGCAACCGCTCGCGCTCACGTGCTCGCCGCGACCGTGACTACGACCGTGGCTATGATAGTGACAGAGCTGGTTATGACGATCGCCGGTCCCAGTACACCTCGCGGTCGCGCAGCCGCAGCCGCGGAGGCCGCAAGGGCGAGAAGTGGGAGCAGGCCGCCAAAGCTGCTCTCGTCGCCGGTGCTGTCGAAGCCTTCCGTAGCCGCAAAGTTGCCGGTCCGTGGACTGGCGAGAAGGGCCAGCGCATCGCAACTGCTGCCCTCGGTGCCGCTGGTATCGACGGTCTGATCGATAGGAACCCCGAAAAGCACGAGAAGCGCCATGTCATCGAGTCGGCGCTGGGTGGTATCGCTGCCAGTCGTCTTGCCAACGGATCTCGCTCCCAGTCTCGTGGGCCCCGTGGCCGTGACGATTCCAGGTCTCCCTCTCGCGCGCGCTCCCGCTCCAGGTCCATCTTTGGTCGCTCCCGTTCTCGAGGCCGCTCGCAATCTGGCGAAGGCGATGGAAACGGTCTAGCCAAGGTCGCCGGAACCGGTGCAGTCATCGCAGCAGGAAAGGCTCTCTACGACCGTGTGCGCTCCAAGTCTCGCTCCAGGAAGGAACGCTCTCGCTCTCGCTCCTCCAGCCGGGACAGCTATGTGCCCTCTCGACGTGGAAACCGCCGCTCCTACAGCCGAGGCCGTGGTATGGACGACTACTCCGAAGTTCCTGACAACAGGTCTAACCCAGATCGCAGACTAGCGGCCCCAGGCGGTGCGGCCGCCGGTGCCTTAACAGCACCGAACCGTGGAGGAGAGAGTCGTGATCGAAAGCGGGATTCTAGTTCGGATTCCGAATCTTCGACCGACATGGAGGAAAGGCGCAAGAAACTTAGAGGTAAGGAACTCCTTACTGCCGGTCTTGCAACGGTGGCGACGATCCACGCCGCCCACGGTGTCTACTCGTCCATGGTGGCCTCTGAAAAGCGCCGCAAACTCGTCGGCGAGGGCGAAATGTCGCCCGAAGAAGCTCGCAAGCGCAAATCAAAGAACATGCTGCAGGACGCCGCGGCCGTGGGCATTGCAGCCCTCGGTATCAAGAGCGCCTACAGCGAATGGAAAGAAATGAACGAGCAGCGCCACAGCGTCAAGGAACTCGAGGCTCGTCGCCGCAAGCGCAGAAAGGCCCGTGAACGTCGTGAAAAGGACGCCAGAATGAATGCCCTCGGCGGCATGAATGGTCAAAACGGTTATGCTAACCCGTACGCGTACCCTGTAGCTGCCAACCAACCTTACCCTACCTCCTACGCGGACGCGAATCCTTATGGTGCTGTACCGCCGCCTCCGATGGGCGCGCCGCGGTATTAGCCTGCGACAAAACCCCCTTTTTCTGGGGGGGGCAAAAAATTTACTTTCTTTCTGGGTTCTGAGGGAGGGTGTGGACACACTTTGTTTCTGCGGAGGAGCGGAGGGGTCAGATGTATGGTTGTATACCTCTCTTGGTTATGCTTTCAATTTCCCATCTTTCGGTGCTAGAGAAATGCGAGTATGGTTTTCTTCTCTCTCCTTTTCTTTTCCCATGACGATGGCATTTTATCTTTTGGAGGATGGAGAAAGTGGCATATTTGGTAATGCGGAAGGGGGGGGTTAGCGAGGCTTCTGGCTCGCCAATGACGGATAACGATTTACGAACGATAGAGAAATGAATGATTACGGTCCTTTTTTTTTAAGAATCTGTGCGTTCTAGGTTCTCTCTCTCTCTCTCTCTCTCTCTCTCTTTGTGATGGCTAATAACCACAACCATCAACTCCGCAACTTGACTACCACCCACCTAACCATCACTTCCCCGCCATTCCCCCAGGTCTCCGCCACTATGTAGTTTACTACGCCGACCATGAACAAGACGCAGATGAATACGGCCCACGGATATGGTGGGTTGGCGAAGGACATGCTGAAGAAGGCCGTGGTGAAGAGGAGGGGGAACGCGACGTACTGCGGTAGATGTGGTGAGTATTGCATTTGGAAAGAGGGGGGGATTTAGGTGGGAGATGGACATGGTGGTGTGGAGTTACTCACGACCGTCATTTTGGTGAGGGTTTTGAGATCGTTTCCCTGTTTTACAGCGGTGTCGGTTTGGGAGAGGGAGGATACGGTGTGGAGCTGCGAGGGGTGTGTTAGTTTAATCGAGGTGACGAGTATCCGCAGATGCTTCGTCGTCGAAGAAAAGTAATCTCTCGTGCGCTGTTCGGATGTAAAAGCCCGGCTGCGCGTGCCCATGTGCCCAGCTGATGGAGTAGCCTAGAAAGTCACTTACGCTCTCCAGTTTCGACCTGAACAACTCCCTTTTGGTGATGAGTAGCTTGCGTAGTCTGTCGAGTTCTGTCATGTTGCGGTTAATCCGCGTCAACATGTCCGGCCACTTTAGCTTCTCGGGCGCATGTCTGGTAAAAAGCACAATCTCGTGGCGGGAGAACGATTCCCATGCATCGATGATGCCGCTGATACAGTCCACAAACGTGTGGATGGTTTCGATGACGTTGCTGAGCGTTTGTGTATGTTTTCTCTGGTCGTCGTCTTGGAAGACGATGCGTACTTCGATTGCCTAGTTTGAGTGAGTAAATGTAGCAAGTTTTTATGGGTGGCGTGTTCTGGGTCATACATAATCTTCCATGCGTTTGTTAAAGGTCTCTACCAAAGCCCGGTACTCTGTAGCTACTTGCTCTGTCCTTCGATCAATTTTCATTAGGAAGTATTCGCGTGGGTCAAAGACGGGCTCTTTCATTAGCTTGCGCCCACCGAGCGGTGGGTCGAAACCGTTGCCTGGGATGGTGAGCAAGGGGTTCTCGAGGTAGGTCCCGAGGTTTTGTTCTGAGCCAAAGTACGTGTCTACAAGGAAGAGCTCGGTCCAGAATGTCTCGTCGGGTCCCCAGCATAAGGATGATGTTTGCGCTTCGTGATAGTACAGGTCCTCATCGTTGCCGGTCTGGGAGCGAAGCGGCAGGGGTGCACTTTGACGCAGGCTTTTACCGGAGACTATGCGTGGGTCAGTGGTAGTCTCAATAGGGCCCAGGCGTATTGCGTGGTACGATATGTGGAATTCTGTGAAGAAACCCCAAGACTGGATTGATTAGAATTTGGGTTCGTAAATCGGCTGATGAATCCTTACCGTCCGCACACTGAAAGTATGCTGTCTGCCTAGATACCTGTGCAGAAAGTCCCGCAGAGGAACCGCCGAGCGTCTTGCACAGGTAGCAGCGAGTAGCAGCGCACCATGCGGAGTCAAGTTTGGTATGAACCTGTACTTATCAGACACGAAGAGCCCTGACCACGGCCTTTGTTACACTGACATTATTCTCCTGTCAACACTGCCTTGTGCAGTCTTTCGCTATGCCATTCATTTTGAGTCAGAACTGACATGGGGCCAACCGTTTGGGATCATCTGACTTACCTCGCCTTCCAGATGCGTGCACAGATCTCGTATGGCCATTTTCTTGGAGACGATGTAGCAATCAGAGCAATGTTTGTCGTACTTTCTTGAGCAGCCTTCATGGTTGTTCCGATCATCAAGAAGCGCTATATCGCTGACAGGTGTACTCTTTAGGTCATCGATATAATTGTTTTGAGGCGCCGAAGTTGGAGCAACTGGTGATCGTGCGATAGTAGCTTTCATGAAGTCTTTCAGTATTTGTTGTTGATGAGGAATGGCATCGTCCAAACGATGGCTACCGTGAGTAAGGAATAACTCAACTACTTCTTGACTTGTCACTGTTGGCAGAGGTGGTTGAGTTGCAGTTGGCGATGTTGGAGTCGGCGACGGATGCACGAAGTGGCCCAGCCGAAACTGTGCCTTGCTGTCTGCGACATGTTTGCTCTCATCCCGATGCATGAATGTTTCCCAAGGATTGAAAAGCCGACTGGGCTCGTACCGCGAGCCATATAGATCGAGAGACATCGCTGCTAGCAAATGAAAGGACAACGCATCCGCTTGGGTAGACGCTGTGTCATTGTCAACGTAGTGAAGCAGCTGCGTACTCTCAGTTTCTCGCCCGCCCGCCCGCACGAGGCTGAGCGATACAGACCACCATCATGAAGGATGCAGCAGATACGAGGGCTTACGGATAGGTCATTGGCTCGCTTACTCGCGGAGTTGGGCTGAAAGGCAGCCTCCAACTTCGACCGTCATGGGGCGCCTGTGAGAGTAACGACAACATCATGCACCCCGAACTGTGCTTGCAAGACGATTTCCATCTAGAGCTTGCGGATATCGTATTGGATCATCTGGCACACTATGGTTCACAGTCCCGCCGCTGAGCCGCGATGTTCACCAAAAACAACACAGGTGGGTACAAGAAGATTCTCTCTTACAGTTGAACTTCGCGATATTTGGTGCTGACTTTACATACACACCTAAGCTCTGCGATAATGAGCAACCATATACGTCTAGAGCATTCGGCTTCACATGTCCCGAGAACTCTGACAATAATCAAATGCACCACGGGAAACCCGTTAGAGGCACTAAGCAATGCGGTCCAACGAACATAGTCTGGTATTGCGTAAGTCATTGACGTTCGTTATCGGCTTGCCAGGTAGTCTGACTGATGCAGAGCGAATGCGGTGATGGCCCTTACGGAATCTGGCAGAACGTCTGTGATGCATGTAATCATAAGAGGTGTGGTTCTTGTCAGTGTGAGGAGACGTCCTAGTTGCGGAGCGCAAGAAAGCGGAAATTGTGAGACGGATAATTCAACATGAGAGCTAAATACTAGAAGGTGATAATCCTACATACCGCACGGAGTCCGACTTAACATGCTACCAAACAACAGCATAACATGTGCTGTCGGTATACGTTGTGGCCTTGACCCGTGTATTACTCGAGGTTATATTGCCACATTGATGTTGAAATGCGCTGTCAAATAGCACTTACATTCACAGTTTAGAGATGCAAACTCCATTGTATATTGCGATATACAGCCTGGAGTGACGGCTACTCCTTCTTCTCCTCTGCTGGCTTCTCTTTCTCTTCCATGTCCATCCTCCGTCCCTCCATAGTAAAGTACAGGCTCTTGCTTGCGCCCTCCAGCGCACTTGTGAGGCTGCCGCCGACTCCCTGCAACATATGTACAAGCTGTGCTCGCAGCCCATCGATACCCCCATCAATCCCACCAACCCACTTCGTGCCCTCGACATCAAACACCTTGCCCTCCACCCTCGCGCCCAACAGCATCAACTTCTGCAGTCCCTGCTGTACCGACGGCTCGTAGTAATCCGGATTCGCCCTGCGCGTGGGTGCGGGGAAATCGCCCTTGGACGGCGCGAGGATAGACAGCACGGCTTTGAGGTACTGCGGCGCGACGGAGGGGAACGCGACGACAGCAAGCGGGCCGGAGAGCAGGGGTTCGAGCTCGAGCTTGAGTTTGCGGTTGTTTGCGATTTCGTGGGCGCGTCTTGAGAGGCCGTGTGTGAAGCGCTCATCCTCAGCATGATTCGACGTGTGGGGTATTTGCGCGCTGGTCGGCGTGTTTGGGTCTGTGGGGTGCTGCGCATGATCCAGTGTGTCTTCCCCCGGGTTGAAGAATTCGACGACGCGGAGGGCGCTGGCGAAGATGTTGGTCTGGATGATTTGCAGCTTGACTTCTTCCGAGAGCGTGTCTTGTCCGTTCTTCAGTCTTTCGGCGTCGACTTTGCGCATGGCGACTTGCAGTTCGCGCCGTATGCTCATTAGCTCGACGGCTTTGACATTGTTGTGCTGGAAGATTAGGATCAGTGGCGAGGATCTTAGCAAAGACTGGTATTGTCGGTGTAATTGCGTCTTGCGGACCTCCGGCGGCTTGTGGGAGGGTGGTTGTGTAGGCGGATACCGCAGGACTGGTGGTACTGAGCGCGAGATTTGGTGAATCGGCGGCGCGGGTGTGGTAGCTGAGGCTGTTGCTACTGATGCATAGCTTGCGGCTGGTATCGAGAACCGGGTGGTGGAGTTTAAGCAGCGTATGCAGAGGGCGCGCGGCCGTATTCGTATCCGTGGAGGCATACTGGAGATTCAGTTAGCATCTGCGTGAATACAATACACGTCTCGTGGTCAGCAGACGTACCTGATGTGTGGTTGCTGGGCAATTGGTCGACGTCTCAGTCGTCCAGAAATCTTTCGTAGATCGCGAAGTTGATGGGTGGTCCGTGCTCGACATCATCAAGACGGTAGTTCTCAGTAGTCGCAAACACCAACCGCTACAATTGATCGAGTCTCAGTTTCATACTTCCTATCCATTCGTTGTTTCTTCTCCGTCTGAACTTCGCTCTCTCTGTCAGTGGAGCTGCCGTTCTGAGCGTCAATGACGACGCATATATTGAGACTTGCACTTCCACCAAGGAACTTGGGCTCAAGAAGACCAATCAAAACCTTGAGCAATGTCAGATCTTTAGCTGTAATTTTTCAATTTCGAATCATGATTCCACTGCTGAAGTATACCAGACAGACTCTAGGAATAGGTTATCTAAATTCTGGGCTCCGACAGGTGGTATAACGCCTCAAGATAAAGAGCATGGTAACTATAGTCAAAACAGAGCACATCACAGTCAATAACAGGATACCAGATGAATCTCAAGCTCTTCTCGTACGGAGTGGCTTCCTCCGCCAGGTATTCCGTCTCACGACCCTTCACTTGCAAATTACTCATCACGTACCCAGGCCCACTCGGGGGTCTTCCACCTCCTTCCCCTCGGTCTCAGAGTACAGAACAAACTCGAGGCTTTGATAGATAAGCACATGCAATCTATCGGTGCATCCAAGACATCACTCTCTTCAATCACCACAGAAGCCTTATGGCGACAGTCAGGTCGCTACAGCTCTAATTCAGAACTTCTTCGCATCGGGGATCGCAGAGAATCTGGCTTCCTTCTTTCGCCTACTCACGAGGAAGAAATCACATCTCTCGTGGCTAGTATGGTACACTCGTACAAGGACCTACCCCTAAGACTTTACCAGATCGGACGCAAATATCGCGACGAGCGGCGACCAAGAGGAGGATTGTTAAGAGCCAAGGAGTTCATGATGAAGGACCTCTACACATTCGACTCTAATCCCTCCGCCGCGCTGGAAACATACGAAGCAGTCCGCTCAGCATATACCGCCATCTTTGACGCACTAAAACTGCCATACCTCGTCGCTGATGCCGATTCAGGCAACATGGGCGGCAAACTCTCTCACGAATACCATTTCGTCTCACCCAAAGGCGAAGACAACGTCTGGTCCTGCAACACCTGCACCTACATCGCCAACGAAGAACTCGTCACAAAGCGAGTCCTCGAAGATGACTCCACCACCGACGAAGCATACCCCCTCGTCTTTACCGGCATAAGTACCGACCGCACCACCGCAATCAACATCTACGTACCCGATCACTCCCCCACCCCCGCCTCTCCCGACCCAACCTGGGACTCCATAGCACACTCCGTCAACCTCCACGCCGTCAAGCGCGCCCTTCCGCCCGGCATCGACCTCGACACCGGCATCGAAGCCAGCACCCTGCAATCACTCTTATCATCGACAACGCAATCCATCACCATCGTCGACGCCCAACTCGACATTGACGACGACACCGCGGTTCAAGCATCCGACCTCACGCCCACGCTCCCCGGCCACGCGTGTCCGAAATGCGAGACGGGAAAACTCGACGTCGCAAAAGCTATCGAGGTAGCACACACTTTCCACCTCGGGACGCGCTACTCGGATCCCCTGGGCGCCATTGTCTCCATGCCCGACGGCAAGACGCGCGAAGCCGTGCAAATGGGGTGTCACGGGATCGGCGTGTCGCGGCTGATTGGCGCCATTGCGTCGCTCTTGTCTGACTCCAAGGGCTTGAATTGGCCGCGCGTGATGGCACCGTATGAGGCTGCTATATTGGTTGCGCCGCAGATTGAAGAGGGGGGCGCGGAGAGGGTGTATGATGCGCTGGACGGAGTGGATGCGGTGCTGGATGATAGAGAGGGGAAGAGTTTGGGGTGGAAGTTAAGGGATGCGGATTTGATTGGGTATCCGGTTGTTGTTGTGATGGGGAGGAGTTGGAAGGAGAAGGGGGTGGTGGAAGTACAGTGTAGGCGATTAGATGTCAAGAAAGACGTCGGGCTAGATGAGCTGAAGAGCGAGGTTTCGGGCTTGTTGGAGCAGTTGTAAAGATAGTAGGATTGTATTTGTAGTGTACATGTATGCTATGCCAATTCTTTTCAAAACAGATTCTTCCCGTAACGCCGCTGGAATGAGTATATGTCAGATCCCACAATTTTCATGACTGGTCTACATATTGTTGTACACGCCTGCAACGCCGGAAATGCTTGTGATCCCCGCTAATATACACCCCGTGCTGTAACTTCCCACACAAAAAGTCAGGCCAACAGCATTGACCTACGCTCTCATGACTGGCGTGCCGCCGTACCTGGCCAAATCTTTTGAAGCGACGGGCACATGAGGAGGCGTTGGCAGCGGATTCCTCATCGCCTGTAGCTCCTTTCGTCGGATATTTCTGGGAGCCTTGCTGTTGTGCTTCTCGTCTTCAAATGTCATGTCTTTAGAATCCTTGTCTTTGGACATGTTTCCTACGATGTTCAAGCTTGGCGCCACTCTCAGGATCTTGATCCCTATATCTTAATTTGCCGACTGTGTTCTAGGCAAGCGAATTGCATCCATTGTTTTGAACCGTGTGCGTCTATTCCGGGTCGATGGGACCGTAGTGGAAGGTGCAGCGGTCGCACCCGGCGAATCGACTGCCTTGTCGTCGGCCGCGTGTAGTACCTCGGATATCTCATCCGAAACATCCTTGGGCTCCATGTTGGTCCGAGGTATCGTAGCTTCTCGCGCGTTTTGCTCTTGCTGTACTTCTGGTGTGTCGACACGCTTGAGTGGCCCGTGTTCGTTACCCGAGCATCATTTTGACCCCAAAAATGCCTGGAACCGATGTAGTATGCCTGTGGTGCTTGTGAGAGATTTCTCTGCCTCGTTCAATATCTTGGGCACCTCGAAGCTCTGTGCGGTGACTCCTTGATCTTCTCCTTCAGATGTTCGTTCTCGCAACTCGCTGGTCGGACTTTCCGGCTGACCCTTCACTCCCACTGATCGTCCCGTGCTAGTGTTGGAGGCTGCTTTCTGCACAGCTGATGGATTATAATACATTCGATTTTCTTCGCCGAATAGCTCAATCTCTTCTTGATTTTTCGCTCTCCACAACTGGATTTTTGCGGTCTGGGGATCTTTCTCTCCTCGCTCTAGGGAGTTCCTTACGAATATGCTCCACGCCGTAGACCCAAATCTCAATCCATTCTCCATGGCTGTGATTATGACCGCTTCGAACAATGTGCGCATGCTGCTTCTATTATCGGCCGACTTACACTTTTTGACAACCGGGAGTACTTGTGCCTTTTCTTTTGATGAGGCTGCCGTTCGAATCCGCAGTCGGATCAAGTGCGTCTGCCTGGCTACAACAACCATTCCTTTGGCCAATCGCATATTAAAAATGTTGGCTAGCGAGAGAAGCTCTTTTATTGTCCTTGGGTTCGACTTGATCGCCTTATGAGTGCGCTCAATGCGTCTGGGTCGAAGACCATCCCCTGCCGTCTCATGAAAGTCTCTGTACAAGAGACCACCAAAGAAACGATCCATGTCAGATTCAAGAAAGGGCCTTTCCGATGCGAACTCAACCAACGGTTTTGTGTTTGCTTCAGAATCTAGAGATGCCCATGCATCGATGTGTGACGCAACTGTGGTCTGTTCCAGTTTCTCCACGCTCGGCTCGGTAGCAGTAGATCTGAGGGGGGAGAATCTCGTCGAAGGACGCTTGTGCGGCATAGAATTAACGGTGTAGACTTCTTTAGCTTCGTCTTCCTTAGCCATAGTATGTTGGGATTCTTGCACCATATTGACGTGATTTCTGTGCTTCTCTGCGCCGAACTCGACCTTGCCATTGTCGTGATCGAAAGAGGATTTGGAGGAGCTCACTTTCGGTTCTGAGAACTCACGCACGCTCCTCTCCACTGCTTCAGTGTTCACTCTCTTTGGTTCAGCTTCCCTAAGTCCTTTCTCCGGAGATTCGCTTGCATCTTTTCTTAAGTCTGCTATTTGACTTGGTGCCACTCCATTCTGAAGCTCACTGCGAACATTTAGAGGCTTGCGATTCTGCCCTTGTTCCGGTAAGTGAGCGTGCCTCTGCAAAGCTTGCCGTTTGTGCCTTGATTCTTCAGGACCATTCGGCTCCATAATCTGCGTCAGACGTCGAAAGCCCGGATGCTTTTCCCTTACCCCGAAGTTCATACTCTTTTCTTTCGCTTCCTCCAATCCATATTTATGCGATTCACTTGAATCTTTTTCAGACTCTACGAGGTAGCTCAATTTTTCCGCTCGTTCGATCCCAGAAAAGACAGTCATAGGATCGGGCCTGGTTCCTTGTTTTACTAGCCGAGCATACTTCTGCAATGCCCTCAGTGCCATTGCTGACTTCTCGCGATTGGATCCTTGATTTATCCATCTTTCTAATCTTTTTATGTTTCGTCGGTGTGGGTGCGTGAGTATGACATTTTTCACGTCCATTTCCGCCCATGTCATTGGCCCGTTCTGCTCATCCCTTGCAGTTGTGCCTTGCTCGCAAGATGACGTCTCGGAATTTTGATTGATAGGTTCTTTAAGAATATCGGATTCTTTTATTTCTTCCCGTGATTTCAGATAGAAGTGATCGTCAATTTTCTGCCTGCCTATGACGTCTTTGACGACCTTCATGTTGTAACCAGAATCCACGTAGACAGCACCCATAATTGCTTCAAATGTCTCCGCAATATTGTCCCTCGTCACACCTTTCCCGTCTCCAGTCAAAATGCTTAGATGTAGACCAAGCTTGTGGCCAGTAACGGCGAGTGCAGCCCGAGACACCGTCTGCGAGCTCATGAGCGCGTATCCTCCGTTTGGGTGGTCTGTCTGAAACCAAATCTCGCAAAGGGCCAAGCTAAGCACACGATCTCCTAGCAGCGCAAGCCGGTTGTTCATTCCAGTCTCGTATACTGCCCCGTCGTAATAGAGCGAATGTACATTCCCGGTGACTTTGAGTGCTTCTATACCGGTCATACGGTTCTGGAAAGTATACCCTAGCCGCACTTCGAGAGCTCCAAGTGTTGCTGCCGCATCGAGCAGATCATGATGGTACTTTGGAGGTGGGGTTTTCAATCGTAACCGGGCGTTGTACAAAGCAAGCAGTGTCAGGTCTCTTCGCTGGAAAAGCTCTGGTATCTGAGCTCTGTGGCCATAATGATGACATGGGCGATTTTGCAGCCATGCAACCAGACGCTCTGAGCGTGTCCTCACGACGTCCTTGATACGCCAGCGGGAGGCTCCCGGCCGAGCGGATGTTTTACCAATCGAACTGTACTGAAATCGTCTCCAAACCTGATGAAGCCACGACTTATCATGTGCCATAATACAAGTTCTTTTTGTATGAATAGAAATGCACGTGACGTTGAAGTCTTGAGAAATGTCAGCCCGGGGATGGATGATACATTTGGCGCGGACCCTGATTGGATGACGCGCTGAATCCGAAGCACAAACCTTCATGCGCAACGTCGATGGGTCTTGCGCGCAAAAACTTAGAATGACTCTCGCGCTTTACTCCGGTTCATGGTGGGCGTCTTTGAAAATGTATTTTCAATGATTAAGTAACTGAAGGGTGTTGTGGCGTTCCAAGGTTGCGATGCTGTGGAAGACTTTCGATTGAGAACGCGTGCACGGACACCAGCAATGTCATGATCTCATGCCACGCGCTACTACATTTCTTTCCTCAAGTCTCACATTCTAGGTACGCCAAGCAATGAACATGCTCTCCATCAAATTACTATAGTCTTTCTTGATCTCAATATGGATGTCGAGTATCTCTGTCCCATCTGCTGATTAGCGGGTCCTCCCATTGTGCTCGACAAGCGCGAGTACCTACCAAACCCCCGTGTTAAAGTCGAACAAACAGGATAACCAATCATTCAGTCACCAGTGTACAGCCTTTCCAATATTTCAAAGAGATGGGCCCATCTGGAAGTTCTTAAAGCAGTATCGTTGCCGCTGCCCGATATCGATATTGTGTTTGGTTTCACAGCTATGACAATGATGTATGTTCGTACGGTATTACTGACGAACGTGCGCTCATACCGATTTCGGCTCTTGGAATCGCGACTTTTGCTTGGTTGTAAGATCCTAAAAGCTGCTCGGGCTCTCCGCCTGCACTAAGCAACCAGCGCTCATCTTCACCTTACTACACACCGCAAGCATTATCCCGGGTCTTCCAGCAGTCGATGCGGACCAAAAAGGTGCGGTTCGCGTGCAGCGCTGGCAGGTACGGATAGTATTGCAAGAGTACATGCTCTTCTTATACACTTTGCACTTGTCTTTGAATGTCGAAGCTTGATGACTGCGGAGAACCGGATTGCCGGACATAGGAAGGGCCCGCGAAGGTATCAGACTTGGCAGGTATTTAAAGCGACAAGTACGACTCCCCATAGACAGATGCCTACAAATGCTTAGCATTTCCATAGACTGCAATAACGATGCAACATCATTCGAGACCCACAAAACAGCCTTATACGACGAGCGTACAACTAACGGATCGTAGTGAATCCTAGCTATCTACAGTACCTGCCGAAAAACTTCTCTCCAGCCCTGAGGCATGGCGAGCGCCATACGACGTATGTATGAATGGCACATGAGATAAGCACAATATCGACATGATTACAATTGATGCTTATGAGGCTCCATAAACAGTGTAAGCGAGAGCTCAAGACATTCAAGCGGTAAATGAATTGCAGAAAACAGAAGGTGCCAGCAGCTGGGCGGCAGAGCCGAAAGCCGGACGGTAATTGCGATGCGCATCGTCACTTCTCAGTCACGATGGGCAACATTATCGATATTTGGCACTGGTGCGTGCGGCGTTTCCAAGTTGTCTCGAAAAAATCCACCATATCCAAGTTTGTGTTTGCTTGTTCGTTACATATGTCTCCCGCCTGTTTGACCAAGGCTTCAGCAAACATAATACGAGGCTGAGATGCGGAGCAGCCTCGCACAGTGCTGCTCAGGGATACGCTGTCCGAGCGCCAGCTCTATCGAGGGTCCGTGCGATGTTTAAAAAGTGGAAATTAACCCCTGTATTGCGCGGGACAGCGGTCGCTGATTGGCCTGCTAAAAAGGCTTGTCTGAGGCCACATGAGATGAAAGCATGGCCCGCACGCGACCACAAGGCGCCTCCACGATTCACAATCTTCGCTGTTCGTGTTGCTGTCAGCGTCCAAAGAACACGTCAGGTACCGGAAAATATCACGATGGAAGACTACAGTGCTACAGAGTGACACCGCATCTCATAGGTGCATCAAACACCAGCATTTACCGCGTGACCGTCGAATCAATTCGCCTATTGATGCTCAATTTCCTGGTCCAGCCTTGTCGCAATTTTAAATCTCCAGGCGCCGCGATGCTGTTGGCTAGGCACGCCCCAGTGCCATCGTGAACTCCAAGGTGTCGCGAAGCGGCGAGGCCGCCTCCCGTTTCATATACAGCCGGGGATCCCTCTTCACATCCTTTCCTCAATCTCTACAGACTTTCGCTCTTTTACTGTCATACTCCACTGAACGCGTGCAGTTCACCTCCACTCTTTTTCACATCGGTCCTAATCTCCACGGTTGCGCATATCACTCATTTCGGTACATCACCTTCAAACATTCAACATGCGATTCAGCTGTGTTGGTGCGCTTCTTGCGCTCGCGGTCGGCGCCGTGGCTCAGAGCCCAGTCCCGTATACCTCAGTCCCGTATGTTATGCGCCTCATGTCGCACAAGCGACAAAGCAAAGTCGACTTGATCAACACTGACAATGACATGACAGTGCCGACGTCCAGAACTCCGTTCTCATGGTCCTTGCGACCGCGTTGCCCAAGGAGTCTGTTAGCTATGCGCTCGCATCCTCATCCGAGTTCGCTGCGCAGATGGCTTCTTCTCTGGCCGCTGGCAACCCACCTGCGTGGTACCAGGCGCTTCCTTCAGATGTGAAGAGCCTTCTGCCAGCTCTGTACCCTGTCGTCCACAGCGCAACTCCTACTCCCACTCCCTCTACCTCATCCTCTCTCGCCATGTCCACGCCCGCCAGCTCTGTCCCTTCCGTCAGTGCCTACCCGACTGGAGGAAACTCCACCAGCGCATCAGGCGTCCACATGCCCACTCTCTCTTCAACCGCCTCAGCCTCTGGTCCAGCTCAGGCCACAGCCAACGCCGCATCGTACCCCGGTGCCGCTCTAGGCGCTGGCGTCGGTGCCGCGCTGGGCTTCATCGGCATGCTCGCTCTGTAGAGGTCGAACCCCACAGAACTTCACATTCTGCTTCTACAAACCATATTTTTAACGGGACGAGACATTCTTAGCGGGCGGCGCTTCCGGTTCTACACGTTCTTTCACGACGCGACGTTGACATTCTTTGGAGAGAGAGTTTTTGATCTGCAGTATACCTTTGTCTTTTGGAGGAAGCACCAGTGGGTACGATCGTAGTGTCTATTGCGACGCAATGGTTTGGCGGCTTGATGTTTGGATTGCTACGCGATGGTCCATGTGCAGGTAGTTAAGTAATATATAATAATCAAATATTGTTGTACAATCAAGTCGAGCAATGAATGTCTCAGGTGACAGGAGGAAGTGGTCAAGAGGACGAGCGAGCGAGCGAAGCCATCTATATACGTCGTCAGTTGGGTCGTGCGAAGACACGAGCTGATGACGCGTAAGTGCATGCTCATCAACATCTAACGCAGGTACCCGGTCCCGCTCTCCCCGTCGACCCCACTCTAACGACGCAAGCCGCCTTCAAGATCCTTATCTCATCTCCCTTCACATTAAGATCTGACGAATGCTTACTCGAGGCCCGAATGCAAGATTGCAATCCTCAATCGCGGCTCGCTATCGACGTTCATGGTGGCCAGACACATCCCGCTGTCGTTCGAGGCGAAAGTTGAAGTCACTCTTTCGATGTTGGGCCACTCTCGTGCTCTGCCCCGCGAAGTCAGTTTTCATTAGTAGAGCATGTGAAGAGTCTGGACTTTTTGGTGGGAAGAAGCGTTTGGGATGTAATATGTATACTGGAGCAGGCCGAAGATAATGTTAGAAAGAAGGTTTCGCTAGTGTACAACAAAGATGACCAAACATGCTATATCGGTCTTATCTTTGGCGAGCGACTGGCAACTCATTTCGTAAGTATGCCGTGCTCATGGCGGTCCAAGGAGCCTTGTTGTAGCTGGTGTTGCCACACCCACAGTCAGCATCCCTTCCCGCCTCAATCTATGTTTTGATAGTGTACTCTCGACTCCCGTTATTAAGAGCGAAAGCTTGCCCCACTTCTCATGCCCAGGTCTCCAGTGAGGATCGTCATGAGCTGATTATAGCGTGCTAATCCCAAGATAGTCGAGTAAATGGCCATAATGTGAAGGTTTCTTTTTCACTGCTCGCTCGCTCGCTCTACCCATCTCTATCCGTGCAAGGCTTTCGGCAGCACAGATGATCGCAGATTCTTGCATGTCGCTTGCTGAAACCTTCTTCTCTGTCTCGAAGTACCCCGGGGAGATCCCATCGTTACCCCCCAATGGCCGCAGCACAACGCCTTTAGCTTCAAGATTCTTCCAGAGTGTTTCAGCCTTGAGCTATTGAAGATCTGGTAGTCCGATGTTGTCGTAGCAAAGACACTCCTCACTGTCCCCGATGAACGGATACGTGACACCTCTACAGTCCTTGGCGTCGCCGATCAGGCCCAGGTTCCGCTTAAGATTTGTGTTCCCTATTTCTTCAAATAAGTCCCCACAGGTAATGCCTGTAGGGTTTTCGATCACCAACTTGGCTTCACCGGAGGCTTTTGTAGAATCATAGCGGATGTGTTGGACGGTCAGGATCAGACGGTGCATAGGAGGCGAAGTGATGCACATGTGATGCCACGATGTCGATCGCTCTTCGCACAAGTTGTGTAGTGGCCGTAGCAGGCGGTAACTCAGCGAGAAGGCATCATCTAGATAGTGCTTTTCAACTCAGTGTGGCAGAAGTAGCGGGTGTAGCTCGAGCTGGGATTTATAAAGAGATACCATAGGTGTCGCAGAGGGCCTGCGACCGTCTGGTTTGTAATCAAGAATCACGCTTGCGTGTGCCCACGGCGTGTAATACTCGTCTCCAACGGTGACACGATCTCCGGAAGGCGTGCGTTGGGGGAGAAACAGCTTTGTACGTCTAGCGTTGGTGTCGTGAATGAGGGAACGCCCTTCTTTATTAACGCGAGTGAGGCGGAGGAGAGTGGTGAAGTCGATGTTGTCGGCGGAGAGGATCACGAGAACGATCTCTGGGCTAGGTGAGACACGTGAGACGACATGATTTGATGAAGCTTGGTGTTGCTCAAGTGCGCAGGTAGGTGCGACTGATCCGTGATATTGAATAAGCTGTTGTGGTAGTTGAATTGGTGAGGAGTGGGTAGGAGGAGATATAGAGCGCTAGCAGCTTAGTGGTGTTTCCCCAATCAGGTGAGGGGCAATGGATTGGAGGCGAATGAAGCTCCCTTGGCCATTCGTCACTTATTAGACAGACACGATGATAACAGAATCGAACGGAGTGCTCGGAGCCCCACCGAAGAGATCATGCAATGGCACCCCGAAAACACTCTCAATTGAGTCTGTACTCCCGCATTGTCGCTTCCAGGATGCAATTGTCGTTGAAAGTATGTGCTGATATATTCACTCGATCGTTCGACATTATCGTGTATTGTGTTCATGCTGTAGTCTATGCGTACTTCCGCGCATGGCTCATTTTGCTTTTCGTTGCGTTGCATCCCCGTTGGCCCCCTTTGCCGTGCTCTTTGCTTCCGCCTTCTCCACCTTTTCCTTTTCCTTCTTCTCCACGGCCCTCCTCTTTGCGCTTTCTTTCTCTAAAACTTCAATGGTCTTCGAACTGCTCTCCCACAATTGCTTTTGCAGTACCTCGTCCTCGATCTCCTTCCTTGTCCAGGTGACGCGCCTGCATTCCTTCAGGAAGTAGCTGCCCTCTCCTCTACCCCACTGCGCCTCCATCGCCGCGTAAAGAAACGTCTGCGCACCCTGGTCACCGCTCTTCAGCACCAGCCACCACAGTGGCCACATGAAGATGTACAACGCAAGCCCCCAAAGCGAACCGAAGGTGAGGAAGCGTCGCATGCCGGGTGTCCGAGTCCAGCCAGGATCGACCATGATGACACGTGCGTTCATGGGTTTCTTATCAGGACGGGCGTAGTTTGACAGATGCTTCTGAAATGCATCGGCGAATGTCATCAGGGCGAGCTTCGATGTTGCGTATACGCTGGTCGCCACGGGGTCGGTTGCCTCTGCTTTGGCACCTTTTTTTGGCTTGGCGTCGAATTCCGGCAGTTTTCCACCCATGTACGCACTGCATGTTCCGAATATAATACGGACATCTCGGTCGGGTGGCTGGGCTCGTAGTGCCGGACTGAGGATGCTCAGAAGGTGGAAGTTGGCAATGTAGTTCAGGCCCCAGGTCGATTCAAGACCGTCCTCTGTCATCGTTGCCTTTCCTCCGGGTGGTGTCATTGTGTTCGCGCACAGGATGATCATGTCTAGTCTACGTGGTGGCGCGTTGTCGACCCATTTCGTTGCGAACAGTCGTATGCTGTGTAAGGACGTGAGGTCAACGTGCTCGGCAGTGATCAGCTCGTTGCCTGTTTCGGTGCGTAGGTCCTCGATGTAGTCGACGAAGAAGGGGTCGGTGAGCGGCTGTTGAACCAGGAGGACGATTTGTGCACCGCGGGTTGCAAGGCCTTTGACTACTTCAGCTCCTATACCAGCTGTACCTCCCTAGTTTTGAACGTCAGTATTACTTCTCCAGCATCACAGATTCGTGAAGTAACGCACGGTAACCATGACCACCTTGGAATGCATATTCCGCTCCGACAGGTTGACCGCGCCGTTGAAGTACCATTTTAGCAGGTAAAGCAGCGCGAGCGCCGGAATTATCTTCACCGCAGTCCATCCGCCGGGTATAGAGGAAAGGCCCTCAGAGAAGGCGGCAGCGATGATGTTGACAGGCATAGCTGTCTGGTGTAGTGCGGAAAGGGTCTAAGGGACGCGGAACGATGGTGTCTACGCTAAGCAGATCTACGCACGTGGCGTCATCGAACATGTGATTGCGCGTGGTCCCTGTCGCCTAGAATAGTACCAAAACTAGTCGCATACTCGGTACAGATTCACTGCGCCGATGCCAGTACTCCACCGTCGCGGAAGATGGCGTAACAAACAACATCCCTCGCCCTGCCTCTGTTCGATCGGCACGCGAACTTGTACAAACCAACTACCACAGCCATGGCGACACCCAGCATGACCCCTCGCACCGAGGAGGATGAATATGAAGAAGACCCTCGATTCGACGATGCCGATGTCACGACGATCCCCTTCGCGCAGCAGCCGGCCTACGGTCGCGGTCTATGGAAGAACCCCATACAATTTGTCTCTGCCACGCCAGACAACCCCATCGCAACTGCTCCTGGCAAAGGCAATACCATGGCTGAGAAATACATGGCCATTATGTTTCCAAATGGTCAACCGCAGCCAAAGGCGGACGCATATCCGGCATGTGGCATATGTGGCGAGCCTGTCAAGGAAAAAGACCAACGAATGCACTTCCTCAGCCCTGCACACCAAGCTGCACTGCCTCGAGCGCCCATACCTTCAGCCATAGACCGGACGAGGATGGGGCTCAAGTACATGTCGAAACACGGATACGATGTCGATGCGCGGGTTGGCTTGGGCGCGAGTGGTCAAGGCATGCTGTTCCCGCTCGTGCCCAAGGAGAAGAGAGACAAATTCGGGCTAGGCATAGACAAGAAAGAGCACGAGAAGAAGAGAGCCCTGGGCGGCGCAAGTGCCGCAGACGTCAAAGAGGGTCGGCTGGATGCTGGCAAGGTTAGGAAACTTGCAAAGGTGGAGAAGAGGAAGCACGATAAGCTACAGAGGATTTTCTACGGCAATGATGAAGTCGAGAAGTACCTCGGCCAGCTGGATGGATAGGCTCCGTGGAAGCACCGAGGTCATACAGCGAGTTATGACACTCATCTTTGGGGGTTTTTGGAGGAGCATAGCAATGGCGTTTGGAGTTTTCTGGTCCTTTCCGAGATACCCAAAACTTTCAAACATTTTCAATCAAACATTTAGCACCAAGCATGAAGCTACCACGTAATTCTGCCTGTTTTACTAAACGCTAGCAGAGAGCGGCGTTACCTAAATTGCTGTAATTCTACACAAATAGTCTGCTGTAGCTCATTCTGAATGTCTGTGATGTGCTGTGGCCCAAAACTACATTCGTATTGTCGCCTCCGCGCCCGTTTTGTACAGCGCCCGATGCCGTGGCATAATAGGCTTTCCTCTCCTGCAACACTAGTCTCGAGTTCTCGATTCAACCCACTTGCTGAAGTGTAGGCTTCGGTTTCTATAGTTACGGGGCCCGCCACGAGCACGGCGAGTGAGTGTCTCTGCTATGAGGACTCGATAATCCATAACTCATTTGAACTAGTTTTGATGGGGATTTATGGTCTGCAAAAGATTTCGCGTAACCAGCTATACTATAAGTAGGTTCAAATCCTTCTAGTCGTAGTTGAGTATCCTCGAACCAAGTTGAACTTACACTATTATCGTTTGCAAAAGATGTGCACCCCCCCTCAGCCTCACTGAATAGAGCGTAGAGACACCTCCGTATACTCCTATTGGCTTAGATCTTCGTGATAGTCTAAGAGGGTCTAGATAGCCGTTAACAGGTGTCACTTTTAGAGCGAACTAGATAATTCTAACCTCTAAAATTGCTGCCCGCAATATGATATCATTAAGTACATCACTGCTCTCCTGTTACATCATTATTTATCATAGACTTTTGTCATTATAGAAGTTTAGGGGGGTGCACATCTTTTGCAAGGCACCGATACTATTGCACTTAGCCACAAGGAGAAGCCAAACTAGGCTGAGTTTAACACGGCGCAATCATGAGTTTTCATCGGTTTTGCATGATGGCGTTCGGAGGGCAAGAGATGCGTGCATTTAGTACTGTCAGCTTTGTATGTAATGCGGGGTCATCGCAACCGCGATTGACTACGGGAATCAGAATGCAGGTGACACGGAGGAAGGCACGATGATTAGAAAATTTGGCAAGGAAGATATAAGCTCAATCACTGTATGTTGTGAGTTTCCTGTAGGGATGTAGTCTTCCGGCCTTCGTCTGGTGAGTAGATACACACGTCCTCTCTCCGTTGCAGCACAATCGCAGTAGCTACCAGCAACACCAGTTAACTTGGATATAAGCTTCACTGGTTTCCTGCCGGTTTTTAAACGGGTTCTAGACTTTGTCGGTGTAATTTGTCCTCCTATCAACTATTGTGCATTATATCAAGGTACATATGCACTCTGAATACGAACGTTGGCGGTACCATTCAGGGCCGTATAGCCCGGTCTTGATCATGTTGATCGGACAAGTGAACCACCAAAAACCGCGCTCTGTGGTATATAAAGGCTATCTGAATGCCCAGTAATCGCCAAACTAATACGTACATTGCAGTGGCCAGGGCACCGTCGGGCTCTGCTACTCTGCCCCAACTGGAGTCAACTGGAACAGGGTCGAAGTTGACATTTTCTTCGGCAACGGACGCGGTCGTACATAATCCCCATGTCCTTCTTTCGTCCAAAGTATTCCACAGCGGGCTTGCAAAATCATGGCCCACTGCTACGTTCCCTCAAAGCATCTTTCCGCTAATCATCTTCCGCGCGAATTAGGGGGCCTCCAGACCTTCTGCAACGTCAACTGTGCAGGCGGCGCGTCCGTTAAACAGCAAGGCACCAATTGCTACTTGCCGATCTCGGGATGCGCCATTGGAAGCTTGTAAGCACCTATGGTCCTTGATACCAGGGGCTTGTCTGACCTGAACTTTAGCCGTGTCATCAACTGAGTTCCATGATACTGCCACTCACCGCGCCAGGAGGGTGCTATGAAGTGTGATGTACAGGTATCAGGTGTTAGTTGATTCCGAATAAATCTTGAAAGTGTCAAGGTTCTGTTTGACGCAGGTTGAGATAGAAGATGGTGACTAGCCTTAGCAAAATGACGAGATTTGAACATCATCTCAAGAAGTGCAAAACATTTTAACTTCAACATATAGTAGTCGGAGCTGGAGTCATACGGCGGGTGCCCCACTATCCTATCTCTAAGTGTTCTTCCACCCCGCAATTTTAGCCGCCTACAAAATCTCTTCTATTATGGCCTAGCCGAGCAACCACTTCTCTGCTTACTTTACTTCCCATGACCAATTTTGGCATATTTGAACCATACAAATTTAGAGCCTTCCATCAAATTATCCAAACGTTGATGTACGGTCGCTTAGCTCAGTTGGTTAGAGCGTGGTGCTAATAGCAATTGTTGCCTTGACACGCCAAGGTCGCGAGTTCGACCCTCGTAGTGACCATTTCTTTTTGCCAATTTGCCCTCCTATCAGGTCGAACATGTGTTAGGAAGCCCCCCGGCCCCCCCTCCCTTCTTTTTTTCTTTTCCAGCTGTAGTCTGTTTGACCCTCATAGTTGTTGTTTTGCTGCTGCACTCCATTCATATAGCCTCCTGAACATGTTGAAGCCATGCTATGATCTTTTTTGGTTATACCGGGAAGAAGACATCTGGTTGATGTGGCCTAAAATGTTCTCAATATCAGCATCGGTGCTGTCCACGCTATCTACAATTACACAACCCAACCCGGGCCAAACTCCAAATCCTCCACCATCTATTCCCCATTCTCCCCAGCCTGCTTCGCAGCCTGCATGGCCTTCCACTTCTGCGCATTCGCCATGAGTTTCGCCAATTTGGCCGCGCTCTCGTCGTCCGCAGGGAAGACATAGTCAACATACTCCTCGAACTCGCCATCGTCCAGCTTTCTTCTCTTCTTGACCTTCCTCGGCATCTGTTTCTCAATCTTCTCCTGGTCTTCCGCGGTGCCGTGGATGGCTTCGAAGGATCGCCAGGCAGTGAGCAAGGCGACGCGATCGGTCGTGGCGTTGAGATCCTTGAGACGTGTGTGTGCGCGGGTGAAGATGTCGCGGGCACGGTCTTTGGCGGCTTCGGACACTGGGCGGTCTTCGTCTTCGGCGGCGGTCTCGTCGCCTTCGTCGGGGACGGAGAGTTCAAATTGTGCCCAGGAAGTCCAGACCTTGACGTGGTCGGTCTTCTGGAGGAGACGCTCGTAGAGAGCGCGTGTGCGGTCGTACTCGCCCTCGCCTTCCTCGAAATCGATATAGGCTTTCCAGAGCAGTTCCGGCATGTCTAGTTGTGGTTCGTCCACGGCGAGTTCGAAGATCGCCCGGGCACGATCAAGGTCGTCCAGTCCTCGCTCCAGCTCTGCAAACTTGATCCAGGTCTGGCAGTTTGAACCGTTCCACTCAATGTACTTGGTGTATAGCTGTCGACACCGGCCGAACTCAAATAGCTTCATCTCAAGCTCAATGTAGCCTTTGAATAGCTTGTCCTTGGGACACATGCCGATAGCCTGACCGAGCAGCTTCCGCGCAGTCGTGAGCTGGTTCTGTCGGACTTCGAAATGCGCGAACATGAGCCAGACTTTGGCAAAGGTGAAGCGCTTGTGCGGGAGTAGGCGTATGCACTCTTGGTAGATTTGCCGTGTTCGCTCAACGTCGCGTGACACGGTCTCTTCGAAGACTGCGTAGAACAGCCACAGGTATATGTATCGTCTCCAATGTCGCTTCTCTTGTGTTGGTGGTATTTGCGCAATCGCACGTTCGTACACGTCCCGCACGCGATCTGTATTTCCAGACGTCTCTTCCAGGCGTGCAAAGTCTATCCATGCGTCGTAGTTCTTCGGGTTCTCCTTGACCTGCTCCTCGTAGTGTACCCTTCGCTTTGAAAGAATGACGTCCTCGATGCCGTCCCTGTCACCGAACTGTTTCTCAAACTGCGTGAATGCCTTGTGCAGATTCACCGACTTCGATCGTGGCATCCGATCCAAGGCGAATTTGTAGATTGCTCGGGCGCGCTCCAGCTCTTTCAGTCTTGCTTCGAATTTCGCGTACGACATGAACAGCTTCTCGTCCATGAACTCATCACCGAGTGTTTCCACTGCCGTGCCGTAAACATCGCGGACAAGATCGCTGGTGCCATTCTCCTCCTCAAATTTTGCCCACTTGATCCAGTTCTTCGGCTCTGGGTGGACAACGGTGAAGCGCTCGTAGATGGCCCTGGCTCTTTCGAACTCGCCATGCCTTTTCTCCAGCTTGATGTACGATGACCATGCCGCCTCATCTGGTTCCCACTGCATCCACCGCTCAAAGACAGAACGAGCACCGTCAATGTTGCCGAGGGTCTCCTCCATGTAGACATATTTGTACCACAGCTTATCGATCCGCGGCAGAATAGTGACGGCTCGATCCAGCAGGTTTCGCGCATGGTTGATGTTTCTGTGCTTCATCTCGGCCTCGATGTAACGCAGCCATAGTGCAACAGCAGTGCTGTCGACGTCCAGCGCACGCTCAAAGATGGATCGCGCACGTCTGAACTCTTTCTGTTCGAGTTCCCACTGCGCATAGCGCATCCAATTGTTCATGTTAATCCTGTTGCGCCGCACATAGTCCTCAAACTCCTTCCTCTTCCTGCCCTGGAACTCGTGCAGCTCCTCCAAGTCGGCAAAGCGCTGCGTCGGCGCCTTGAGCTTGTCATCTTGACGGTCGACGGCTTCGCGAAGCAGCTGTTCGGCGCTGATCTGGATGGGCGCGGCCGCCTTGTTCTTGACGCGCGGAGGTCCTCGTGAGCTCTCCATGTCGCCGGTCGAGTTGGGGTGATCTGAGGTGGTACTGCGATGTTTGCAGGACGCTTCGACGTCGCGTCGGGAATCCTCAGAAAACGCCGATCGCGTCTAGTTGGTGTTGCGGAGATGTGATTGAAGCTCGGGTTGTGAAATTCATACGGCGGCGCCTTTACCGCCTGGCAGTAAAGTTGTCTCCACGCCAAGCGTCAAGCTTCCCACGTCACAATCGCGACTTCTTCTACAATTCCGCTCTCGACAACAATCCAATCCACACCAACCTCTCTGTCGGCGGCTTTCCAGGCAAAGGTACGTAACAGCCTGCGTGCTACTTCAAGCTCGTCACTCAACCACATCACAACAGGAGGGGAACCTCCGGCCGCCTTTGCGCACCCACCACCGTCGCGAAGACTACGCAAGCGCGCGCATCTATCCAAGATGGCGACTCTCGAGCAGGAGCTTATGGCCGACTTCGCCGACTCTGGCGACGAGGACTTGGCCGATTTGGAGAATGATTTCGCTGGAGGCGCATCACCACAGGCGGACGCGGATGGAGACGAAGAAATGGTTGACGAAGAGGCGCAATATGCTGCGGAGCACGGCAAGAAAGAGAAGAAGGGACCCGCAGACATCCGAGGCGCCCAAACGCTCATGAAGGATCTCACCCCAGTACTCGAACAAATCGACGTGGTCAAGGATCAGACACCGGAGATCTTGGACGGCGAGTCTATCGAGGACACTCCCGAGTACCAGCTACTCAAGGAAGCCAATGAGTTCTCAACACAGATCGACGGAGAGATCCAGGCTGTTCACAAGTTCATTCGAGACCGTTACTCAGCAAGATTTCCCTACCTTGAGGAACTCGTTAAGAATCCGGTCGACTATGCTGCTACTGTTGCCGTGCTTGGGAACCGGTCCCTGAAGGAGATCAAAACAATTGCGCAGAGCCCCGATAACGTCGTCGGCATCGCGCTTAACACTATCCTGCCCGCCCCTACACTCATGGTCATATCAGTCGAAGCCACTCGTGCAGAGGGCCGCGATCTTGATGAAAATGAGCTCGAGATCGTTGTTGATGCATGCAAACTTCTTCTTCAACTCAATAAGACCAAGGACACTTTCCGGGACTTTGTCCAGTCACGCATGACAATTTTCGCGCCCAATCTCACAGCACTTGTTGGTTCACTTACGGCAGCCCAGCTGATCAACCATGCTGGTGGCATTCACGGATTAGCCAAGACGCCTGCATGCAATATTGCGCCGTTGGGCCAAAACAAGGCTTCTGGTCTTGGACTCGCAACCAACACAGGCGTGCGGAACCAGGGTTTCCTCTACCACAGTCCTCTTCTTCAAACCATCAGACAGGACTTAAAGAAGCAAGCGATGAGGATCTTGAGTGGAAAGGTCATTCTTGCAGCACGAGTCGACAGCGTGGGCCAGTCTCGAAATGCCGAAACGGGCAACCAACTCAAGGACGAATGCGAAAAGCGACTGGACAAGCTCACTGAGCCGCCCAAGAACAACGGTGTCCGAGCTCTACCAGCTCCGGACGACAAGCCCAGCCGCAAGCGTGGAGGAAGACGAGCAAGAGCCCAGAAAGGTAAGATGCTCTTCTCAACTTACGACTTACCTAATACTAATTGTTACAACAGCAAGCGTAGCCATGACAGAGATTCGAGCAGCCCAAAACCGCATGGCATTCGGCAAAGAAGAGAAGGAAATTGGCTACGGCGACTCAGTCAAAGGCATGGGCATGGTCGGCGCAAAAGACACCGGACGCCTCCGCGCGCAACAAATCGATCCCAAGACACGTGCCAAACTCTCAAAGAAGCAAGGCGCTGGCTGGGGCGGCGACACCACTCTCGGCGCAGCATCTTCACTCAAGGGCTTCGGTGCTGGCGGCACAGCTACATCCCTTCGCGCACAGGGTCTGCGAACCGGTGGCGTTGGACTCGGAGGCACTGGAACGAGCTCGATTGCCTTCACGCCTGTGCAGGGCTTGGAGCTCGTTGATCCAAGGGCTAGGGAAGAGATGAACCGCAAGAGGAAGGCGGACGAGGACAGGTGGTTCAAGGGCGGCTCGTTCACGCAGCTTGGTGGCTCGTCGAAGGTGGATGCGGGCGGCTTCAAGGTTCCTGCGTTGCCTGCGAAGAGGCCCAGGACGGAGTCGTAGATGGGGTCGTGGCTTTTGGATGTATTAGCATTTTCATGGCGCTTTGGCGATACCATTTCGTGGGTGTGTGCATCGGTTGGCGTTGGTAGGATCCTGCCTCGAAGGCACTCTAGTTATATAGCGAACAGCAAAATTTCACCATGCTCGCGGTACGCGACATCTGACATACCTTTGAGTGCTATCTAGTGAGTGTAACAGTCGGCGTCTCACGCTGCTTCCTTTGCTTAGCTAAGTCGGTTATCCAAAAGCATCGCCAACTGCCGCAGTGATGCGTGTGTGCTGTTTGAAGTCAAAGCGCTATTAGAGAGTGACCATCGTGTTATTTGTGAGGCTGAATAGCTTCAGAAACTGCTTACGAAAGAGAAATGTGTAAGAGTTACACAGCCTAAGCTATCACTATGCGGTTAGCAAGCACATTCCTCACAAAAGAGACACGAATCAACGCAGCACCGGACGGCACCACCCATGTTCCAAATAACAAATCATCCAATTCGTCTAAGACTCGGCAGTCGATCCTCTATCATACCAAAACCGGGGACTTCACAAGAAGTGGTATCTTGCGCGCGCAGATAATAACAGCAACCAAGATTTAACGCCGTTTGTTGAAGAAGGGAAAAAAGGTACACCAAAGTATTAATGCAGGGTGAGCCACTGGTGAAGGGTTGGGCCGAGAGCCTTTTGTGGATCGTGGAGTCCAATATGCTACAGGGAGGTGGTGTGCGGACCGAATTTGGGGGTGTATATAGGATGATGGGAACGCTGGTATTATACAGGAGGGTTCGGGACCCTGAAGTGGCGTAGGATAGAGGCGGTGTGTGTTCGATGTAGGTCGGTGAGGATGGCTTTCGGATGATACGCGAAGGTTGTATGCGACGGGACGGACATATTCAGTGGACAAGGTTGGTGCTGCTTAGATCATGCTGCTGTAGCTTAGTTTGATACTGGAATCAAGGCCTTGGGTGAGGGTGTATGCTGATAGGCCTCGAGTAGTCCACTGGAGTTGAAGATACAGATGAGGGTTGTGTCGATGGTAGAAGGTAAACCTCTGCCTCTTGACCAGGTATGGCCCACTGTACTTCCATTCTTCTTGACTGTTCCTGTCCCGTCTCTGCGAGTCACCGCTGTTGACTTCTGTATGCGCTCTCTTGTGTCGGCGATGACCGTGGGGAGCGGCGAAGGTTGGGTGAGCGTCGGACTGTGTCTGAGGCGAGCGTTGCAGCTGCACTTTGAGTAACGGGCATGGAGTTTCCAATAACATGGGTACCCTTCTGAGAGCCCCCGCTGCCGGGTGAGTGGTGTGTGGCACGGACCGTAGATGGCGTGGCGGGTGATCGACCACCAGCGCCTTGTGGAGCTCGTGGTGTTGTGCTAGCACCACTCTCTATACTGACGTGCTTGGCACGAGGTGTGGTATCTTGACTGCCTCCAGAACGGCGTTGTGCATTTACCCTCGGCGTGTTCTCGTGGCTGCTACCCTGTCTCGGCGATGGTTTGCTCGTGGATGTTGATCGACTGTGTGCAGCAGCTCTCGACTGACCTTGAGCTGCAGGATCTGTAAGCGGATGACCCTCGGCTGCCCGTCTGCTGGTCTGTGGGCTCCGCTGAGCAGCCGCTACAGGAGCAATGCTGCCGTATGTAGTTCCACCGCTCGCCTGAACGTCACCTTGTGCAACGGGCTCCGGACTACCCATACCGCCAATCCGCGGTGTCCCTTCCCAGCTCTTGCGTTTCATCATGCGGCCCAAGATGCCGACTAGCTCTGCTGCATCCTCAAACTCAGTGTCGTCCATGGCTTCTTGGGCGCGGTAGACATCCTTGATTGCGCGCCTGGCGACTCGTCGGGAGCCATCATGGTCGTGGCAGCAGTCCCACAGAAATGCGCTGTGTTCAAGCGCTACTGACAATCTCAATGGATGTGACCCGTGAAGGAATTGAGTTGCGTACGAAGTAGCTGTCGCAAAGTAGCCGCTCGCCAAAGGCACGAAGTTGAGGGGCGGCAAGATGAACGACGAAGGCTGAGGGATGGGAACGGGGTTCAGGCCAGGTGGCGCGTTGATTGGCGGTCCAGGCGACGGTGTGCCGACTGGTCCACCAGCTGCGTATGGGTTCGTGACGAAGGAAGTCTCTGAGACTATGGAATCTATGGGCTCGCGAAGGGTGGGCTGTTTACCTGCGCGCTTCGATGGGGGTGAAAGGCCAGGTGGGCCTGCCTTGCGCCCTGGCGAAAGTGGCAGAGGAACTAAGCCCGGTGCCCGTGGATCTGTCGAAGTCATGTTTGTTGTGGTTACAGGCGGCTGATTATGGAACAAGCAGAAGATGTGGTAGAAGCTTGCTCGCAGCTTGACACTCAGAACCCTACATTCGGGCCCATGCTGGGTTGTCTTGTGCGTACGGGAGTACGTAGAGCTCCAGTATCGACAGACCTTCTCGAGACATCCATAATAATGTGCTGGTAGGCGGCGAGTGACGGCGTGTCTCGACTCGTGTCGAGCTTGCGAAGCTTCCTCGCGCGGATGAGTCGTCGTGCTAGGAGCACTGAAAGTCCTAGGATCTGGTAGAGAGCCGCCTGACAGGAAGGGGTTGGACTCTTCTGTTTGCTTGGCTATCCGACCAAGGAATTTCTGGTCAAAGTCTAAAGAGGCCATTGTGTTGGGGCTTGTTGTGCTGATTCCTGTTAGGTTGATGTTCGTGAGGGAGGTGCGATGATGTGGTTGGACGGAGGGAAAGGGCGACTGTTGGTGGAAAACCCAATACCACGGCCAGAGCCTTTCGAAGGTGAAATTCTGAGACTACCAAAATGGCAATGATGGTAATCGCGTATCCAAGACAACAGAAAGTTGTGAAACTAGAGGTAGACCCTCCGGGATAGGCGCAAGCAACTAGGAAAAGTATTCACTCACTGTCAACCAACCCGGACCGTTGCCTGTATCTCAAGACCAAGACACAGCGCAGCCCGGTCCGAGCTGACCGATGGCGTCTTTCGATGACGCCGCTCAAGGAGATGAGAATGTGGGACCTAGCAACGGGTGCTAGCCAGTTGATGGGTTTCGAGAGGCGATCAGATAGCCGTGCGCTTGGGCCCCTCGAGTGAATTGTGATTCCCGTGATGACCCTATTCGGAGATTGAGCGTTGACCTAGGCGCCGCTCGGAAAATTCCTGGATTAGGCAATGCTGGTGAAGTAACAATGGCACAGTGTGCGAATCTTGAAGAAGCCGTAAGGCAAATGCGCGGGTTGGTGGTAATGTACAGAATGCTCAGATGGGCGCCAGGACTAATTTGGAATATCTGATGAAGTGTCAGTTGTACGCCCGAATGTTGAGATGCCCTCATGAGGTGTCCATCAAGGCTTGGAGATGTCCATTTACCTCTATTAGGACAAGTCGAGTCGCAGCGTCTGTTCAGGGTCGACGGCGTACTCCCATTCGACGGGCGGGAGGGCAATTGAGCCAATGGCAGCGCGCAGTGGATGAGGCGACGCGGGGACTTCCTTGCGACAGGCTAGAAGGCTTCAGGTATGGGCTGTGAAGTGAATTGTGGCTGGGAGATCGATTTGCGAGGCCTTGGACAGCGCATTGCGACTACGTCGAGCTCTGCGGTCCTGCGCGCGCGGTCCTGCGACGATATTAAGGACGCGACGGTCAGCAGGCGGTGTAGCAGAGGTCAGTGCAGCTGTTTTAGACCCGAGGAAGCGAACTGGGCGGCACACTCCACGAACTCAAGCTGCCTGCGGATTTGCGCGAGGATGTCTCGTCGAACGTAGCGGGGGTCCCTCCGCGACTCGAGGGCTCGAGGGCGGTATCGTGGTCCGAAAAGCGAGCGGGATGCGCGTGCGCAGCAATTGGCAACTGAGTAGCACAACGACAACCACAACGGCCGGAGCGAGAATTTGGCAGGGCGAGCGCGAACCGTCGACGACGTGAGTATTAACCCGCTCTCCATCTGCACCGGCCGCCTGGGAATGCAGGTGCAGCTCCTGCGTCAATCTGCAGACAGGCGAGCGCTGTTGGTCGTTGACGTGTTCTCCGCTAAACCTCACCCGCTCGCATGCATCATCTTTTTCCCGTTAATAGTTCAGATGGGGGCGTTGCCAGCTGGCATCCGAGCCTAGAGCTGCCATATTGCCTCTACCGCCATCTGACGACACACCACCTTGACCACCTACACTGCAAAATCGCCGTTTTTTAGGGCTTGCCAGCGCGTGCAGGGCTGTGCCTCATGAGCTGGTCTCAGATGAAATACCACCGGCTGCCAGCGCATCAATACACGGCTGGTGTGCGCAGCATTTCATCATTCTCTATCCCACGCAGCTGGCCCTTGACAGCCCTACTGTGTACCTACAGCGCGCCAGTTCAGCCACTACAGACCAGCACGCCCTGTAGCTGTCACTATTGGCAACTACAGCACGCCAGACCCCACGGTGGAGTCCAGCAGATGCAGCTGACGGGTTCGCTGGCGAGCCGACAGCTCGCGGCCGCATTATGGTACTCCGTCCCAAAGAGCTGGATGACGCTGTGAGGTGGAGCATTACTGCATCTCCCAGCCTTCATACCCACCAACATTGTCGACCAAACAGGCATGGGACGAGACTACTGATATTCTTCCGCTACTGTTTCGTCATAACCTCACGCGCTGCCATGCAGACTCGCAGCGAGTTTGCATCGAAACGATCCACTCCGAATTAGCGGTGAACGTGCATTTTGATTGGCTGGAATATTGAAAATGCTGGCCAACGCAGTTAGCGGGCTCTCGACCAACATCCTCAAGACACCATCAGCCTCCTCGGTGCCTGCTAGCAGCAGCATTGTAATCGCCAAAGGTGACTTTGTTAGTACATGATGCATTTGGGCGAACGCTTTCTCCCAGCCCCTTCTATACTACAAGGACGCAGGAGCGCTTTCGGACCTACTATTCGAATCTGCTCTCTCTCAGTATACCCAGGTACGAGCCTTGAATTCTTGTCACGTGGATCGAATGACGGCTGCCAAGTCGCATGGCGATGTTGAATATACCCTGTACAAGGTGTCGGTGTACTCTGAATCGAGATATAACCTCCTAGTGCTGCTTGGGCGGCCCGATCATGGCTCGTTCCCTTTCCGTAGAAGCCGGACAAGGGTTGCCGGAGTTGTGACTTCTCTACAGATCATCGCAGGTCCTTGACTACGTGGGAACCCAGCCAAGAGAACTCAGTCGCAATTCAATCTCCGTGTCCGGTTTGTACCTGGGTAAGCTTGTACCTTTTTGCCTTTCTCACGTCGTAGATTGCAACAAAAGTGTCGATTTCATTACGCTATCTGCAAGTTCCCGGAAGACTTCCTGAGGAGATTTTAATAATAGCGACATGATTACCGATAACATCAGCAAGCCGCAAAGAACAAACAAACGGGAAGTACCCAGTAACGCCTTCCTATGGTCCTTGTTGGACAGGGTGAACAAGTGCTACCTTCATGTCGGTTAAGCTTTGGGTTCATCCCGCAGCATGTATGTGGCCGCACGCTCATGCGATGTCACAGTTCAAGGAACCCAAACTGTAATCTTGTGCTGATTCCACAGGCATCTTTCCGCTGTCGCTTGAAAGCAGGTACCCGAATCAGACTGTCGCGATAGCCGAGAAAGGGAAAACATCGCAAGACTTTCGAGGCGCACGAAGGTCAGTGTAACCGCAGTAGCCAAATCAAGTCATAGTTTGCGATGTTACCGCAATTGCCTAGTTTGACATCCGCATCGGCTGCTTGTAGGATATGAGCAAAGGGATTCCGAAGTGATGCAGGTTGCTTCCGCTGGCATCAAACTGAGGTACAGTAAAACAAGGGATGCACCATGATGGGCCCAACGACGCATAGAGTATCACATATAAGGGTGTGGGTAGGTCACAGGAGAGAACAAATACCACGGATCACAGACATCGTCGATCGTAACTCTCACAGCTTTTTCACAGTCGTTACTTCACACCATCTTTGCACCTGATCGCATCGTTGTTTCAAACACTAGACAAAAAGACTGAGGTACGAGGCATGCCAATCAAGCACAACAGACCTTCGGCTGACATTGATGACAGTTTCTAGCCTCTTTCTGTCCAACACAGTCATCAGCACCTCCACCGATATTCAATCAGTGTTGTCACCTTCCACCAGCTCAATTATTACCTCGCACACACACCCCAACCCACGAAATCACCATGTGCTTCTACCACGCATACTCGCACAGGTGCGGCCACACTCAAATGGTGCTCCAACAGCTTTGTCCCAAGGGCCAGATGAAGCAGCAAAAGTGCGCTCGCGGGCAGGATGGCACCATCTTGGCGACCGTCAAGGTCGAGACACCATGTAGCGTTTGTCCGAACAGGGTAAGATTGATATAGTGGGCAAACAGGCGTACGTGTACTAACTTGGAGAACAGTGAAGCAATCTGGCAACCTGGGAAATTAGAGAGGCATAAGGAACGTCTTCTCAGTCAACAGTCTGAGGACATACGCGGTGCGGTTTGGCTTTAGATTCTGACCACAATCACTTGTAAGCGAGAGCTTCGGGTGCGGCTGAGACTTTGTATCACAGTTGTCGACTTTTCATTGGCAGTAGTAAGGCGTCTTTTCAATCCAGGTGTATTGTCATTCTATAGACATGAGCTTAGCTCAAAATCACTACACAATATACAACCCAGGGCGGCGCGCAACCACCATTCATACATCTCGTCGTCCAAGCTCTCTTTGCTTCAACCCCAAGGAGAAGTAGCTTCAAGCACGCATCGATATCAAAATCAACACCACGCCGCCCCGCTCAATCACGACGCTCAGCCGTATTCTTGAGTCTATCAGCCAGATACTGCCTAAGCACCTTCTTCTCATCCTTCTTCAGCATCGCCAACATCTCCTTCGTAATCTCCTCGCCGTCCTCTTCCGCCTTTTCGTTCATCCTGATCTGCATCTCCGCACAGATGCGCTCCATATAAGCCTGCTTGAAGCCAAGCAACTTGCCCTCGCGCTCGCTCTGTCCGAACGCAGCAGACTGGTCACCACCGGGGTTCTCGACACCAGTGCGCATGGCCGTCATACCAGGCGGCATGAACATGTTCCTGCGCTCCTCCTGCCTCTTATCCAGATCCGTGGCCTCGGCGTACTCCGCGGCGAGACGCTGCCAGACTTCATAGTCCTCCTTGGAACCAGTGGAGCGGAACTGCTGCTCAGCGGCGTACATCTGGCGACTCAGCTGGGCGATCTTGGCAGCCTCGGTGCGGATCCATTCAGCGCGGATGATGGCCTGCTCGTTGAGACGGTCGCGAGTCTCCTGAGTGTGTTGTAGCTTGCCATGGACCGTGGAGAGGGGTGGGGGAGGAATGGGTAGGTCAACGCGGGTAGCAGTGCCGTTGGCGAAGGGGAGATCAGCTGGGAGGGACGGAGTTGGCTGGAAGACTGGGGCATTGGGGGCGTGGAAATCGCGGCGGGCGAGCGGCGAGTTGAAGCCCAGATAGTTGGATGAGCCGTTCCTGTTCTGGTTGCGCTGCGCGCTCGGAGAGCCACGGACCTCGAAGGGAGGCGTAGCAGGAACTTGGACTGTGGGAGTTGAAGGAAGTGGCATGTCCTCACGAGCATGGGTGCCGAACGGTGAGGTTCCAGGCGAACTGCCGCCCATACTGTTGTTCTCGACGAAGGGATCCGTGATGTTGCGCGCATGACCGAGACCGGATGCAGGTGTCTTGCGATGATAAGGGCTACCTACAGCATTAGCTGAGACCTTGAGCACATGGAGATCTATTTTCTCCTGGCTCCTCTTGGCCTTTCTTCCGTACTGGCCGTTGCGGTGAGGAGAGCTCTGCATGGGTGAGTCTGGCGACATCAGGGTTGCGAGAGCAGCGCTGAGGTTGTGGAGAGCTTGTGGACCTAGAGGTGAAGGAACACTCGGCATCGTCTGGCTGGTCATTTTGCGGTGGTTTCCAAAGCCGCCGGGAACGTAGATGCCGCTGTCTTTGGGCGGAGAGGTTTTGTCAGTGTCCGGCGATCTATGCTGAAGGCCAGGAAGCCAGTTCTTCTGCGGTGTCTTACTTCCTAGGGAAACCTCGCTGCTGTTGTTCAGGGCGCGACCTTCACCGATGACACCAAAGTCTTCGATGGAAGAGCAAGAGAGATGCTCATTTGGCCCCGACTTCATGAAAGCGCCATCCGAAGGACTCATGAAAGCGTACTTCGCGGACTTAGGTTCTGCGTCAGAAGTTGCGGTGTCAGCGTTGATCTGGTTATCGTTGAAGCCGAGCGTAAGCTCATTCTTGATGAGATCATCTGCCGTTTGCGCCCTGATGGTTGCTTCGGACTTGATCGAGGACGAGGACGAGGTTGAAAAGTCAGTTGTGTTGGATGAAGTACCTCCCATGCCAGTGTCCCATGCTCCAGGTGCATCGACGCTCATGCCAACGTCATTGGCAGCACCGATGTCGTTCCTGGTCTCGTGGATCTTTGAGAGCGGGTTGGCGAAGCCATTGCCGTTTCTCGACCAGACACTGTTGGCCTGATTGCGAAAGGTCTGAAAGCCAGGCGAGTGTTGAAGCGCGTCGTACTGGTCGACATGCACAGCTACGCCATTGTTTTGCGCATTAGGTTCGTCTTGCTGTTGGTTCTGAAAGATCGGCATTGACACGGATCTGCCGAAGGTGGACTTGTTGTTCTCCATGGTGGTGGGACAAGCGGTGCGCGCGACGTCGTGGAGAAGGAGTCGAGAGTGCTGTGTTGTTAAACCAGGCGGCAGCGCTCGAGCGGAAGATTTTTGCTGCGCGCAAGGCCGTTTGCAAGATGTTGCGTTGCTATACGCAACGGAGTGTTGTTGTGATGTATCGTGAAGTGAAAGTGAAAGCCTCCAGGGCTTGTGGTGCGGTGAAGGGAAGCACAACTTCTGCCTAATGAACGTCGGCGTACAACAAGGATCTAGATCGTATTTTGTTAATATGAGGTCCGGTAGTGGAGAGATGCGTGTGCACCAGATATGAAGAAGATGAGGTGTGGACAACTGAGCAGACTGCTACCTGTCATTTTTGAGCGGATGCCCTGAGCATAGACACGACATGTCCACGGGTGGCTGATCTTAGCGAACCATAAACGTCTTGAGAGAATTTTCTGCCAGGGTAGGCTTTTGAAGAGCGATTTAACCTGTTAAATCTTACGAGCATTGGAACATACCCAAGGACGAAACCCCTCAGAAAAGGACAGTAAGGGAACCGAAACCACAGGGCGACCCAAGCTACACAGTGGCAAAATGAGAAAGAATACCCATCATGGGTTTGCTCTCACACCCACAACCTCTACCAGATGTTTTATATGAAAGCCTGGATATATGCGCAGGCTTTTTAGAGTGCAATCGATCGCTAGAGGAGCTTTGAATATATACAGGCTTAGTTATCGCTGCGCCATCAGTATTCATTGTGGTGCGTGAGAATAACGGTACCGATCATTCCTAAGCGGTCTCGACCGAGATAAAGCGCAATTTGGTTCTCGATGATACAAAATTCACTTAACTTTTTTATAGCTCGATTTTACCATGGAACGTTCCCCAGACTAGAGCCTGAACACGGCCACATCGCCTTTATAAAAACATCGCCTTTCCAATGAACTCATGTTCGCTTCCTCTCTATCCACACTTTTGATCAAACTTAAATGCGACAGGATTCAGCACACATATGATGTGGAAAGTATAAGATACTCAACACTGGGGACATCTCCTCGAACACAACATATCGAGTATCTTGAAGACGCATCGACCACAATATCTACTCCTCTTCAATTGCACCATGATGATTTTATTGAATGCCCCACAAAACTTTACTCACAAGCGGCACTGCGCGCACAAAATGCTAAAGCTGTCCCTACTCTAGTCTCTTTCGGCATACCCACATAGCCGTCGCATTCCTCCTTCCGCTCCACCAGCCTGCACTATCGATTTGACTGGGTGTTGGTGCGAAACCGGTGATCGTGAGTATGAAGAGGCAGCAAAGGCGAAGGGGGTGGCGGACAAAAGCCCCGTTTCCTGGTTCCGTGAGACCAGCTTCGGATACAGCAGTGCGACCGCGTGATCCAGAGGTTGATAAGATAGGTGTCAACGATGTGTGGAATTATCCACACGCGGTGGCCGAGCTAAAGAGGAGAGCGTTGTCGAGAAGAGGGATCCAGGAGCTGTCATCGGAGGTGACAAGTCGATTGAATGAAATAGAAATGTGGGGATAGGAAGACATGCCCGAGGTGATCGACGATGAGTAGGAGGACCAACCGAATCGAACAACATGCTACTTGCTTCTGACATTCTGTATTTTAACGTATAAAGAAAGTTACTTGCAGTTTTTCGAGCTGGATTTTGTTGTCTTGCTTTCTTCAAGTTTAGTCTACATTCTTGCGCTTCTCTGGACGCCGCATAAGAGTTGCAACAGGCTGAATCTTTCTAACGCACGATAAGTTTGGCGCAAGACAGATTCGACTGTTAGCTGAGTGTGGGTGCGGTCCAAGGTCAAGCACTGGCGCCACTTCGGTGCGTGTCAGGACAACGCTAAAACTCTTCCTCAAGCTACAAGCAACAGCCAGCAGACTCAATGAAGGGAGAAGGAAGGTCGCGCCAGGAGAAAGTAGTGTGAGATCTCCGGCACTGTGCCAACGAAGCTATGAGCAAGCTCAGGGAGCTCGTCGACGGGTACAAAAATAAGAATAACCATGTAAGGTGCCCTCTGTGAGGACATTCTAGCGGTTAAACTAGAAAGAACAGATACTACACATGATCTAAGCCAGAATTGGCAAAGAAAAGCTAAAGAACAGAAGTTGGGGAGGGGGGAGCGGCGGGTTATATAGAGGCTGGAAGACTCCAGGCAGTAGGTCACGTGACATTCACGTGGGTTGCGCTGCCTTCAGCTAATATCCATGGCCCACAATGGCCCACTTTCAACACTTTCATCCTATTACCATTCGATGCGTTTGTAGGCACCAGCCACACGTGATTTTGATAGTCTTTCTGGGCACTGGTGCTTCGAACATATGTGCAGTTTGGCACACGCGATGCGCATGGGGCTCCACGTGGCGGTTCTGCATCAAGATTTCTTGCCTCAAGGTCGAACTGTCCAAAAATAGTATCCCTTGACACCTCCATGAACCTGGAATAGTGATATGAGCACTTTGCGCAGTCCTGGTTTGGGCAGTACAGCCCATGTCTTCCCGGCGATCGCACCGCAGTGACCGTGGACATATCATCGAGTGCACTTTCTCTCATGGGCTTGAAAGAGCAATGTTGCCGAGGATAATAATAATTATCCATGTAGCCTTCAGGTCTGCTGTCCATCAAGCAGTCTTGGCGCACCTTATGTTTGATTGAGTTTTCCGGGGTAAAGACCGGGTCGTGGACTGCAGGTCGCGTTCAGACCCGGGGTTCGGCTGACAGGGTCATGTCTAGCCATCGCTTGCGAGATGCAATATATCTAAGTGTATAAACTTCGCTCAATAAGCTCTGCTCTCGAATCCTTCTTTCTCTTGGCTACTCTAAAGTTATTGCCGCCGGTTCTGATGTGCTAAGGTGTTAACACGGCTAATCATGATTTTCATATTCATATTCCACACCACGGTGGGATAGCTCGGAACTTCACTGCGTTCGAGATTGTGTCCTGATCCATAACCGTACAAGGTCTGTATTGACGACGGAATTAGCCAACTTGGCATCAAGCATGATGGTGCTTCTTCAGTCATGTGTATTACTTCAGACTTGTAGACCAGAAGGTCGCCTCCTTGAACTGACTTTATAAGCTCAAGGGTAATCGCACTTTCATCTGGTTCATCACTGTGTAACTTCCCAACCTTGGAACGAACAGCATCAATCACTTCGCAACATGCACGCCGCGCTCGCTCTCCTCCTTACATCTGGCACTGCTTTGGCAGCTGTCCAGCCCTGGGGCCAATGTGGTGGTAAGGTATTCGTTCGAATTGCGCATGAGACTTAGACTGACTTCAATCTTCTATATCTCCAGGTAACGGATGGTCTGGTGAGACACAGTGCGTGAGCGGTTGGAGCTGCAAGGTGACCAATGAGTGGTACTCCCAGTGCACCGAGGGTGGAGGAGGTGGAGGAGGCTCAAACCCTGCACCGACTACACTGGAGACTGTTACAGCAACTAGTACTGCAAGCACCCAGCCAACCGGTGGTGTCGGCGGTTCAGGAAAGAATGGAGCAAAGTGTTCCATCGATGCTGCATTCAAGGCAAAGGGCAAGAAATACATTGGTGTGGCGACTGACCAAGGCCTCTTGACCCGCGGCTCCAACGCCCAGCTGATCATCGACAACTTCGGCCAGGTCACACCTGAGAACAGTATGAAGTGGGACGCAACAGAGGGTTCGCGCGGTTCCTTCACCCTGGGCACTGCAGACTACCTCGTCAACTGGGCTTCCACAAACAACAAGCTCGTCCGTGGCCACACTACTGTCTGGCACTCTCAGCTTCCAAGCTGGGTCAGCAGTATCCGTGACAAGTCTACGCTCCAAACTGTTATGGTGAACCATATCAACAAGCTGATTGGTGGATACAAGGGCAAAGTGTACGCTTGGGTAAGTCGATCATATAAACATGATTATTTGAGAGAATGCTAACGTCCTTATCGGATGTAATTAATGAGATGTTCGAGGAAAACGGCTCTTTCCGCTCGTCGGTCTTCTACAACGTGCTTGGCGAAGGTGGGTGATCAATGCCGGAACTCTGAAATCTCATACTAACTCTTCAGACTTTGTTGGAATTGCTTTCCGCGCCGCTCGTGCCGCGGACCCGGCGGCCAAGCTCTACATCAACGAATACAATCTCGACTCCGCCAGCTACTCCAAGACACGCGGCTTTGCATCGGCGGTGAAGCGCTGGGTCGCAGCTGGTATTCCAATCGATGGAGTTGGCTCGCAGTCGCATTTGGCAAACAACTGGCCCATCTCTGACTTTGGGGGCGCCTTGAAGAGCGTGTGTGCGGATGTGAGCGAGTGCGCCATCACTGAGCTCGACATCAAGGGTGCGTCGACATCAGACTACCAGACCGCAGTCAAGGCTTGTTTGGACGAGGCAAAATGTGTCGGTGTCACTGTGTGGGGTATCTCGGACACTGACAGCTGGCGCGCGAGTGACAAGCCACTCTTGTTCGATGGAAGCTCACAGGCAAAGGCTGCTTACAACGGCCTTTGCAGCATTCTTGTCTAAGACAGAACCGATGTTTGAGTGAAGGAAACAATGTAAATAGCAACCTTAAATCTGTCGTTCTATTCAAAGGCATATTGAAAAAAACATTGCAAAAGAAAAACAGCAAAAGAAAACCCTCACTCCCCAATCGGGGAGAGCCAGGAGAAGAAACTTTTTTTCTTAATTACCTAATTAATCCAACCTCTTACTACTTCCCCTCCTAGGCCTCTGCGGCCTGAGAAGATAAAGATGCTAGTTTATTGCAAACTGAGCGCTTTGGGAAGTATTTCGAACCCCGGCCTAGCTGAACCTCCATACCACTGTGGGTAAGAAGGGTAGATCCATGGTAAGCCATGGACCTGAGCCAATGGGTGTGTGATGTTTGTTGGATGGAGAAGTGGGGGTTTATCGAGGTTTTATAGAGGGTTTGCGTTTGTGTTTGTGCGCCGCCGCGTGCGAATTTGGATCATGGTGGAAGTGAAAGAGCAAATTTGATCTTACAGCTTCGTATCTTGAACTTCGGCAGATTGGTGAATGTATGAATTTGGGTTCCTTCACATCGACTCAACTCGACTTGTCGCAACACCGAGCATTCGAAGATCACGACCTGCGATGGAGAACCTTGACCAAAGCAAGGCCATAAACTCAAAGCACCTCGCTCTGCACAACTGCGATCTCCAGACCTTTCACCCTGCACAGTTAGCGCAAAGTGACGCTCGATGATTTAGCCAAAACTCACACATCGATCGTACATTTGTTCGACGATCGAGATCTCTGCTGCTTTCCACAGTAACTCAACTCCTTCCTCTTCTGGACGCGAATGAGTGAAGATCGTGATCACATACATAATACATGCAGCGAAAAGTACGGTACGATCATAATCTCCATGGCAACATGACCTGCAAGTGCCTTGCGAGTTACTGCACTAGCATCAAACACGTCGATCAACCAACAAAAGCTGAAAGCTGTGATGCGTAAGCTTTCCACCTATTTTCCATAGTCGTAGAGCTATCCTTCCTATTCTGGTTGTGTCTTCGCTGCCTGGCGGAGCGAGGAGTGACCGGCCCCTCATCCGCGGACCATGTACGGCTCGATAATTGCATACAAAGGCAGTCTAAAACCTGCCATGCACGTATGTAATCACACGACAGACGAAGTAACTGTAGCTGCGCATGACTAGTCACATACGAGCTGTTCATTCCTTGATTATGCATGAGCTTACCATGATTACTAAAGATAAAAAAACCCCACAAGGTAATTTCGCGCCTCTATGTTCAACACTTTTCGCATACTTTTCTTGATCGAGCTCGTGGGTATTCATAGAAGTTGTGCTTTGGCATACAAACACCGTGATCAAAGCCTAATCAAGTGTGCGTCCCGGACGAAGAATGCGGCCACTACAAAAACACCACAAATGAGAAAAAATGATGGTCCGGTAGTGTACCAGGTATTTCCATAGCGCGTATCAAACGAGATGCTAAGAGGGCTGACGCATCGTCACTCTCTTCTACACCTTTACCTTTTCTTTCCTAATCGAGTAGCTAAACGTATGGAAATTTGGGAAGCCAAAATAGACAATGTTCTAGATGTGGAAAGTTGTCGCTGCAGTCTTTAACATATAGGTCATCTACTTTCAACCCCGCACCACCGATTCAACACCCCATCATATACTTTCAACACTTTTTACTCAGCCTTCCTAATACGGTAGCCTCGCGTTTTCTCCTTGGCTCGGACGCTCATGCTTTGTCAACCGTATGTACCACCCTCAGGCTCCAGTGATCTGCAGGACCTCGTAGTTTGTGATACAGCTCCCCATCCAAATACCGCCGCCAATACTCCAGAAGTAGAAAGCCTAGCACGGCTATCTTTCACGCTTCAAGAATATCCGATCCAGACCAGTTTCCCGGGATATGGACAAACTAATGCACATCTAGCAGCCTCATTCGTCCCTGACGTTTACTCCTCGGATACACGCACCGCAGCGCCCACCCGTAAACGCCCCCCGTGAAAGTGAAAGCGTGTAAATTGCCATCTCCTCTCCAACACTTCTCATTGATTTCAAACCGTGCAACAGGACAGCAGACATCCTTCTACATCACTCTGCAAAGTTCCCAATATATGAGACTCTGCATGTCTGCGCTCCACTTACTTCGGTTCACGGAAGCTAGCACAGCCCGCAAACAAATGCCCGACACCAATCGCCATCTGCATCCGTACTTCCCGCCTACAACACCCACGCCGTCGAGGCGAAAACTCCACATGCCACACGTCGCACAAGCGCAGTAATCCACAGCTGCCTCGCAAACACGCCGGAAACGGTCGGACTCACAGTTTCCACATTCGGACCTTTGGTTGCTGCAGGGACAGATGTGGGAGCTAGATGCTGAGCTTGCTACAGGGTTGGCGCTGTGATCGATGGGAGGAGTGGCTGCGTTGGGAAGGTTGGGTGGAGGGAGTTAGCGTGGAGGTGAAGCGTGGTTAGGTGCGGTGTGGTGGAGAATAGTGCGAAGTTTCGAAGAAGTTAAGGAGCTGTGACGGGCAGGCAACGGAGGCTCTCTTCATAGCCTGGAGCTATACATAGGGTCGTGCCATCGCGATCGAAGTTTGGCGATACTGCGTATGGGATGAGCTGCTGCTGGTTGCACTCTGTCGTTGTTCGAGTCAGTGTTTGGAATGGCAGTGGTGTCGCTGTGGGCATTGCTTCCGAAGAGTACCTCGCGCACGCGAACACTTCCAACTCTGCAGCCCAGTCAACAACAAAGTTCGCAGTCCGCCAGAGCTAAACACCAGCCTTACTCACACAATCCACTCGCCCCCACCTTCCCAGGCTTCCCGTACCGCTACACCGCCAGCACAGACCCCTTACGTCCCAGCCCTACCCCCAGATCTGGTACGGATCTCGGTACAGATCTGAGTCCTATAATCGACACCTCCTTCTATCCTTCCGCTTGCGGCAAGTAGCGCAGCGTGGTGGGGTGTTTCGGAGCATTTGTATCTTGGTTCACGATTGCGCTGGGGCTGGCGTGCCGCTGTATTGGATTGGATTGGATTGGAACGAACAAACGGACGTGGGATTGTGGGACCTTAGAACCCAGCTCGCTGCAGCGATTGAAGGAGCAACTGCTTGATCGAGTTGTGTCCAGCATGCGTTGCTGCACTGATCAGTCGATTTGGAGACGCACCCGGAGATGAGGCATGTTGTCGTTCGTTCGTCGTGCAAATTGCCGTTTTGGGAATGTATCTTTTTGGCATAGTGTCTGTGCGGTTTGCATGGGAATGCGCTTGCCGGCATGGTGTCTGTGCGTGCAGGTGCATTTGGAACGACGATGGTGGGACCGAGCGACTAGCACGATGAGGCCCTGGTACTGCGATCGATGCTTTGGAGCGAAGTTGCCTTGCTGGGTGTGCGGACTTTTGGTAGTGTCTGTGTGCATCTGTGGGAGTGGCTGTTCGCGCGCATGCGGACTGTGAAGTGGGCTGCAAGCAAAGGTACCTAAGCGCCTAGCCGGGTAGTGCTTGGTGCTGTAATCGATGGCTGGGAATGACACTGCCACTCTGGGATAACGTTTTGGGAAGAGAATCCACCATGGGTTAAGAGTGAAGAGGTTGCATATGCTCGATGCTTGCACAATTGCCGCTCTAAGAGATCACGTTATGCCGCATTACTTGAAGGACCAAATGTGGGATGGTACTTGGGTGCTCCATGCATTTAGTCTTGTTAGCTTCAGCCGTGTATCTCACGTAGTCTCCTATCTCCAAGACAACGCCGCTACGCCTGCGCGCCTCAAGCCGACCAGCAGACAGGACTTAGTCAACTAGTTTGTGCAACCTGCCTACTGCTTTCTACAGTTGTGCCAAAACCTTCCCATTCAGGTAAGTAGAGACAGAGTGGAGGCGGCCGTCGCCGCCACAGATCAAGCCTAGGTGCTCACTGAACAAAGAGAATTAGTCTTGTGCCACCTTGCCACTGCAATCGACACTTCTGAAGCAAACCTGCCTGTTGCGGTATGTAGAACTTGGGGCTGAGTGGTGGTCGGTGGCGCTGGACATTTGGCTCATGCCAAGAGATGTGTGAATGGTTGTGTTTCGCCCATGGCGATGCGCTGGCAATCTAAAGGGTTTTTTTTTCGGTGAGTCGTAACAACCCGTGTGTTGAAGGCTGTCAGACTATGGCCGTCGGAGTGCAGGCGCTCCTGCCGCTGATAAAGTCGTAAGCCGCATAAGGTGTGGTCCACGTGGTTGCCGCACTCGGGTCTGAAAACGGAAAACAGGCATGATCATGAGGGATACAAGATGAGTGATTCAGTAGAAGACAGTTGTATAGGGGACATGTACAAGAAAGCACATTGATTGGGCAGGTGACATAAGCTTCCATTGAATATGCTCTTTCCCATCGTGCTATTTCCATCTGGCTCCTTGTACCTGCCGTGTTTACTACAACTAGCCAGTCGACTCGACACGGGGTCAAACAAGCTGTCATGCTTCGGGTGGTTGCAAGTGTGCAGGGGCGCTTGTTCCTTGACCTCAGGTATAACATTGACGAAGGAATGGAGGATGCGCTCAGTGGGCCTCGCTCCCGTCAGCTTGATGCCAAGATTCACTCCGCTTCCACATTCTTTACGCCGCCCTATCCGTCAAGCTCAATCAACTCTCCTCCGCACACTGCGACCATCTTGCTCTCCACCCATGCCCGAAACAACGTCCTGTACCAGTTCCCGCAACTGCCTCTGCACTTCCTCCGACTCGTAGTCCGGACGCGCAGCGAGCTCTTCGATGCGCCGCCGTATCTCAGGATCTGGCGCGTCGCCAGCAGCCTCCTCTGACATGGTTCCCATCTCGACGTTCAAACCATCAGGCAGCGGGGGTGGGGGATGCACGTCTGCCGTCTCGACTTCGCCTGCGCTGGCTGGCGCACCCCCAGTCCTTGAGCTCTTCAGGTACTGGTAGACCTCGTTCGCCTCGCCCTCCTCTTCGCCAATCTTCTCTTCGGCTGTCTTGCCCTCCTCATTTCGTATCGACGAGTCTGCGCCGAGCTCTTCCACCAGGCATTTTGCGACGTCGGCTTTTTCACACGCAAATAGGGGCGTCTCGCCGTCTTCGTCTAGTATGTTGACATTTGCGCTGTGTTTCTGGACCAGGTCGCGGAGCACTTCCAGCTGGTTATAGGATGCAGCTGCGTGCACTAGCGAATAGCCGTGCGCATCGCGGGCAGAGGCGAGCTGGGGATGCTGTGCCAAGGACGTGAGGATAGCCTGTGGGCGCGTGTCGATGAGGTTCAGCAGGAGATCAATTGTCGGCGTTGGCAAAGCCATTATTGGGTGTGCACTGGACGCTGGGAAATTCTGAGGTGCACGGCTTGGCGGTTTGCGCAACGGATGAGGCTGACGCGAAAACCTTGGAACCTTGGAAGATTGCCCGTCGATCGCGCCGCGCGGAGATTCGGGAAAGGCTAGACCTGAGACTGACGTTTTGCGGAGAATTTCCAAGGTTGGTGTGCGTGCGTCAGTTGCGCATAGTCCTCACGGGGATTGGCTGTCTCCAGCGTCCGATTCGCTGAGCGCCCTGCGTCTTACCATCATCCTGCAGCCCTAACACGTCGTCGCATCTTCCGCTGCTGTTCCGGCGAGGGGCTTGGGTGCTGCCGTCTTTGGGCATTGGTGCGAGAGAATAGAAAGCGGCGTCAGCCTATACGGCGCCTACTGCCGAGGAGAGGACGCAACTCCTCGCTTTGGCGCTTCACAGCCCCAAACCACTTGGCGCGTCGCGTGCCCCTTCTTGCCGCTGACGACTGTGACTTCCGACCTGCTCGTGTACAACCAAAAGTGTTTGCTGCAATTTATTCTTTGTAATTCCTTCTTTGTGTCTCGCTCAGCCACGCGCAAACGCCTTCACCAACCGCAGCAGCAACCGCCCGTGTTTACGTCGTACCGCATTCGGTCCTACCGCCTTCTCGCCGCGCACGGCGATCCGATGCGCCCATCTCTTTAAGCGTCTTGGGACCTGTCTCGCACCTTCAAGCAGTCGCCCACTTGTCTCCTTTCACTGTCACCACTTGTCAGACGCGCGATTCGCTTGCAGCCACCATGAAGAACGTTCGGGGCATAGGCGTCCCGTCGATGAAGTTGGTCGCATCGTATGTCTTCGACTGGATATGTATAATGTAAGTCATCGCGTGCTTACCTCGGGAGCCCCCGCTAGCCGTTCTATATTTGCGACATGCGTCACTCCTGAGCGTACCGCAACAACACCATGAGTGCAGCGACTGACCGCACACAGAGCAATCGCTGCAGTCGGCGGAGGCTGGGAATACATCTACCCATACAACCGCCCTTTCTCCCCCGTTGACCTCAACATCTCGTACCCCTTTGAGCACCACGAAACCATCCCAACATGGCTGCTCATCCTCGTCGCCCTCGTCGCGCCCGCCGGCATCATCTTTGTCGTATGCATGGTGTTTGTCCCCGGACCAACAGCCAGCCGCGGAACTCCCAAGGCACTCATCTGGCGTAGGAAGCTCTGGGAGTGGAATATTGGCTGGATGGGACTCGCCCTGTCGCTCGCGACCGCTTTCATGATCACCCAGGGCATGAAGCTGATCTTTGGAAAGCCACGACCTGACCTGCTGTCACGCTGCCAGCCGGACCTCACCCGCATCTCAGAGACGTTGGTCAACCCAGTCGTTGCTGACGTTGTAAACATGAACTGGGTTCTGGTCACCTCGGAAATATGCCAGAACCCTGACCGCAGCAGAGGCGGCGAGCTCATGGACGGATTCAAGTCCTTCCCCAGTGGGCATTCTAGCTGTAAGTCTCTCTTCCTTCTTCCAACGCACACAGACTAACAACTGCTCCAGTCTCCTGGGCCGGCCTCCTCTACCTCACCCTCTTCCTCGCCTCCAAGTTCTCCGTTGCAATCCCCTTCCTCCCGCACCGCCCGTACTCGACAAACCCAGCGCACACTTCCGCCGTCGCCCCCTCCAACCTGAAGAAAGCAGCCTCCGTGGCCTTTTCAAAACACGAATCCAGCCTCTCGTCCCCTGCACACGCATACGCAGACGACCACGTAGTGCCCATCCGCTACCAAAACGCCGCTCCTCCCGTCTGGACCCTGCTCCTCATTCTCGTGCCCATCGGTTCGGCAATCTACATCTGCGCTTCTCGATTCACGGATTACCGCCATTTCGGCTTCGATATCCTGTTTGGCAGTCTGATTGGAATCACCGCGGCTTGGTTCAGCTTTAGGTTCTACCACTTGCCTATTAGCCGTGGTGCTGGATGGGCGTGGGGACCGAGGAGCTACGATCGCGCATGGGGCATTGGTGTTGGACGCGGAAACTATGTTGGTACTGAGGGATGGAGTAAAAGTGGACGCAGCGAGACTGATGGCGGAATGAATGGGAGTGGTGCATTAATGGAAGAGAGACAAAGGGAGAGCGACGTCACTGCTACACATGCTGTTTAAGTTTGTTTAATGTGTTTGGACAGCATGGCGTTTTTGGCTCTGGGTTGGTAAAAGGTTGGACTAAGCAAGTACATATCCCCAAGCGTTTAAAGAAGCAGTTTTAGTTTTGTATATCAGATATTCAACATTCACTCATACCGTTTAAGAACCTTTGCTCGGCCACATCCTAATCATGTACCATTTCCGCATTCCCAAAAGACGCCATGGAAATGCAACCACATCTTATCTATCTCTCTATAACTTTTCCAATAATATCCGCGCGCCGGCATTCCCCCTCGGAGCCTGCGCCTCACCCTTCTTTCCCTTCTTCTTCTCCCCGGCCTCCCTTGCCGGCCCCGCCGCCGCCTCCAAAGCCTTCTTCTCCTTCTTCAGCGCCTTGAGCACGTCCTTCTTGCCTTCGAAGCCCTCGGCCTCGGTCAGCGCCACAACGACAAACGAGCCCTGCCCCGTCGCCCATTGCACCACACTGCCCTTGATCTCGCTCCACAGCAACTCTGCAAATCCGAGCGGCGGCTCGACCGGCACGACCTTCTTCACCGCGGGATCGAATTTCCCGCCCTGCACGAGCATCTTGAGCATGTTCTTGCCGTGGCTGGCGGCCTCGCCTGACGAGTCGAGGATCGATTGTGAGAGGCGCGCGACCTCTGCGAGGGCTTCTTTGCGCTTCGCAGGCTCGATTTCCGGTGCGCCGACGAGGACTTCGCCGAGGAATTGCAGGCCGAAGGCGAACGAGGCAAAGTCTGATGCGCGCGCGGTGATGGCGGTTAGGAGTTGGGGCTCGATGTTCTTTGCGACCTCGTGCATGCGGGTGGCCGGATCTTTCTTCGACGTCGTCTGGCGGATGGCGTAGAGTTCCGCGAGGCGCTCGCGGGTGTTGTCGTCGAGGGCCCATTTCGCGTCGGACACGAAGGGGTAGAGCAGGACGGTGCGGGCGCGGGGGTCGGTGACGAGGTTGAGGACTTTCTCGGCGAGGGTGTCGTTTGTGGGGAGGAGCTCGCCGAAGATGGATTTGGAGGAGAGTTTGGTGTCGTCGGTGACGGCGAGGGCGGCGAGGAGGACGTGGTGGGCGTTGACGTCGTAGGCCATGAGTTCGATGTTGTCTTTGTAGGGGCGCAGGAAGAGCTTGCGGTCTTTGGCAGTGCCGTAGGCGAAGCAGAGGGACATGAGGCGCGAGCCGGACTTTGTGAATGCGAGGTTCTTGAGGAGATCGACGTTGTCTGCCTCTTCGCCTTCTTTCAGAGTCGGGTCGGGCTTGAGGTGCTCGAGGAAGTCGTTCGCCTGCTCTGTGCCTGGTTCGCAGACAAGGAAGTACTGTAGCATGGCGTCGTGCAGCATGCTGAAGCCAGTGAGCTTCTTCTGGATGAGCGAGTTGATCTGGTTCTCGAGGTAGTCCATGATGGGCTTCCTCCGCTCTGGCGACTCCTTCAGGATCACGGAGAGCTCTGCACTGTCTGTGCCCTTTGCCTCGAGTCCCTTGATAGAGAATTCGGCCCCATACCACTCCCGAAGAAGGCGCGCCTTTTGCTCTGGCGTTGCGACCGCTCTGTAAATGTCGTCCATGATCCAAGCAGCCTCGGGATGGTTGATGAGACGCTTGACGAAGCCGTAGAACTCCTGAATGATCAGGTCGCGGATTTCCGGGTCACTGTGACGGTCAGTAAAGATTCCGAGAAAGGATTCGCGATTACATACCCCTTCTCCACAAGCTTCGCGATCAAGAACTTGGAGTACTTGCCCTCGGCAAGAGTCCTAAACTCGCCCTTGAGCTCGCGCGCAATCATCCTCCTCTGTTCCATGGTCGAATATTTGATCGCCGTCTGGATGACGCGTACGGAATCATGCTTGAAGACAAAGTCCTTAACTCTGCCCTCGATGATCTCAAAGAGCTCCTTGACCAGCTCCTTCCTCTCATCCTTCTGAATGTGCGACTTGAGTCTGAGTTTCTCCCACAGCTTCTTCGAGCGCTCGATGACGTCGGCGTTTGGTTTCGCAGCCTTTCGCTCCTTCGCAAGGGCCTTTTGTTTTGCGTGCGCTTCTCTTGAGTTGTTCGCTGCAACACTGTTAGTTGCGATTATGTCTAAACAGCTGGCTGACGTACAATTTAGCTCTGCCAGCTTCGAGTCCGCACCATCGCCCTTGGGCTTCTTCTCCTCTGCTGTGTTGTCGTCTGACTTGCGCTTATGCGCCTTGCCATTTTGTTTCACGTCCTCCATGGGCTCTGCCTCTTCGCTGCTGTCTGCGTCGCTCATGTCGACATCTTCATTTGCGGAAAAGCCGTAGAAGCCATTCTCTTTCTCGCTGGTATCCGACTCCTCAATATCGTCAGAGCTGTCCTCTTTGGCCTTCTTCGACTTCTTCGCTGGCTTCACCGCATGCTTCGATTCCTTTTTGGATGTGCTCTTTTCGACCTTGGCCTTTTTGCTCTTCGTCTTCGTATCGGTAGGCTTCGACACCTCAGATTTACGCTTGATTCCAGCCATTGTCAGTAAATGTCGTGGGGTTCGTTACTCCTCGAGCGGCGCACGCTGCCAAAAGTTGCGACAGGAACTTTTCTAAGCGTGCTAGCCGGGGTTCTGCTAGGCACTAAGCATAAAAGCGGGGCGGGTTCATCGAAGTCGAGTCGAGACGGATTTCCACACCCCCATCAAACCGACGACCTCAACAACGGTCGCCTCAAAACATTGAACTCATCTCCTGGTACAGCCATGGCAGTTGTCTGATGTTGGAAGAGCCTCTGGGTCTAGCTTACACAAACTTGAGTCGGTTTGCCACGATGGTAACAGCACCTTTCACATCAATCCTCCGACGATACCGATATACATGATCTGAGAACATCGCTCAATGCCTTCTCTAGACACCGGGTTCCTCTTTTGCGAGCACGTATCGCATCTCGGCGCCTCGATGACTTACACGTGCCCTCCGCGGTTTCCCGACCCTGTTGCTACGATGGAGATACGCGACAGACTGGCGCGAAATGAGGTGATCTTGCATCCTATGTACAAAGGTCCAGATGCGACTAATGTGCATATATGCCAAGGAGTTTACCTTCCGGTACGCCGACATGAAGTTCGTGGCCTATGCGCCCTCCTTCATGCTGTTCAATCTCGGCTTCGTGGGTCAGGCAAAATCGGACACCAAAGCATGTTTGTGCCATCCGGGTGCCTGAATTCAGGTACACGGTTGATGGTCGCTTTGGCTTGCACATATTTGCCACCACCAAAGATCAACCTGCAAGGGTTTGTGGCATGTTAATGAGCTCTACTACACTGCCCAACACAATCTACCCCGGATAATGACGATCTCAACTTCCCCGCACTCCTATAGTGATTTAATTGACATAATTTCCTTACTACCTACTCTTTTTACGCACAGCGTGTTTGACTCAATGCTTGTCGAAGCTTATGTGTACATTTGCAGATACTTTTAGCCTTGTTCGCACAAGAGTTTCTTGGATTCGCAATCGACTTGGGCCCAACCATTTGGTATTACATTCAATACCAGGCTGATCACGCGCAAGCCACCTGGGTTTACCGCAAGCTTCCGCCAATTAGAGCGCTTCACTGGACATGCTTCTGGATTAGGGATCCTGGGAAGCTGTTGCGACAGGTCCATCCCGTAGTTCACCTTTCCACAGCGTCAGACCTCTCTCCTACGTTCTCCCAGCCTTGAGTACTGCATATCTGGGATATCAACCTCAAATGACTAAAGTGCAGGAATGCCCGTATACACGATAGTGACCTTGTACACGCACCGCTGCATTTTGAATGCGATTGGTCTTGTTTCTTTGCAGCTGTCAATCTGCAATCTCCACGGATCTAGCTGTGCAACATGACCCTGAGATTGAATTTTCAGAACATGAGGTCCATGGCCCTGTCAAATTGCTTTGCGTGATTAAATCTTGTGGTTGCAGCGGCCACAAAAGCAATATGTTCCCGTCCTCTAGTGATTGATCCGCTGTACGATCCAGGAACAGGCCTCTTCGATCGATCAGTCATTAAGGCAAGCCATGATGCCACCGGAATAGAGGCTCTAGACTCCTCATCGGTGGGATTAGTCTATCGTCAATGAGGTCTGGGAGGACCTCTTCCGACATCTTTGCAGGGATCGTTTCTTGGACTGTCACAGCTACTGACGCAACTTCAAGCATCGAAACCGGGCCTTCTCATGGTAGAGTCACTTTGTGAAATTGTAGTCTTACTCAGTAGAGTAATTCATCAGCGACCATCCCATGGACTACAGGTGCTCACTCCATTCACACCCTGGGAGAATGGCCCGCTTGATGCTTGGCCATAGCATCTTCTTCGCATCAGTGTAAGGAGTTAGTTGCGTATACACCAGAACTTCTGGAAGAAGCATGGTCGAGCGGAAGTCGAATGTCCGCCAATCTATGTACTTCGCAATGGCCAAGCAAGATCACGTCTTACAACTGCTCAGAAAGCATATAAAGACAAGACCACAGCAGTGTCTCAACTTGCAACAAGCATCTCAATCACATTCGCCAAACAAACCATCCTCTACACGCCAACATCATGAAGCTCTCTACCATCCTCTGCATCGCCATGAGCAGGTGCGTTGCCATCTAGGAATCACTAACAGATCCCCCCACTAACGCCATTGCAGCCTCGCAGCTGCTCAGGCTCAAGACAAGCCTAAGCCCACTGCGCTCCCATCTGGCGTCCCCAAGCCCAGCGAAAGCGTGCGCCCACCACCAAGCTCCTCCGGTGTGCCTCTTCCAACGGTCCTTCCTCCCCGCCCATTACTGGCGAGTGGTCGTCCTACACCTCCATCTGGCTCACCTGCTCCACCTCCATCTGGTTCACCTGCTCCACCTCCGTCTGGTTCGCCTGCTCCTCGGCCTTCGGAGAGCAAAAAGCCTCGCCCCTCTGAAAGCAGCAAGCCCCGTCCATCTGCCAGTGGCAAGCCTCCGATTCCCACCCGATCAGCGTAAGTCGGTTGTCTCTTTGTCAACAGCTTTCCATGAGTAGTTGATGAGCGTTCGTACTTCATTTTTCAAAGATATTGGACGCAGATCACAGGCACTCGCGTTCCTTCACCATCTCCGTCCGCCCCACTCCTTCGGCTCCTTCTAAGCCTTCCGGTACTGGTAGCGTTGGCATCCCACCGAAGCCCACCCCTCCTAAGGAGGAGTAGACAGTTTGATGCAGCATGATATGAGGAGCCTCGTTTGCTAACCACACTCTCGTTAAATCGACTTTACCTTCTACCACTTCTCTGCGATGTTGCTTGACGCGCATTATTGTCAAGGAGATTTACAACTGTACATAGCTTAGCCACCTTGTATATATCTTGGCTCAATCAAACACTGTCGTTACCTTGATCAGACGTGCCTACTGCGCATGCTGCGACCCAGTGATATTATTCTAATATGGCTATGTGAATTATGGGATAATGTATGATCGAAGCACCGCGCTTGTGGAGTCACGGCGAGTAACGGGCGAACTCGGTGCAGGCAGCGTGCCCGACACTGACAATCTACAACAGTATCACCAAAGGAAATAGTTTACGGCGCATGCGATTACATCCAATCACCTTCTTCTTTTGGATCTACCAACACTTATTGCGACACTCATTGTTCTGAGTAAACCCCAAAACGAATGCGTCACGTCGTTTACCTCACAGTCCGCTGTTCGCAATTGCACATGAACGCAACAAAGCCAAAATGATAACATCAAACTTTACAACCATCAACACTCGTTCCAGAGAAGGAATTGTTAGATACGTCTCTGGTAGGTGTTGGTGTCAAAACAATGTTGTTCCGTCGCCGATGCTCCACACGGTCTAAGACCCCACACAATGCAAATTTTCTCTCAACTTGCCTTGCCACCAAGGCAAGGACTCATCGCTCCATTCTTTACTTGTTTTTCCCATAAAAATGCATCGTATTAGAATATATATTATCTATTTCTCGCTACCTTCATCAAATTACTAGATCTGCTCTTCGGAGCACCGTCTCAGATCGTATAGTGGTCAGTATTTCTGCTTGTCACCTAGCAGAGACAATTCGCAGGAGGCCGGGGTTCGATTCCCCGTCTGAGAGACCCGTCTTGAATCATCTTTTTTTGCCAGTTGGTGTTGGTGGTGGTGGCTACGGGGGTGGATGTGAGGGCAACACATCCATGGATGCATTGGAGACACGACTAGAACACCAACCAACACTCTTTTTTTGCGCACGCGGTTTATTTCAATTGAATTAATGAGCTTTGCTACGATACACAGCGCCGCATTGATGCTGTACAAAAGGTTGGGTGTAGTGCAATTGGGTCTGGCGCGCAGCTATGCAGGCATACCTTTCAACACTGTACCCTCAAATTCCTTTTAGCGACTGCTCAGGATATCCAGCAGTAATGCTTTACTAAAACAATACTAGTCTCAGTTGCTTTGCGATCTATCCGGACACACAACGCTACCTAAGTAGTGCGGAGGCATTTCGCTTAACGCGCCCAGGTGCTGTTCAGCTCGTTGTTTTCCACCACCAATATCCAGCACGGTCCCTTGGCAATCATGTCGACGGTCCAGCCTACAAAGTATAGCTCTAAAGCTCCGCAGAAAATAAACGACCCCAGATCCGACCAAACCCTGGAGGCTGAAGCGGGTCTTGTTCCTGGCCGTTGGCGCTCGCCAAGACGTCGACCCCTTTGTTCGTGTGGACTAGTCAAGGGCCGAAAAATATTGCGTGGAGAGGAAGAAGGTACCAGTGGCTAGTGTAACATGCGGGCTGGCTGATCGGATTGTGGCCCGCTGTGCTTGCACGTTGGGCCCTTGAGCTGACTGCGATATTTTTCGAGAGCATGGCGAAGCTAGCTACAGAAAGCTTCAACACTCTCTGCAGGTCAATTGAGCACGCGAGAAGGGTTGATCTAGCCGTTTGAAGGACACTTGTCGTAGATTTGCTCTATCGTTGCTTTGAAAAGCTGCTTGATGTGGCTGATCTTCCCCTGCAGCGTGCAAGGCTTCACGCTAAGCAGTGAATCCAGAAGAGGCATAGCTGAATCGTGTTCCACGTGGTGTCGATATTCACTAACTGTTCTCGTACATAGATCTAATACCAAGGGCTCTTCAGCTGCACTATGACAGCCACAAAAAGCGCCACATCCACTACGGCTGCAATTGACCTTCATCCCGCGCACAACTACTGTCTAAACAAACACTGATCATGCTGGATAGGGAGTTTGAGAGCTTGGACCCTACTTCCCGGTACACATGAACTGTCGAGGCTCTGCATTGTGTCGTTCGGGGCTGCCGATATCACGCCAGAAATACTGCATCCAGACTATAGTTGAACTTTCCAGCCGAAAGCCACAGAACTCAATAGGCGACTGTGAGATTGACGGGCACGAGTTACCTGAATATATATATCGGGAGGGAAGGAACCGTAAGAATGCATCGCTCGTGTGGTTTTTTCGACTTCGCTAGAGTGTTCTATCTGGCTTCCAGCCCATGATACTTGGATTTTGTCAAATCCGTGCCAGTCTCTACTTTTTCTATCAATAATTATTTGTAATCAACATGCCCACTCCCTTCGTCATCCTGGCGGCTCTCAGCCTGCTCGCCAGTGCCCCAGTATCAGCTACACCGATAGCAGAAAAACTACAACGTATAAAAGAGGTCCCGACCTGCGAAGGCAAGGAGCAAGACTCAAAGTTTACCTTCTCAACTCCTAGTGGCGTTTACGACACCATCTGCGGCAACGACTACTTCGGAGGGGATCTTAAAACGTCCACGGCCGATACCTTCGAGGCTTGTCTTCTGGACTGCGACAAGACTGATGGATGCATCAGTGTCTCGTACCAGGGCAGTGCATGCTACATGAAGAATGAAGCGAAGACCGCTGTAGCTGCTCCGCTTGTCATCACTGCGAAGAAGCAAGGTACTTCTACATCGCCTTCCGCTCCGACAAAAGATTACAGCCTTACATGCGAGAACAAGGCCAGCGACAACAGCATCTATGAGGGTGCCAAGGGGCAATTCAAGATCCTTTGCGGGAAAGATTATGCTGGTGGCGATCTCAAGACTGTCAACGTAGCTCGCTTCGAAGATTGCATCAAGGCTTGCGACACGACTGACGAGTGCATCGATGTTTCGTGAGTATAGAGCTATGCAACCCCGTGAATAGAAACGCTTACAATGCTCCTAGTTATGTCAACGGCGCATGCTATCTTAAGCGCAGTACTGCAACCCTAGTCACGGCCGACTGGGTTTGGACGGCCGTCCTTCAAGACCCCCAAACAAACGCCATCTCATGTGTCGACAACGTGAGCAATGGAGCAACATACACTGCGAAGACCGGAGGTTCCTACAAGATCGAGTGCGGTCTCGACTACGCAGGTGGAGACATGCAGAGTCTGGACACCGCTACCATTGAGCTCTGCATGGACGCTTGTGATCTTACTGATGGCTGCGTTGATGTTTCATTCGTTTACGGGACCTGCTACCTGAAGAACGTAGTCAATGGGAATGGTACTCCCGTCGGTCATGTGTGGACGGGCCGGCAGGTTACGAAGACCACTACAGCTGCAGCGTCCGTACACCTCTATCCTTCCCAATACGACCTTCACTAATCACTTTTCACAGGCCCCGCATGACACTCGGAGTGAACACAGATTTCGAGACCAGCAACCTTAACGACTGGCTCCAAGACCAATTTTACCGGAACCCCATGTCAGCCAACATTGTCAACGGAGGCGACAACAGTCCCCGCTCGCTGCAACTCTCCCACAACGGAGGTGACTACTCCAGCGTCTACCTCTGGCAGGGAATCCCTGCATCGGCTGCGAACAAGTGGTTCCGTGTGGAATTCAGTACAATGTATACTCACGACAATGGACAAAACTGGAATACCTGCTTCCAGGCCTTCACATGGGCCGGCCAATTTCAAGGAGTCGTAAGTTACCCTCAGCTCACTCGACAGCATTCTGCGCTCGTTACATTCCATTCCGTTAGACACATGTGCTGACCGTTCCTGCTAGATCTTCGCGACCACGGGTCTCCTGCCTGGTACTTCGCAAAACAGCATGCCTAATACTCGCTGCTCCTCAACCTTTAGCAGTGATAATATCCCTCGCCCACGACCTGGCGTGTGGGCCAGACATACGGCGTGGTTCCAGGCGACAGATCTCAATGGACTTTATGACTTGCAGCTGACGGCTCGATGTGACGCCGGGGCTCCAGCTCAGCAGTTGTACTTTGATAACATTCGCGTTGTCGAAGAGGATTGCTAAATATAATTAGATGAGTGGCTTAATTAATTGTTAATCGTAATAGTAGCATAGCGATCTGTCCAGAGAGAAGGTAGCAGATGTGATATGAGCATAATACATCATATCCCGAGTACCTATTTCCTACCGAGTTTAGAGCTGGAATGTGTCTCGGAGATCTGACATTTTCAGTGCAGGAGCTCCATATCCCGCCAGTCCTGAACAAGTAAAGAAGGTGAACTGACCTCGAGTGTCTATGATAACGATTCGGTCAATGAGGCCCATCTTAGAGTCCTAATTCAATTGCTGCTTGTTCTAGCCCATCGTACGTTGAGCAGCATCTCTTGCCCATGTGGTCACTGATCGATTGATGCGTCGCATCGCATCGCATTTCTAATACTACTTGCTGGACAAAAATTGAAATGCTTCAAGTTCCAGCTCGAAACTAGCTCGAAATAACATCTACGAAAAAGTGTATCGCAGTAAACTTCCACCGTCGAGCAAAGTGGTAAAGAACTGCAACTGATACTCACGACATCACGCAAAGCCTGAGTACACTTCGCCAATACTTCAAAGCACATCAAGTCGTCATATCACCTCACCGCAGCCCATTCGCCTGAGTGGCAAAAATGTCGTGGTGGCTGTGTGCATGCATCACAATGTTAGACGAACAACCTGCAGTCAATCCTTGAAAGCAGATCTTCAAAAACACCGGTTTCCGGGACTTGCCTTGTGAATTCGTGTATGCAGGCTGCACGCTATCGAAAGCCAAGTCTCGTCCTGGAGATGCTGCAACGGCTTGGTTTGCAGCTAGGCTGCCACGACAGTCTGCATGCGTTGCGGCTCGGTGGCGATTAGCGCCTAGTGGTTTTGTGGACGATGGCATGTCAGATCTGTCAGCTATGAGCTTGGTATTGATATGCGCGCTTTCGACTTGGAGGAGTAACGTCCAGTAATGCTGGGTCGATGTAAATTTTGCATTATGTGGAGAAGAGGAAGAAGGAAGATCGTCGGTAGCATGATTCAGGTTCCTGCTGCGTGGCTCCACTTGTCTTCAGCGCACATCCGGTGCGAGGTCATGTCACGACTCATTGTTGCTTGAGAACCTACGATCTTGAAGGCTTTCACCGACTTGTTGCGAGATTGTTACTAGTGGATCATCAACGTGTCTGCGAAGGAGTCAAGGAAGATCTTGGACGTTCCGGCGCTATCCGTGCTTGGAGGATTGTGCCGCAAAAGCATTCTTGTAGACCAGTGAGATGGCAGTTGTCAGTCCACTGACCGTTGTGACATCCTGCCCAGGGTTTCGTTACAAATGCGTCGTTCTCGGACCTCTTGAATGTCACCAAGCTGACATGTTTGCTTCTTACATGGGTTTGCGAGAAGGAACATTGGAACATTGGATCATATCAGCCGGTTACTTGAAACAGCCCTGGAAATCTCCAAGGCCATTCTGTAACTGTTGGATAGCATGCCTCGACGCCCGAAAATCGTGAACAAGAATGATGGTATGCCGTGTCTTGCTTGTCCCCACGGCACATTTCAAACCAGCCGTTTCTCCCTAGCGCCGTCTCTCTGCCTGAATCTTCCTCTTCCGGACATACTCCCAGCCAACAGCCCCAGCCGCGTGGTCAAAACGAGCTCGAGCTGACCTCAGGAGCATCACGCCTCCAGAAAACCTCCGCAACCGCCCGCACGCGCCAAAAAAGGAAATTCCATCGTCACCCGATGAGCGTGTTCCACGAGACCGGAGAACGGAGAACGAAGAACCCAGAAGCCTCGTGTTCGAAATTCTCGTTCTCGTCGTGGCGCGCACGAGGTCAAACCGCATGCGCCTTGCCCATGTGAACACCAGCACGTGCTTCTCCCTCCATCCAGATGTCAATTCCAAGATTGCGTTCACCAAGGTTCCGTTCACTTCTCTAGTCCTTCCACCACCTTGGCACTTCATTTCACCCACCGCCACATCCTCACGCACCTGTCTCCCGAGGCCCGGGGAACACAAGCGCCCGCCCGCAGTATCAAGTATAGTACCAATAGCTCGACCCAACCCCGGCTCCAAATCTCGATATTTTGATCTTGCGCCATCGTGAATTTCCGTGAACTGGGTTCTATAGATCTCTCGGAAATAACTCCATGTTCCTTTTTTTGTTTTTTTAATATTAGCTTGGCGTTCGTATTAATATACCATTAGCTGAACGTGCGCGATCCTGCTGTTTGTGTGACATTGGAAGCGTGCGCGGTTCAGCCGCACAACGGGTTGCCTCCGCTCAAATGTCCATGTCATTACCTAACGCGCAAGGCTGGAGAATGCTGATCTCAATTTTCCCCCTTCTCGTGTCAGCAGCGCCACAGCGCGGGTGGCTCACCCGGCAGAACCACTCAGGCAGCCCGCGCCAGCTTCGGGATAAGAACCTTATTTGCACGAACCGCGGAAACTTGTAATGGTAGCTATGAGGTAGTAAATTAAGATAGACGAGACTTGTAGGACTAGTCTGAATACTAGGAGTGCTGACACGGTTGAGCGGAAACTGACGCTTTGAGATATGCAGAGAAAATGCGTGAATATGTGTAGTATATTGTGATGATGATGCGTGATATGTACTCATCACTATGTGGAAAGGTCGTGATTAAGTCCCTTGATATGCTCATTCTACCTTAAAGCATCAAACGCCAAAACATGATCAATGCATGCGAACAAGTCTGTCGCTTTTGTGGTGGAGCCGTAGTAATGTGCCTGGCATAATCTCCATGCCGCCAACGTCAAAATGCCAGAAAAGAACCTCCCACAAGATTCCCAATTGGTACTAGATTAATCCGCTCAATTCAAAACTCCGGAGATAGCAAGTGTAAGCAACATTCTGGGACCAATCTAGGGGTCGACCAGTAAAACGCCGAGACATGACTGTGGTACAAGGGCGGCAAGGGAAGAGGTACACCCAGGAAGCAGGTCGCGACGTGTACGCGAGAGTCCGGTGTTGCGGATCGTGATGTGGATGGCGTGCATCGCAGCAAGGAGTCTACACGCTCTCAACGAATGCCGATCGTCGGGTCTCGGATGAGCGTCGCTTTTTCTGGAGCTTCTTCCCGTGCTGTTGCCTTTCTGCAAGTTCGAGCTCTTCTGGGGTGGGCGCTGCGAAGGTGCCTGGCCTCATAATCTCGAAGCCGGAGTTGACTTTGCGGAGAATCTGGCTCTCGCGCTGGTTCTGCTCGGTATTGACCTCGTACGGCACTTCGTCATACGAGTACTGGTGGTGTGGGCCCTTGGGCTGGTATGTGTCGGGGAGGTAGGCAGCCCGCGGCGCATATGACTCCATGAGAGGAATGCCTTGCTTAGAATCGTTCGATGCGTGTCCGTCTTGAGTATAGTGCGATGCTGCCGGTTGTCGCTCTTCGACGGCAGCCGGGTATGGTGGAGAAGGCGTCTTCTGGGGCATGAAGTAGCTGACACCGTTGGCGGATGAAGTTTGGTTGTCTGCTACACTGGCCCAATCTCCGCTGTTGCCTGGCTTGCGGACTCGGGGCGTGAGCTGGCCAGTCTCGGCAACGTGGGACATGCGGTGGCTCTGGAGGAGATCGAGATCGGTCCGGGGATCGACCGCTACTTGGTATGATGCAGGTCTTATATAAGCCGACTCGTATGCGCGAACGTCTTGCTGGAGGGACATGTAGTCTGATTCGTCGCTCGTGCGCCGGCTTGATATGTTGGAGGTCTTGCCAGAGTACACTTGACCGTGTGATCCATTAGGGGCTATCCACATGTCAACGATTGTAATGCAACATAAGTGATATCAACTTACGGGATGGAGTTCCTGAGCGACCGCCAGCTAGTGGGGACTCGAGGTTTTGGAGGGCGGTGGAGTTGTGGGTGACATTATGATTACAATTAGTGCATCGTACGGGTGCCGCAGTGGATTGTCTGTTTTGTGACGAGGAACGGGAAGCATTGCTCGTGATCGGCTCGGCAGAGACAGCGCGGTCGAAGGAGCTGCTGGGTGCGCGCGAGCTGTTGCGGCTAGAGCCGTTGTACATGGCGGCTTGGGGAAGCTCGAGCTGGGAATTGTTGTAGCTACGAGCAACTTCGCTGATCGAGTTGCGGCTGCTGCCAGCGGGCGTGTTGGTCCTCGAGATCCATACACCATCGACTTCGATTCCACTTTGGATGGCGCGAATGCCGAATGGGACATCGTCTTTGGTTTCTACGCTGATGGCAGTCACTGGCTGTGCCTCGAGCATCTCCGGTGTCACAGCTCGTTTGCCCTTGTCGACTTTGCTGTACTTCTTGAGCTTGTTGGTGTCGTACCATAGCTTCAAGAGACCGAGGAATACCGTGACGACCTGTGATTGTTAGCACATGACACGCAGTACAGGACAGAGTGAGTCGTACGATTCCGCAAGCTAGCACCTGTACCACGTTAACAGATGACAATTCAAAGTGGTGACGAGACATACAAAGGTCATCTTCTGCCATAGCGCCCAACTGTTGAAAAATTCCTTTCCTGGCGACTGTCCGAAAGCCATTTTGTGATGGAAACTAGGGTTTTAGGGATAGGATGGGAATGGCGATTGACCGCGCGGGAAAAAGTAATTGAAAAGTCCAAGAAGATGCGGTGGCTATCGGTACCTTGTTCGCAGAAGCGACGTCAGGGTAATTCCGCAGAGGAAGGGAGGACCTGCGATAAGATATGGCAGCAGATGTCCGGCGTCGGCAAATAGGTTCCGTGTGTCGTGCAGTTAATCAATAACGCTCCACGTGAGGTACCAGAGTGCGCTTCGGAGGTAGATGGGTCGAGTTCCAGCACCGATCCCGTGACAAGAAGTAGCGAGTGGAGGCGCAGTGAGCGAGTGTCAGGTTGCAATACTCTCTTAGGCCACGACGAGGATGGATGCGGGGGTTATAAGGTTAAATCTTAGGAGCGAGCGGCGTACTGGAAACGAGTGTGGAACGTTGGCCTGGGAGCGAGGGAACGGGTGTTACCAGTGAATCAGACCTGCCATGTACGGACAAGAACACAGATAGCCAAGGAAATGCAAGCAAGTAGGCCTCGTGCTATGCTGTGGCTGATGGATGCTGCGTCTATGATGATGTGAGGGTCGTCACAGGCAGCACGAGGTGCATGGGAAGTGGGAATATTATATTGTGATGCAGCACCGAGGGGATCCGCACCAACTAGGACCCGCTGAGAAACAACGGATGCTCATTTTGAGGAGCAAAGTTGACATGCATGCAAGCAAAACGCCTGGCCGCGCTTAGCGGCAGGGCATGCCTGCTCGTTCCCGCATGCTAGTCCGGCGCCTCCATGTTCGTTACACGTCCCCTGGTAATTGTATGGCCATGGGTTGCGTGGTGGGTGACGGACCCACGGCAAAACACCAGTCCCGAAAATAGAAAGCGACGATGCGCGAGTGTTTGGAACGGCGGCCACGAGGGCTCCACATGGATCGGCGCAGCGGCGGCGACGAATACGAGTCGTGTATTCAGTGCAGTTGATGGTGGTTGCTGTGCGGGCGGGAGGCTAATTGATGCGACCACACGGCGCCATCGTCTACGCCGCAGGAAGCGTGAGAGCCTCGTGACGCTGTGCGACGTTTGCTCAGCACTTCCACGCTCATGTCATGACGAAGAGTCTTCGGATGGGCACGCGTTGGGACAGTCGCGAGCGAGTACGAGATGTCCTAGCCAGATTGTCTTCGGGTAGTGTTCCAAGAGTGATCGTAGGTTCTGCTTCTGGCCTGGTGTGGTCAGGGGTCGGCTGTCGTGCACTACTGCTTCACGATGACACCTCGCAGAAAAGAAACGCCGAGCCTCTCGCTATTCCTGGAGGTCCCTCCGATACAGCAACGTGTTTCGCACCTGTGAAGATCCCCAAAGACGTGCTGGCAGCGTTACACAAACGCGTCTGGTAGGTTTGGACTTTGAGGCCCTGGTGCCTGAGGACTTCGCTTCGCTTCTGTGCGATGACATCTCCTAGCATCCGTCGTTCCGTTTCTGCCGCAGCCCTTCCACAGCTAGCAGGCTCTGCACCTTCCAGCTTCCACAATGACGCGAGAGAGGAGTAATTCCCTGAAGTTTCACCAGCCACTACAGCACATCGCCTCTCAACAGGCAGGCTACCGATCCCCCAAGCCATTAAGCCCAAGGCGCTTTGGCCGATAAGGGCAAGGTCCCGTCCGCGCCGTTTGACGCTCGCTGTGGTTTCGGGAGTCTTACCCAACGTACAGTGCCGAACCACGGGCCAAGGGCGCCTTCGTGAATCATCCATTTCCATCACGATGCATTCTCGTTGGTAGCTCCACCATGATGGCAGCCCAGACAATGTGTCCTTGCCGTGGCCTGCTATTGGAGCGGGGCGGTTCGAGTGCCTGACCTCCTGTCATGGCTCGGCACCAGCGGAGCACAACATTCAAAGCGATATTGATACGACCTTGTACAGCATCTATGTGCAACCCAGACTCCCATCACACACCGCTCCTACTGCACCCACCCGTGAGGAGACAGTCGACCGCCCATGGTACCGGGATTCTAGAAATTCTCGGCATGCGTTTTCTTCAAGGACCCGCAGGTCCAATATTAGCAAAACCTGTTATCGATTGCACGCCATCTGGAAATCCTGCCCGGACACGCCTTGCAGCCCTAAAACATTTCTACTGCGTGTAGTACTTGATGTACTACTTTCGTCGATGCTCGCCCTCCTGCGCCTGGGGTAGTGTACCGCTGCCAACAAGGTCTGACAAATTGCATGAGCATCGCGGTAGTCCAGTGCAGTGTAGAATCTTCAGGCTCGGCGCGGCTAGCTGAGACAGGGGGGCATTTAGTGCAAGCGAAGTCAGCAATAGACTATTGACTCAGTTGCAGATGCCCGTATCCGGAGCATGATACGCGAATCATTGATGTGCTGAGACAAGCGGGCCGCCTTTGAATTCGCCTGCCTACATAGACTACTTCACGATCTACAATACATGTCGCGCGTAACCCTCGGATACAGTATTAGGATGCTCAACCTTAGCGTTCGAACAGTGACCAGACGGCGACGGTAATACGCAACAGCTGGCACAGCTGTAGGGAGTGGCCATTTCGTGAGGGGAATGTTGCACATGCGGCGTAAGCTTTTCATGATGGCGCGAATGCTGCAAGCCCCAGGATATGCTTCCCTGCATTCACACAGCCTTGTCCAGATCACGACAGGACTTCCAGCAGGCACGAATAGGGCCGTTAATTACAGAACACAAATTCTCAAATCAGCCACAGACCCCTCCCGCAGCCTAAAGGAGACTCGAGTCCAGCTTACTTCAATCTACTTCACACTGGCTGTGCGTGCCGGGCGGAATCCAACATGTGCTGGGACCCACGGCGAGTGTTTAACGGTAGAATCGAGGCTGGTGCGGCGCCGGAAACCGCCGTGCCCCAAGTTGGCCTCCTGCAGCGCTATAAACGTGCCTGATATCAGAATGCTGTGCCATGTCGGTTCGCGCGCACGCCATGAGGGCCTCACGTGAGACGCTGTGTCCTGAGGCACGACCTGATACATAGTTGAACTTAGGCCGTACAGGCGATGCGATGGTACCTGACAAGCGGGCGAGGGGCGCGGTGCGAAGAGCGGACTCGCGTTTCACGATGCGGACGGAGAGGTCGTCCCCGTGCATCTGCTCGGAATCGAGCCGCTAGTGGTGAGGAGAGGGATGGCATGTCAATGGGGTGCGGAGTTGGGGCTCGAAAGTGCGCGATGGCAAGGTTGGCACATTCTTGATCGCCTCACGCAAGCGCTAGGCTGGATATCTTGGAAGGTTTTGAGATCACGAAGGGTTTTCGTCGCCGCATCCTTGACTGGGCAGGCGCACTCGACGCACAGCTCTCCACTTCGTCCTCTAGAGCCATCCGTCATGGGCGACAAGCGACTTCAGCCGTGGGATATGGCAGAAGCCACATTTGGAAGCGGGCAGGGCGACCTGAGGCGTCTCGCTGCTGGTTCCTGGATCGCATGCAGGGACAGGTGCGGAGAAAGTTTCATGGCTCGTATGATCGTCCTTCACATGGCGTCTAACGTCCCTTGAACCGTTCCTAGGGTCCTACTGTTAAACGCCGGTGCTTATCGCGACTCTGATTGTCTGGTAGGGTGCCCGTGATGGTGATGCTTCTCGACTACCTAGGCATGACGTCGTCTCTTGGGCGTCTCCCTCGCGCGAACTGCCCGGATATGCCAGCGCCGAGGAAGGTTGCTGCAAGGTCCGGACAGCCGTCGCTGCCCCATTGGATCTCGGCGATCAAGTCATGATCTCACCCAACACCAGACCACAGCCTTACCTTGGACTTGGACACCAACACACATCCGCCCTCTCGAAACACGCCGCTTGCGCCCACTTTCGCCCTGCTTTGCCCGTAGTGCCTGCCCGCAATGCCCATCCGCAACCCATTCCGCCGCGCAGGCGTGCCTGAAGTCGTCGACGAAAACCAGCGGACTTCGGCGGAAAATGGATTCAAGGACACGACCGTCTCGGGTGCAACGCCCCTGCAAGTCAAGGATCCTGCAGAATACAAACTGAGTGGTGAGGATGAAGCCATATGCGCCGCAGAGCACTGCCAGCTCCGGTGCCGCATAGGATGAAGTGGGCGCTTACAATTGGCAATAGAGATCAACGACAGCGGCGTGTATCTGCCTGTAAGACACCCCAAATGACCCGGTCTCAGATGCATTGTTGCATTGTTGCATTGTAGCCCCCATGGCCGTCTGAATGCGCGAACCTGGTTGACATGTCCCACAGCCGTCACCCCAGCAGGAGAAGCCCGCCTTTTGGCACTCCAAGTCCAACATCTCTACAACATCCTCAAACCACCGAAGTCTGCTTAGCGAGAATGAGCCCTTCAGCATCTCGCGCGAGAGCTTCGACTCATACAGGAGGTCCTTCGTATGTTGGATCCCAAGACACGCCCCAACACCCTGCTTATGGTCACACAGGATATTTCTGCTCGGTCTCCTATGCAAGACTGCGGCAATGAGACATACCCACGTCAATCGCTCGATGCCCGGCGATCAGTTGATACACGACGCTCGCTCGATGTCCGCCGTTCGCGCGCTACGCCCCGCTCTTCGATGCAGCAACATCGCGATAGCACGGACCAGCCCGCCGTGCCAGAAGAGGGGTTCGAAGATGTGGGGTTGAACGACGAGCCTAAGCCCCTTCCCCAGAAAAAGCGTGGCCTCTTTTCGCGCTTTGGCGACAACAACCATGCAGACGAGAAGAAGACGGAAGAGCGCCCGACATCGAGCCACCACTTCTCTCTGACCGGCCGCAAACGGGCCGAGAGCGGTACAGGCTCGGAATTGAAGCCCATGCCCCGGCCGTCGACTGAGGTCCCTGTTGAGACACGGTCGTAGCGGTGAATGATTAGATGAAGGAGTGTACTATTACCAACGAGTTCACTGACGATTTGGATGTATTGCGCTTGGGCGGCATCGCGGCGTTTTGGGGGATATCCGTTTGGCAGCATTACCCACATAGAGCATTTGGTATCGCGGGTTTAGAGCTGCGTCACGATCGCTACTACGATGAAGGACAAGGGCCCTGTCTTTGATCATCGAGGCACTTGAGCAAGTGCCGCATATAATACTAAGTTGTAATTCATCAGCTTCAGCTCTCAGCCCACAAATCTCATACTGCAGATCATATACTGACATCCCGTCCTTCAACCTTGGCTTGACGACGGATTCAATATACGAAGAACCCATTCCATATTGCCACTACTATCTTTCCGGGTCACTCCCATCACGTCACACATTTGTCACCACACTACCACCCACCCCATGTATCCGATCCTTCCCACGTCACCCATGGCGAGTGATGCGGGTACCTGACGATCCATCACGAACGACTCGCGGAGACTCGTCTCGAACTGTGCCTGAGTATATAAGAAACACCTACAGCCAGGCGTGGTGGGGATAATGCCTGTCGAGGTCATGATCTACCGGTGGCGGCGGGCCGGTATAGGGGATTGCAGTTTGCATGCGGCGCGATGAGAGCAACATTTCGCGCGACTCGCCGCTCGTGTTTCACGTCAATATCGAAAGCGGGTGATATTACGGTTCTCAGGCCATTTTGCACACATGCGTCTATAATGCGGGATGCTGGTGTTCAGCGGAACCCTTTTTTTCTCTCTTTTCGCGCGCGGTGTTTCATGTCAAATATTGAAAATTCCCCCTCAACATCCCATCTCATCACATCACATCATAGACTTTTCGCCAGAGTCCGCGCCCGGACTCAACGCGTGATCCGGGAGTCCGAGGCTTGCTGGATAATTGCTTGCTCATCATGTCTGGCTGTTCATTCATTCATTCATTCATTCATTCACACGTCGCGACGCCACTCACCCTGGTCCTTCAGCTGTACAGTACACACCCCCATCCATGTCCGTTCTCCATCGTCGAACCTGGATCCTCGTCAGGTACATATACCTCTCCCCGTGCGACTATATATAGGCATACCGGTAGGGTTGTCGAGGGCTGGCGGAAATGAAGAGATGGGTGGGTATAGCATGAAGTGTATGTGGAAACGTGTTTTATGTAATGGGGCGCAGCACGGGGGGTGTGTGCATTTGAGTTTGGGAAGTTTGTGGATGAGGTGTTTGGGGGTTTCTATAGGGATTAAGAGTGAGGCTTTAGAGATGGTCGTGTGGAAGGTGCGAAGGATGGTGGGAGTGCATGAAGGGTGGTCGTGTTTTGGGAGGGGGACTGGTGGTTGCTGGGTGGATGCACGGCCGAGACTGATGATGTGCACGTTGGGGTGCGTGTTCGTTGCTTCGGCGAGCTGCTGATATCAATTTGCAGTCTTGTCATCGCGCTCAATATCTTTGATGCTTGAAGACCTGGAGATGCTGCTGGGCCGCGAAGTCGCGACTGCGTTCTGCATCTCCGTGCTATTCCGCATTGGGAATTTAGCGCCCGTTGATCGCGTTACGGTTTGCACGTCGTCTTATGTGAACGATATCAACATCATCTGTAGAAGGAAATTCATCACGGCAAACGGGGAAGGTATCAAAACATAGAATCAGGTTTCATTCTTCGTTGCTATCAGTCAATTTCATCTCCTCTCCGCCTCATGCTCTTTTCCCAGCCTTGTTCATCATGTCCATGGCTGCCTAGCACCTTTCGAGTCCTGTGCCACAATGCAAGAGCAGGGAAAGAAACCTTGGCATGAAAGACAGGATGTCCATATTCTGTAATGTGAATCGGAGAGTGTCTTGTGGTGGCGGTGCGCAGGCGCGCGCATCGATATCTCAACACCGCCACTTCTCGTAGCCTGGATAGAGAGTCGCAGCACCTGTCTCAATGCACAAACAAGTAGGTACAAATACATGCCTGCTCTTCAGGTGTGGTGAGTCAGTTCCGGTGCTGCACGGTGAAAGTTGCAAAGTGGCGTCCACTCAAAGAGCAGCCTCTAGTGAAAGTGAGAGCCCGTTTGTGTTTGTCTCAACACAACACAACACAACACAACCCGACAAACTTTTTCTCACCCCGCGATTTTGTTGATCTACCCACCTCCCCTCACCTTCTACCACCGCAGTACCGCTTTTGCTCAACTGCTCTTACTCGCCTGCGCTTTTTGGACGCGCCTTTTGTTGCACAGATTGCCAACAGTCTAGTGTTGACGTTCTAGTATTTCAAGTACCTGTTCTCTCGGTATGTTCAAGGCTACTTTCCGCGCCACTTTACTGACATCCCATCTCGCGCAGTTGGCTTGGGTACGCGTCGCGACTTCTGCGTCACCGTGGCCCGGATGGCGCCTTCGGACGGGCTACCCGTGTCGACGGGCGAGGCGACATACCTCATCCATCATGTCGTACTTCCGCCTCAACTGCCTCAAAAGGACGACTACACATCCGCTCACGAGCGGTGTCTCATCGACACTGCTATCTACGCGCTACAAGATCTTCGTGACCATGTAAAGGAGCAAGACATACAGGCCATTGTAACCTCTGCTGTTACAGCCATGGCGAATCTGAGAGATAGCCAGGACGAAGATGGCAATGTCAGCGAGTTGCAGCTCCAGGAAGTCCTGCTACAACTTGCCACTGGGACAAGGGACGAGCAAGTCCCACTCGAGATCAAAGCCCAGAACGCAGGTCTTTTGATCAGTCGACGCGGTGAACTTGTCGTCTTCGAATCTTTCGAGTTATCTCCTACCAACAATGCAGCCATGAGCACCGTAGGGAGGCTCGTGCGAACGTTCCCGGGTTCTGCGTCAAGAGTACAAGTCTCCATTATGCAAGACAAAGATTTTCGGGAGTCGCTTGCATACACGATCGCAAAGATGACAACACAGACTGCGCCAGGCATGCAGCCTCAGGTTCGCAAGATGGGACAGAACATTGACGAGGATCGTGATACGACAGATCCTGCAATGGTCTCGGACTGGCTCATGAACTACATCGCTGCCTTGGGCGGATTTACCGACACTGTCAGCATCACGAAAAACACGCGCGATGAAGTTTTGTGGCGCAATTGCAGACATCCATGGCGGCGTTCTCCACTCTGGCTTCTCATCCGTGTCACCTTGCAGTTGCTGTTCACGAGGGCGTCAAGCAACACACGGCCTCTTCATGGATTGTACAAAGTGTTCATGGCCCAGCTACTTTTACGAATACTGAAATCGGTGAGTAACCTTTTAAAGTTCAGCAATGATCAACACGAGTACTAATAGGTATCCCAGGCCAAAGCAAAGTGGACAGTCATAGGCAGCGAGACTCTGTATGTCGTATATGCCAAACTAGAGCGCCGAATCCGCAAGTTGGAAAATCTAGGACATCTGAACTTGGTGCTTCCTTCCTGGGCGAAGGAGCTCAAAGCTAGTATGGTCGACACTCATGCATTCATCGACAAGAAGTGGAACACGCTCACAAGCTGTCAACGTGGCAACATCGACACCACTGTACTTCGGAGTCTGCAACCCGAGAAAGACTTAGATACAACTCTGCCTAAACTCGATGCATTCCTTGCTTCGATCTCTACGAGGCGTCAGGATACCGCATGTGCAAACTTCCAACCAGATGAGCAATTTCCGGCATACCCTGAGCAAGATTTACCGAAGACTCTGGGCTGTTCTGGCGATACAAAATACCTGCGATTAGCCGCTGTGGAAGCTTGGATTGAACGATATCTGCAGTCTTGGGTATCGTGCCATCTCCGCGACCGTGACTCGTGTGGCAAGCTGTATGCCTTGATGCAGCTTTACCATGCGGCCGCCAGTGCCGAGTACAGTGGAATACCAGCCAGTCTGTCCACCATGTACTTGACTCTTTTGGAGCTTTGGGTGGCCTGCGACAAGTCAGCCTGCGTTCTCTACCCTCTGCTATCTGATTTCGACCCGGAGTTGGCCTTAGACGAGCTTCAATGTCTTGTTCTGCCGCTTCATAGCCAGATGCAGCGTCTGGCTGAAGTTGAACGCTATGTCGGCAGTCGTCGAAAAATGGCAATCGAAGGAAGTCCGTCTGTCTTCTCTCACTTTGGAAAATCTGTCGACCTTTGCTGTCAGATATTTCAATTAATCTCCCAGGAGCTTCAGACCGCAATGGGCGACCATCGAGCGAGATGCAGAGATAGAACAAAAGTCGAAGTGTAAAGAACTTGCCAACCTCAAGCTACAGTATGAGAGTTTGATGCAAAACTACAACAGGAACGTCTGTGAAACTGAAACATATGTTTACAATCGCCGCCACAGATATACGGCAACCAGACACTCGTCAACCTGCAGGAGATGCGACTACAAGACCAGAGCAGAACGCATGAGCATCCATATCTATGAGTGGCCACTCTCTTCCGATATACCGACAGCTAAAGCGACTGTGTTTGAGCTCAAAGTTCCACAAGCGTATAGCGAATGGCGAGATGCATCGATGTTCCTCGTCGCGACCGCGCTTGGATTCGCCACGCGTGATACCTCAAAACCCACGACCGCTTATACTCTTGATCAGCACCATGGATTGTCCAACATGCTACAGCAGCAAGATTACCGCGCACGACGTATCGTACCTCTTTCAACTGTCAAGCCGCACACGAGGACACACCGCAAGACCGTGAAGGTTATTCCAACTCTGGAAAACGATAATGTCTGTCTTCCCAACGCACTGCGATACGTTTATCACGACAAATCGCTCAATCATCATACGGGAGACCGCCACTCCACAGAACATGTTGCAAAGAAATGCGTTTACCAAATGCCCGACGCACGATCGAGAAACCTTGAAAGCTTCTTGTACAGGCCACCTTCGTGTCCGGATGGCAGAACGCCGAACGAGGTAATTGCTAGCCTCTCCGATTGTCCGGTACATTTCTCCATCGATGAGTACAAGAGCTTTGGAGCGCTCCCATCAGGTCGAAACATCATATATTCGAACATCCTTACGCAACTGGCAACGCCCACAATCGACTTTGCGAAAGTGGAGACGCAAACTCTCCTTTTACAGGCCGTTGGTCAATGCGGTTTGCCCAATGGTCTTTCAAGCCGCACAAGTCATAGCATCCTATTGGAAGATTCGTTTTGTCATGCAATGCTTGCACAACTCGAGCTCTCTCTCTTGCGCATCTCTGAGAACTGGGAATCTTGGCGGGCGGTCGCCACCTTCGTCGGGCTGAGTCTACGCATACTTAGCATGACTCCATCTGTTGATGTCCAAGATCGTAGCCTGGAATTCCTAGCCAAAGCCCGCAAAGTCAGTATGGAGTGGCTCATTCGTCTCCAAGGCAGAGCGCGCGATTCGGTAGAGGAGAAGCAGAGGTCCGACTTGTACTCGAGAGCTACGGAAATTGCACTGCTGTGCACACAAACTTTCAGCGTGGAGGACAAATTCATCGACGTGGTTCTCAAGCAACCTTCTGCAACCTCTATCCTTCTTCGATGTTCGATTGTAGTACAAGAAAATGGCAAGCTTGCACAGTCCGAATCTCAAGCTGTCTACAAAGCCATGCTGCAATCTTGGAGAACGACTCTTTACTGCGCGTTCACGAAGCTTCGTCAGTGCATTCAGAATGGTGACACTGGTCTCGATACAGCTGTGCGTAAGAATTGGGCCGACTTCGATCCTCTACCTGGAGCACATTGGAAGACCATGAGTGAGGTGACTCACAAGCATTGGCTCTGCACTAAGTCTGGCGACCTTACAGTCTTCTTCAACCTACTGACTGCAGAGCTGCTCGTGAATGGTCTGCCATTGGCTCGTCTCCCATCAGAATTCGTGCAGCATCCGATCTATATGCCTCTGTTTGGAAAATCAACGCTTGAAGTCGTTCCAACAGATCAACCGGGTATGAGGTTTTCGGCGAAATCCACGTATCAGGGCTACAAGCTGCATTTTGGCATGTCACATACAGACATGCTACTAGTCGCAGTCAAGAACAATTCAAAGTAAGTCAAATTAGAGCATAATATGCTTACTAAGCTGACACTCTGCAGATCAGATTTGATCCCTTCACGACTCTTCCAAGATTGCCTGCCTCTAGCTTTTGTGACAAAATACATTCACTGGTACGATCACGATCAAGACGAGGTGATATTCTGTTCCCGAGACGACCCTTGGTCAAACTGCGGCCCTGGATGGAGACTGATACGGAAAGGAGTTGCATGGCGGCTTGTGAAAGATGCCTGCATCCTAGCAAACATCTATAGCAATACTGCTAGTACACTGTCCAAGATCTTCGGCACTCTAGAGCATTCTCAGCATGTTCATACTGTACTGGATACTTTGACACATACAGTGCACATCAATCTACCACGGCTGCAACTCGACTTTCACGTTGCCAGCCAGGAGACCACGATACACTCTCGCCAATATCGCGGCATGATCGTTGATCCTGACCAGACAATGGGAACTCTGATTGGTCTTGCCAGCAAACTGGTCCTCAAACCCGCCACCACAATCGAAGATCGATTGGTTCTGATTCCAGTACCCCGGACATTCGATGCAGATTCGATCAGTTGTATCACTGCACCAAAGGATCACCATGTCTTAGTTTGCATTAAGCAAGACAAGGCTCAAGCAGTCTATGCATACTCGCTCGATACCACTCTTGGGCGTGTTCAAGAGAGCGGAGACGTTCAGCGTAGACTCTTTCTCGCGCTCCTGCATGCGCTGACTTCACATTGCCTACCGGATCCTTTGACTGGATACACAGGCACGGAATCAGCGCTGACCGTTTTGCAGTCCGCCGCTGTACGTTCATTCGAGTTCTTGACAACAGAGAACGTCGAACTACTGTATCAGATTGCAAAAATCTCACCATCAAGGTCATTCTATCCACCCGAGATAATGGATATGCAAACAATTGAGTGGGATGCAAGGCTGCCCTTCTTGTCACAGCATCCTAAACTTCGCGTTGGCGCAGAAGATATCATCCGACAGGCTGAGACCCATCGTTTGTATTACCCTGATCAAATGCCTGATACCACAAAATGGACACGAACGAACTCTCACCTGGAGCTACGGGACTGTATGCGAACATCTACTTTTCGTGTCTATGGTTTCGGGGCTGACATGCGCACCTCTGGCAAAGACAAGGTCCACGAAGCTCGAGATGTGTCTAAGCAATCTCAGCGAGGCCAGCGTGCATATATGGCGGCCACTATGATAGCCAGGGACGAAGCGGTTCTTGATACGACCATTCGAAATTTGAGCGACATCCTATTACAGACACACTTCAAGGGCGAGAATATTGATGGCCCGAGTAACTTGTTCGATCCAAAGACGCTTCACTACGATTCGAAGTGGTTAGGCGATGCCACCGAGAAACTTCGAAAGTTTTGGTGCAGTCTTCACCTGGTCCTACCTAAATTGCGTGGAAACTGTAATCGATACAACATCATGACTTGGCTTTCGACAATGGCATTTGCTAAATCAGCAGATGTGCGCGTTATACAAGTTTTTGCAATTTTCTACAGACTGCAGTCGATGCCTAGTGTCACGCCGCCTTCAGTTCCGGCTTTTCACTTAGCTGACGGTAGCAGCTGGAAATCTGTTGAAATCTTCAACATCGTCAGAAACTCTGCGAAATCGTTCGATGATTCTGAAGAGGAGAATATACCGAAGCAATACTCCGAAACCGATCAAGAACACGACAAGCGCATAAACAGTTTGTTCAAAACTCGTCAAGATGCAGCAGTTCAGTTTTTCGTTGCTGAATTAGAGCGTCAGTGGCCTGTCAAGGTACCGGTCCGTCCTACGCATGAATCAGTCCTTCAGTACGTCGATGTGTCGGGTGCAATGTCACGCATCGAAGCAAAGTTCAAGACATGGTACCATAACAGCCAGTTCCTAAGATATCTCCAGGGTACATCTGCATTGATGGCACAACAGCAAGCTTTGCCTATCACTTCGCCACACCCAAATTACAGCAAGCCATTGGTGTTGCGCAAGACCAGCAATACACAGTCTATTTTCCACATCGACTGTATTTTTGCAGCAGCCCCACCAACCATTTCCAGGGAGGAACGAAACCAAAGCTCATTTTCGACGCTGGTACCGCCTTGTGAGCCTGTACTTCCAACATTGGATCGCCATACGTTGTCCCAGAGCGATGGTCAGGGCACTGGACTCAAGCAACTCTGCGAGACACTTCAATCTCTGGCGAAATCAAAGTGTGAAATGGATTATGTTGACGCCTTACGTGATAGTTGTGCCTCTCTTAAGGCCCTTCACGTACCAGATTCTAGAGCGGCCGACGCCTGGTCAGATGATACTGTTGAAAAGTTGCTCCAAACGTACCTCGACAATTGCAAGCGCTATTTCAAAGCCTTCAATCTTGCACTTTACCAAGTCGTTGCAATTGATGACTCTCTCAGCAATCACATTGGGCTGCTCGTGCAGCACTCTCCACGTACACCTCCGACCTTTTGGCTCGCACAGCTGCACCGCGACCGCTTTGGTACATTGTCAGATTCATGGAAGACTGTAATCATCGAGTATGGACTTGCTGTTACGCAGCTGCATAGAGCACAGCGACTGGTTTCCCTATCACACAAGCCAGCAGACTTGATGGAAGAACTTGGCCATATTGGTCACAGCAATTGGGATCCCCAAAAATTTCCTGAGACACTGTTGCTCGAGGCGGAGAGTGGAATTCTCATCCGGAAAGAACAGGAGTACATCGCTTCGCATATGAGAGATTCTCAAGACGCCACCAACATTGTACTTCAGCTCTTGATGGGTGGTGGCAAGAGCAGTACTATTGTGCCAATGCTGGCAGCTTACTTGGCGGACAGGAAGCAGCTTGTACGAATCATAGTTGCAAAGCCCCAGAGCAAACAGATGTTGCACATGCTCATCTCCAAGCTCGGGTATCTGCTGAATAGGCGCATCTACCACATGCCTTTCTCTCGCTCGCTGCGACCGAATGTGACCGAAGCGAACCTCATTCGTCAGACCTATGAGGAATGCATAGTGAACCGTGGCGTCTTATTGATCCAGCCTGAGCACATACTATCGTTCAAGCTCATGGCGATTGAAGCTCTCTTAGCTGGTCAAGCATGTGCAGGATCACTCTTAGAAACACAAAAGTTCTTCGACAATGTATCTCGCGACATAGTGGACGAGTCAGACGAAAACTTCTCTGTGAAGTTTGAGTTGATCTACACCATGGGGACTCAGCGATCTATCGAGTTCGCACCAGAGCGATGGCAGGTGATTCAAGCTATAGTGGGTCTGATTCCGCGCTTCGCCAAAGAATTAAAGAAATGGCGACCAGAATCCATCGAAGTTGAGCGAGATGAAGCAGGAAGGTTTCCCAGAGTCAGGATCTTGCGCAGCGATACCGCAGGACAGCTGCTATTACTCCTCGCAAAACACATAGTCGAATTCGGCATCGTTGGACTACCGACTAGCTCGCAGTCTCCAGACGTTCAAGCCTCGCTTCTGCGATACATCACCAACTCTGAGCTCACGGCTAGCGAGATAGCAGCTGTGGAGAGCAGCAGATTCTGGACAGAGAGCACCAAACATCCATTGTTGCTGGTCCGAGGTCTCATTGCTGGTGGCATTCTACAATTTGCGTTGGGTACGAAGCGCTGGCGAGTCAATTACGGCCTCGATCCGAGCAGAATCCCGGAGACGCAACTTGCAGTACCTTTCAGGAGCAAGGATTGTCCCAGTCCTAGGAGCGAGTTCTCTCATCCTGACGTGGTCATTCTTCTCTCCCTTCTGTCACATTACTATGGCGGATTGACGGACGAACAGCTCTTTGACAGTTTCGTTCATCTACTTAAGTCAGATCAGGGTAACATTCAGTACGATGAATGGGTTGCTACAGCATCCCCAGACCTGCCACCCGCGTTCCGCCAGCTGTCCGGGGTATCCATCAAAGATCCTCATCAATGCATCGTCGAGTTGTTCCCGTTTCTACGCTACTCCAAGAAGGCTATCGACTACTATCTCTCCTTTCTGGTTTTCCCCAAGGCTATGAAAGAGTTCCCTCAGAAGTTGAGCGCTTCGGGATGGGACATTGGCGCCGTCAAGACACATCCGGTTACCGGATTTTCTGGCACAAACGACACCTTGCATCTGCTACCTCTGACAGTCAAGCATCTGGACCTTCCCAGTCAGAGCCATACCAATGCGCTAGTACTACGGTACCTATTGCAAGCTGAAACATCAGTTGAGCTGTTGCCGCCACGCACAAATGTCAATGGTAGTGATGCGGATCACCTTCTCTCATTGGTCGTTCAGATGGTTCCAGAGGTCCGAGTCATACTTGATTGCGGTGCTTCTATTCTTGAGCAAGACAATCAGCAAGTTGCTGAAGCATGGCTGAAAATGCTTGACGACGATAGCATCGAGGCTGTTGTGTTCTTCGAAGATGAGGAGCTTTCAGTCTTGGATCGCGCAGGCCGCATCGAGCCCTTGCAAACATCTCCCTTTGCCAAAAATCTCGGTGTCTGCTTGGTCTATCTTGACGAGGCTCATACTAGAGGAACGGATTTGAAATTACCTCGCGACTACCGAGCTGCAGTGACTTTGGGACAGGGCCTGGTAAAGGACAAGCTTACCCAAGGTATGTCTGCCAAGAGCATAAAATTATTACACTCACTGACAATTACACAGGATGTATGAGAATGAGAAAGCTAGGTCTGGGCCAGTCGGTAGCATTCATTGTTCCAGAGGAGATCTCGGCAAAGATTTGTGAGCGTACTGGAAAGCTTTCCAATGACTCCATCGAAGTCAGCGATATTTTGTGCTGGTCAATTACTGAGACTTGGCAAGACCTCAAGAGGAGCATGCCACTATGGGCAGTCCAAGGCGAGAGATACGAACGCAACAGCAATTCCTTGCATGGCGTTGCAACCACTCAGGCTCAAGCTCAGTCCTTCCTTGAAGATGAGGCTCAGACGCTGGAGGCACGCTACAAACCACTGACCAAGGAAGAAGATAGTTTGGGAATGCTGAAAACCTGGGACTTGGGCAATGTGAATATTGTACGAATTGTCGCTAGATGCAGGGAGTTTGACGCAATGGGCTTTGGCATTGCTACTTTGAGCGAAGAGCAAGAACGTGAACTGGCTCCCGAAATCGAAGAAGAGAGACAAATTGAGCGGCCTGCACGACTGGAGCCTGAGGGCCACTCTGTTCATTCTGACGTCCGACACCTGGTACAAACCGGTTACCTGCGCCCTAACCCACGAGTCTTTAAGCCCGCTTTCCATGCCTTGGCTACCACGAGCGCCGCCAGATTGTTTGCACTTGGGCAGTTTCCCACAGATTTGATGGTCACTGCAGACTTCGAGCGCACGGTAAAAGTTCCCAACAGTTTCGCGAGCCATCATTTCATCTCCGACTCATACCAGCGACCAGTCCAGTTCGTACTGTCTGTGCGAGATACTGTCACTAATGCTATCCAACAACTCGTCATCATCAGCCCCGTAGAAGCTAACAGCTTGCTATCGTTCATTCGCGAGCACGCAAAAGTCACTCTGCATATCTTCGCCCCACGAGCAAACGCCAGCTTCGAATCGCTCGACAAACTCGAGCTCTACAACATCGGCCATGCCTTCATGCCTGAAGAAGTCTCTCGCAGCCTCACGGTGCAACTCAATCTCTTCACCGGTAGCCTCTACCTCCGTTCGTTCGAAGAGTACACTGAACTATGCGACTTCCTTGGTCTCCTGCGATGTAAGCCTGTGAAAGGCCAGCAAGTCTATGCTGATGGATTCATCGATCCGCCCTCTGGTCATTGGGGTCTGAGGATGTCGCCGGTACCATTCCTGCGCACCTTACTGATGAAGATTCGGCGCGAGGGGGAGGGCGTGGAGAAGACGCACCTCGGCAGGATCTTGAACGGTGTTAGGCTGGAGGAGGCAGACTTTGTGAAGGATGTCGAGATGTCTGGAACCTGAGCATGGCTCGGGTTAGTGGTGCTCGCCAGGGACTTGCACGAGAAGAGATGAAACTATACATTATCTGAGCATAGCTATGCTTACCACGGACTTGGACAACGAGAGGCGGAAATGGTAATGGAAATGATGAAGACAGAAAGGACGATTCAGAATTCGATGTCACTAGGACAGGTCTGCAAAGGACAACAATAGCTCAGACCTTAGCTTTAGTAAACATCGTACATGTCCACTTCTCTTGCCAGATCATACGTGATGACTGTTACTCACCGTTTCATCTCCCCCAATACTGGAAGTTACGCTTGAACGACTCAAAGACACATTCGAGCCCGGGCCCTTGTCCCTTCATAGCTCTTCTACACACACCGTCTCCCCCTCAACATACTCCCCCACCACCTCCAATCCCCTCGCTCTCCACCTCCCAAACTCCACCCAATGCACAAGCCTGAGTGACTCCACCTCCCCCACAGCATCTCCTCTCCCCGCTTCCTCACCGAATCACAAACCCCCAGCATTCCCACTCCCTCCCGCTCGCAGCCCAACTCCCCATAGGCAAACCCACATTCGTCGACCTCCTACACCCAAACCCATGCACACTCCTGCTTAGCCTCAAAGTCCCATCGCCACGCTGCCCGCATTTGCCCATTCCATACTCCCTCCGCACGCATCCATCCACACCCTCAACGCACACCGCGTAGTACCAGCACATCTCCGCAAAACTGACCGTGTGTTCTCGATCCCACCAGCACTGCGCGCGTGATTCACGGATCTGCATGTCCCGACAACCCCATGTCTATCCAACCTCGCGACAAGAACGGGACAAGTTACCTTCACCAAGCAAAGCATTGAGCATGAAGTTGTGTTGAGTCGTGTATATAGCTTGTTTAATACCATGCCATCTATGCGCTCTATAATAATAAAAAAAGGAACACTGAGCCCACGTCGTGGCTTTTTCGATTCGTCATTGCGCGCAGGAGGCGCGCGGGACAGAACTGTACATATCCAGCGAGTCTGAAAAATGCAAACCCAACATGAGGCACTTGCAGTAGTGCGGAATCTCCTTTTAAACCCACCCATATCATAAGTTCTAGTAGCGCGTGATACTACTGCATGCTCTCTTTCAAAAACCCCCCCTCTCACACAGGCGACGTCCACCCACGATCCTACTGCGCGCTCTCCCTCAACCTCTGTTTCTCCTCTTCGCTCAATGCCTCAAACTCTTCCGCAAATCCCTGCGTGCCCGCGGCTCTCTTGAAAAACTCCACCAAGAAGCCCTGCGTCTCGTCGTCCCGCTGGCGCCCACTGCCGGGCTCTTCGGCCGCGAACGCCATGAGTTGTTCTTTGCTGAAGCCAGAGCCGAGATCGACAAAGGGGTTGGGCTCGTCTTCCCAGTCGCCATCGTCGGAGCCTTCATCTTCGGCGAGTTCGGCGGCGGCGGCGGCGTCGAGGGGCGCGCCCGAGGCGGACTGGAGTTCGACGATGAGGACCTTGAGGATCTTGAGGGTTGCGGGGACGATGGACCATTGATCTGGATCTGGGTGATGTGTTAGTGGGGTGTATGGGGGTGTGTGGGTGGAGGGGAGACGAACTTGTTTTAGCACGGCTGCGGGTCATGATGCGACCATCAGTATTGGGGATCAAATCACCTTTGACGTGTACTTGCGCTAGCCGGGGATCTTTGAGGTCGTAGAGTTTTGATAGGGCGATGACGTTTTGGCGGATCTCGTCGTAGCCGGCGAAGTTGATGCTGTTCTCGAGCCATTTAGCCATGACGACTTGGAGGCCGTTCTGTCCGCCGATGTCTTGTCGAGCGAGGAAGTCGACCACTTCAGAAGCGTGGTTCAAGCTCAGACGAGCGAAGACAAGGGTTAGACTCTGGATGAATGGTGCGTGCTCTGCTTCAGATAGCCGTACGGCGACGCTTCGCAGAAGCTCTTCAAGATACGGACCCAGTCGTTCGTGACCGGCTTTCTCTACAACCTCAGCGGCGAGTGCACCGACCTCCCCTGCAGCGTGTGCGGAACATGACGAGAGCAGACGCGAGACGATGATCAAAACGACTTCGAGACCGGCCTTACCGGTGTCGTCCCGCCACTCGAAGAGTTGTTGGTGGTCATGCGACAAGATGTTCTTAACCGCAATAGTGGCAGATTTGAGCAGTTCTTCATCGGCGCTACCAAGCAGGAGCCGGGTGAGCTTCGGCATTGTCGCTGCAACGAAGCCAGCTGGAAGAGGTTCAGGGCCATGTTCTGCAAGAACAGAGAGGAGGTCAGCGGCCATGTTGCACAGAGCATTCTCCTCGGTAAGGCTGCCAACGTCGAAAGCACCTGTCAATGATGGCAGGACCTTGGCGCACAGCTGCACATAGGCGTCTCCACCCATCTGCGATATCGACTGTGTGACATCCTCGAATGTTTCGTTGACCAGCATCGCCAGCTGGAAGTTGTTCGCACCGTGGCTGGCGACTTGGAACAAAGTGTCTAGTCCGTTCGCGGTGATGCATATCCGGGTATCGATGAGGATGGCGTCCCGGAGTGTTTCCACTAAAGTGACCATCAGATCATCACTGTCCGCGAGCTCCTGCAAGTCTTGTGTGCCAAGGTAGCTGGTAATTGCGGTGATGATGGTACTCTGCAGCGGTTGTGTGATAGCATGCGGAAGGGCCTGGAGGTAGAGCTGAATGGCGCGAATGCACGAGACTTGAACAACCTCATTTTCGTCAACAGGAATGGCTTGTAACGATGCTTCGAGGAAAGGTGTCGCAAGCTGTTGCAGTGCGTCGCCCGAGGTTCGTGTCAAGCTACCAGCAACGAGATAACCACGAGCTCTCAGGAAAGGATCCGGCTGTGCCATGGCGAAGCGAATGAAGTCCACAAAGCCACCTGCAGCTTCGGCGCTGATCTGCTTGTCCACGTCTTGGAAGTCGCTGAGCATCTGGTTCAGGACGAACAGGACGGCTTCCTTGGCTTTCCAGTCGCTGGCTTCGGAGTAGAGTGCTCTTGAGTAGGTCAACAGACCGTTGATAGTGGGCTCCGTAAGCCATTCGCCGAGCTTAATGACAAGATCGCCGCATGCTGTTCGCGGGGTGTAGTTGGCAGTGACGCTCGTCTCCTCGCTGAGGAAGATGTTGACGTCAATGTCCCACAGGCCCTCCTCTTCCGTCGTGATCTGTGCATAGGCGACAGCGAGCTTGACGACCTGTGTCACCCACGACGTCTCGGGAGTCTGTGTTGCAAGCTCTTGTTCTAGTTGTTGGCGGACGGGGGGTGCTCGCAAGCAGGCTTGCATGAAGTCGAGCTCTTCCAGGACGAGGAAGTCCAATGTGTAGGGCAGACCATCCGCATCCTCCAGTCTGCTCTGGCGCTCCTCTTGTATGTACATGAGCGAGTATGCAGGTTGTAGCAGCGACAGTTCCTCCCACGTCGCCTGGAAGAGAATGAGACTTTGCGGCGAGAGGATGGCAGGGAAGACGGACCGTATGCGCATGAGGATCTGGCTGGCTTAGTATTCGTCAATTACAAGATATCACACCACCTACCTTGACGACTTGAAGCTTGAGCGCAACCATTCCCTTGAATGCCTCGGCGCTTTCAGCGTCAGTCTCATCGTCCTGGAACGATGGCGGCTCCGGCAGCCTCGTCTTCAGGATGTTGACGAAGAAGGGAATCCACTCCTTCAGTATCTCGTCGGCAAAGCTCTTGACCATGGCCTTGTGGTCTTCCAGCACCATCTCCAGAATGTCAAAGCAGCCACGGAAGACACTGCAGGCGAGCGCCCTCAGCACGGGTCTCCGCTGCTCGTTGACGGCCACGTCATAAATGACCTTGACGAGCTGCGGTGCGATGCCAAAGAAGGTCGCCTCGTTGAAGCAGTCCTCGACGAGCTCGCTGAGCACCTTGAGTGCGCCGTGGAGCTGGCCATCCGTAGCAACGGGTATGAGCTGCAGCAGGTTGTCGAGCAGGTCCGGCCACTGGTCTGGGTAGTCCGAGTTTGCGATCTTGCTGACGACCAGTCCAGAGGCAGCCTTGAGCTTGCGGTCGAGCTGATCCGTGGTCGCAAGCGCCAGCAGTTGTTGCCGTATCAGCGGCTTGTTCTCGTCGGTGACGAGTATTTGTCCCTTGAACTCTTCGAAGCTGTTACTCCAGCCCGCCAGCACCAGCTGCTTCATGTACAGCAGGGCGGCCTGCCGGATGTTGAGCGGCACATTGTCGTGGCAAGCGATGCTGACCAGGCCCAGCGGCAGCTCCTGGTGGCCATAGTAGGACAGCAGCTGTTGCTCGGCGTGTTTGCGAGGGCCTTCTTGGGCAGTCTGGGTCGCGGAGAGCAGCTGCACTAGCTGTTCCTCCATAGCTTGGGGCTTGGGGCGGATGCGCGTACAAGAGCTAGTCGGTCAGCAGCTCTAGCGTTTGCCCAACACGGATGCGACGACGTTGTGAGGCTTGGTGACGCGTTTTGGTGTGGTGTTTGCCCGCAAGACGGCAAGGCTGAGGAAAAGAACGCGACCCCGGAGACGATGCGGGGCAATTCGGTCGAGGACGCAGGGAAGTGGGGGGTTCGTCGACTTTATGTCTGATTCATGTCAGCCACTCTCTGTACCGGTGAAGCAATAGTCGGTCAGGGAGTAAAACTGATTGTCGGTGAGCTGTTGGGGAGGGTGAAGGCGGCCTATGACGGTGTGGACTCCGAATACCTGCTGTGGAGGCTGCTGCCGTCTCCCGAGTCGTGAACAACCTCACTTCTGTGCCCGCAACACCATCGATCGCCTGCCACGTTGCGACTGCCCGAAAATGCTTGGATCAGCGAACAAAGCATCCCGGGATCTCTGCCACGAGCGATTGTGCACGCACCCAGAACCTCGTCACTACCCTTCCTGCGCGACGTGACGCGACAAGATTCGATGCATTCTGATCACAGACTTGGTACGGAAAGATATCAGACCCATACACAGCAAACCAGAAAGAATCCGACATGGCCCCGACATACCTCGAAGCCCTCTCCGCCTTCACCACCTTCCTAACCGCCTACACCCACACGCTCCTGTACCTGCGCTCCCTCTACCCCCGCGCCTCCTTCGCCAACTCACGCTTCCACAACGCCTCCGTCTGGCAATCGCGCCACCCGCTCGTCTGCGAATGGATCCGCGACGCCGTCGCCGCCGTGCGCGAAGAACTGCTGCTCGGCAGCGTGTCCCGCATCGGCATCGTCATCTTCTCACTACCCGAGAATGAAGCCACGGGCAGCGCGAAGATTATGGAACGATACATGTTTGATACTTCGCGCTTTCCGCGCGTCGAGCGCAGTGAGCGCAATGTGGAGATTGAGTGGGAGAGTAGTCCGGAGGAGGAGGAGGAGGAGGCGCTGGGAGGGAAGAGGGGCCGGGAACGGGAGCTGGATGTAGATGTCGATGTCAATCTGTCGGAGCAGTTTCGCGCCGCATTCATGGCGCTGGCCACAAGGACGACGAGGTTGGAGCCGCTGCCGGAGAACTGCTCGTTCAATATTTGCATGGAGCTTCGGGATGAGGCGGATGTTGATCCGCCGATTAGACATCCGCAGCCGTGGATTCCGGTGCAGCCGAGTTTGCAGAAGACGGGGCGGAAGGCTACGGTCAGAGACGAGGGTGAGGAGGAAGAAAGGGAGAAAGGGATCGACGAGGGTGAAGATCTGGGAGGGGTCAAGGTCACGCCGGTAAGGAGCGTGGAAGCTGGCGTCTTCAGATTTGAGACGTGGATAGAGGAAGGGAAAGAGAAGTTTGAGAAGCATTCAGACAGTACGAGGACGAGTCTCAACAGCTCTTTAGCGTGAGAAGGAACCATGCAATACAAGTTCTTCGTCTTCGATTCATTTAGCCCTTCCATATTGAACATACAATATTCAACCCACATCGAGGATATCAACAAGCACTCCAGAAACGCCGTCCAATGCAAACACTCCGCGTGCCTCAGTCACTCTCATCCCCCATCCCCCATCTCATCATCCTCATCCTTGTCCTCCTTCTCCTCAAGCAGATCCTCCGTCATACCCTCCTGCGTCTCCTCGCCCTCCTCCTCAATCTCGTCATCCTCGACCTCTTCATCCTCCACATCCACCGTCTCATCCACGTCGCCCTCGTCCTCCTCATCCTCGGCCTCCCCATCCAACTTCGCCCGCTTCGCCGCCGGCTCGTCGTCTCCGCCCGCTACCCCGGAGATCATCGAGCTCGGCTCCTCCTCCTTGGTCGCCTTCTTCTCCTCGCGCACCTTCTTACGATACGTATTACGCTTGTCCGCCTGTATCGACGTGAACTTTGTGACTTCAGCCTCGAGGCGGGGCAACATGAAGGAGAATTCGAGCTCCTGCATGGCGGTGAAGACGTTCTCGGGCATGACGGTTTTCTTGCCTGAGCGCTGGGCGTGTTCGGCGGCGCTGTGTGGTGTTAGTCTCTCGTTGTGGCTAGGAAGCATCGAGGCATCGAGGAGGGGGGTTGTCGTGCCATGATGTGATGTAGTTTACGAAGACGGTTGCGCTCTTGGACATTGCGAGGAGGGCGTCTTTTTGGATTTGCGTGTTGGGTGGTAGCACGCCTTTTGCGAGGCGTTGGACTATGGATTTGGGGAGATTGAGGTCCTGGCAGGTGTGAGTAGAGTGACTGTGTATAACAGTATGCGCGCATACCTCTACGCTCAAGGCATCGTCTCTAGATTCCCTTGTGACAGACTTGGGCGCGGGACTCTCTTCCTCTGCGGCGGCGACGGAGGCGGCGCTCTTGCGGGGTGGCATGTTGTATGGTTTCTTCACAGTGAGGTTATCGTCACTTAGCGTGCATGCAGCAGTAGGAGAGCGGCTTGGTGGTGCTGCAATTGGCGGTGCAGCTGGACTTGGAGGTGGAGCCGAGCAACTTTTGGCGAGCCACGGTGACGCGTGAAAGCGCGTCTTCAGATCTGCGCTAGCTCGATGCACTCCACTTCCCAGAGCCTCGATCTCCAGCGTCCCTCATCATGCTGCACCAACAACTGTAATATTACATGGTTGCTAATTGTTGTAAAACTTGTCACCCTCAAAGCCAGATGGAGTGCATCGTATATTTTCTGGTGCGACCGCAGGAGCCACTCCAGCTTGATTGGGAATACGTCACTTCATGCAGCTTGGTAGTCTGGGTGTTGTTCATGCCTGTCCTGGCATACTGTAACTTCTTTAACGTCATGGATGCCCCGTGAATGTTTCGTCCCCTCTGTCTTGGGAAATTGCTCTTTCGTCCTGCCACACGCCAGATTGGAACAGCGAGTCGCTTATCGATAAGCCGCCACGTGCCGAGGACCCACCTCACCCTCCGCAATCAGTAGTTAAACTTTACCAAGCACCTTGCTTTCCAGAGCAACCCGGAACGGCCCACGCCAACGAGTTGCCATGAAATTGGGTACTCTGTCTCTCCAGCCATGTTTGCTTTGGCCGACCTCAGGAGACTGCTACCACCCAGCGCGTAATTGCGCAATGTGCTGCCCAACCTGCACCGCCTCCATCGCTCCGGTTTCTTCTCTGGTAAGTTGGTCCGTAGCGAGCGTCTTGCGTGGCTGCCAAGGTGCTCTTGAGTGCATTCAGCCCGGGAGCGACTCAAAGCCTGGACACCGGAGCTGAGCATGGCTCGGCTGAGGGACATCGTCAACTGCGCTTGTTCCCCGCTACCTGGTCACCTCGATCTTCGACAGGTTCGATCATGTTGCTATTCCACTCAGCTTGGCCTTTCCAGCTCCGTGAAAATTCTGTGGGTCGTGTAAAGAAGTGCGTCGCGCATCTGTGGTCCGCTACCAGCCCTGACAGACGATGGCGGGGTGAGACTGGGGTAAGAGCGTGGCGGATCTAGACTACAAAGCCAAGGACACCACGCCTCCTTGGCTGCATTCCGCTCTCAGACATCCACGGAAGAACACAGAAGAAGTAAGATGGAAGGTCATTTGTGACCTGTTGGATTGCGTTCAACGCGAGACGGCCGGCTCGGCGGGATCTCGTCGCGCTTGGGCGTCCCGAAACCAGTCAGCCAACGCATGGGCGGACAGCGCTCAAGTTTCTACGATCATCCCTCGTGAATTCTAGTAGACTGACTGACAGCAACCGCGAGCTCCTATTAATCTCATTATTGAATCATGCTTAACATAGGGGAAAGATGTATCTTCAACATGTCTTTCCGCACATGCAAATGCGCCAATACCTCCCGTACTCAGCCACGAAGAAGTCCATCCCGCTATCAAGACCATTGCTGCAGGTCCAAGAACCTCCACATTGCTTGGCCGAACCAACACCCGGCAAACGTTCTCCCAACCTGGGCAGCACCACTAACCCGCGTGCCTGGTGCTTGGACGAATCAGTGCAGTTCTCACAGAAGCGTTATAACCTAGCTGAGTCCCTGCATGCTCTTGACTGCAGATCTCTCCAATTCTACGCAAAATGGCTATGCGTGTCATCGTCGATGGTGATAGCAACAAGGTGTACAGGAAGGGCGAAAAGGTCACTGGAAGAATTAGCATCGTGGTAGAAGAGGAGGTGAATGTGCAGTCTCTGAAGGTTGTATTTGCTGGGAACTGCATAACGAAAACATCCCGGCCCTTCCACGTCAATGGCAATGGCGACGCCTCCTTATCAAGACGCGAGTTCGAAGAAAAGATTCGTCTTTTCAACCAAGAGAAGGAAATCCTCCCCCAATGTTCACTGGCCGCGAAGAAATATCATTGGGCATTCGAGTTCACATTTCCGGAATTGACAGAGCCACGATATCACCGCATTGCCCATGGAGCCAACTATCTCAAAGAACCACATCCACTACCTCCGTCCTTCCAGCTAAAAACAAATGTGCAAAGCGGTGCAGCTCAGATATCCTACTTCATCCAAGCCAGATTGACCTTTAGCAAGTCAACACCGGTTAAACGATGCAGAGTTCTATTGCTTTACCAACCAACACCACAACTAGACACACCACGACACGCTCGATGTACTTCCACAGTGCTGTATGACCAGATATGGAAGTCGGCCAAAGACGTAGGAGGAGAATCTCAAAGAACAGTCTCTAGAGTGCTCAGCAAAGTCTCACGGCAGAAGGCTTCTGCACGCATCATCCCAAGCATTCTGTACCCCGAGACCATAGCACCAGGACAGCACATCCCTATATCAGTCCTGCTTAGGGATACTCGCGACGGACGGAGCGAAGAACGTGGTGAATGTACCATCGATTCCCTATCCATCACAATTTCAACCTACTCAACAAGCATGTGCGGCCACAGCATCACCGAACCCGAAGACGTCGTGTCAAAACACGTCACATGCATAGCGCGAACAAACATGAACAAACCCGCCCCCCTCGGCAAAACAATATCCCTAACCTCCAACTTCCGCCTCGTCAACAACGTGGAGTGCGTCCCCACATTCAAAACCTACACCATCACCCGCCGCTACGCACTCAACGTCGTCATCGGCGTCAAATATGGGAAACAGCAATTCACAGTCCGCTCCACTACGCCGCTCGAAATCGTGCCCCGTGTGCCGCGGGATAGATCGCCGCCGCCGCCGGAATACGACGAGGATGTGGAGCCGCTGCCACTGTATGTGCCGAGGGAGCCGGAGAAGGAGTGTGCGCCGGATTATGAGTCGATTTTTGCGCTTTCGAGGACGTCGTCGGCGGCGGGGTCGTCGGCTCCGTCGTATGAGAGGAGCGAGAGTTATGGTTCCGATAGTTCGAGGGCGCCGAGTACTGCTGCGTCGACTCCGGCGAGCGAGATTGAGGAGCCAGTGTTTGAGCGGGATGATGTGATGAGAACAGCAGTGCGGGCTTGAAGAATGGATCGTGTCTTCTCACATCTTCAACCCGATTGTGGGACTTTGGCCGGCGGAGACATTCGTGGTACCGCAGTGCGGTATCATTTCATGCACCTTTCCAATGTCAGGCAACGTTATCTCGAGATATGGATGCAATGTTTTCTGTAGGCTGGTTTTAGGCAAGGATTAGATCTATATAACCTAGAGCAGGTGATCATCACCACCGGATTGGATTATACAGCATGTATACGACGCAATACATGTACGATTCACATGCAACGGGATTTGACTTTGAAGTCTGGAATATGAACATCTGTATCCATTCTCTTATCATACAGATCAAGTTGAAATTTTGTATACCACACCTATACAAGTAATCCATCAACATCTCTCGTCCTCGTCCTCATCCTACAGAATCATCAACACCACATTAACATTGAGCTGACTGAAACAGCTTCCAGAAATACAATAGGGAAAATTTATTTAACAAACAAAGTGGTATCGAGCAGGTGATGTTGCAAAAAAGCAGAAAAGACGAGCATGTGAGCAACCATCTACGCGCGATGCGCCCACTCAGCAAGCTGATTCGCCGAGTCAATCGACTCCTGATTCTTCTCATGATGCGTGCCCATGGACGCCGGATGGTCGTGCAGGGAGTGCGTCGACATGCCTTCATCGACGTCTTCGTCGTCGTCTGGGATTTTGACTTCGCGCGTGAGCTCGACGTAATCGTACTATTATCATGTCAGCTCGCACTTTCTTCATCATGTAATGTAAACCCGGGGGAAGGGCAGGCAAAGGACTTACAGCAAACTCTCCAATCTCCACATCGTCAATACCCAGCGCCTCTTCCTCCTCGCTTGCGCGCAGCCTAAACACAGGCACGAACTTGCCGATGAAATCCAATGCGCCGAGGATTATGCACGTTCCGACGAAAGAGTAAGCGCCGCCGGTGAAGGAGTCGGCGAGTTGGTACCCGAGCTGGATCCAGTTGTGGTTGAGCCAGCCACCAGGAATGACCGTGTATCCGTCCAAATGCGCAATGTAATCCGCCGCGAAGAAGGCGGTGAGGATGTTGCCTACGAAGCCGCCGACACCGTGCACTGCGAAAATATCCAGCGCGTCGTCGCAGCGGAGGAAGTACTTGAGCTTGGTGGCGTAGTTGCACGCGATGCCGCCACAGACACCGAAGATGACGGCTGCCCATGCGGGTACGTAGCCAGAGCCAGGCGTGATGGCGACTAGGCCGGCGATGACGCCGGAGCAGAAGCCGACTGTTGACCATTTGCGCTCGAGGCGGTAGTCGACGAGACACCAGGTGATGCCGCCAACACATGCGGCAAGATTGGTGCACACGGCAGCCATGACGGCCCGGAGGTTGGCAGACAGTGCGGAGCCAGCGTTGAAGCCAAACCAGCCGACCCAGAGAAAGACCGTGCCAATGACGATGTGCGTCACGTTGTGGGGGCGATAGTTGAGTTCCTGGGTTCCGTGGCCGCTGCGCTTCCCGAGCATGTATGAGTATGCGAGCGCGGCGCATCCGGAGGCAATATGCACGGGGGTGCCGCCGGCGAAGTCGAGACCGCCCATGCGGTATACCCAGCCAGAGGAGTTCCAGGTCCAGCAGGCGATGGGGTCGTAGATGATGGTGGTCCAGACGAACATGTAGATGATGCAGGGGAGCATCCTACCGCGTTCTGCGACTGCACCAACGGCGAGCGCGACTCTGTTGTTACATTAGTACAAGATACCAACAATGCAGAATTGTCAAGTCGTACGTGATGGCTGCAAACATGCCCTGGTAGACGGCAAACATCAGGTCGGGAATACGTGGGCTGCCAATTGAAGGAGCGCCAAGCACATTCATGTATCCGAAGTTATCAAGCGCACCGATATACTTTCCAGCCTTGTGTGAGAATGCTAGTGAGTAGCCCCAGAAGAACCATTGGAAGGAGACGACTGCCGTCGACATGACAGAAAGCCATAGTAGCGATAGCGCGGACTTTCTTCGTGCAAGTCCAGAGTAGAAGAACCTATATAATAATGAGTATACTGCATCAACTGTGTTTGTTTCATTTCAACTGACCCCACACCTGGAATCATGAGAAGCACGAGAGCTGTTGCTGTGATCATCCAAGCGATGTCACCGGGCTAGGATCGAATTAGCCCCACGTTCTGCCAGTACCTGAACATGGCAAACTCACGTTGTAGTAGACATTAAGATTGTCGACTCTTGAGTCGCCTCCGGCCGCACCTGTGCCATTGTACGCTTGAAGCGGGAGCGTAGGATCCGCTCCGTTCGATGAGGGCTCCATGATGGCGGTTTCGTCCTATCCCACGTGGTACCGTCGACAATTAGGTTCAGCGGCTGCTACCGGCTGCGCACACTTATTTCAACGGGCTGCGCAGGTAGAATAATCCGCGAGTACGCCGAAGATTGGATCAGATTGTTGATGAACGAGAGGACGGAGCTCAGCAGATGAGAAACGACACAAGAAGGCTGGTCGATCGCTACACTTCCAGGGATCTAGAGGTGCAGTGTCCTTGGCGATTTGCCGCGACAGCAGGCAAAGGAATATAGCTCGAGACGTCCACGGGTTCACGCAGCCACGCGCATACACCAATAAAATCGATAATACAATGAAGAAGACGCTGGGTTGGTATGATAACCACAAGAAAGAAGACAACGACTCCAACGCAGCGCAACGTTTCGAGGGGTCCGTGGTGGCTATATGGAGCTGCCGCAACGCAGCCTACCCGTCCGTCCCTTCGCAGAGACAAGGACGCTCGGACTGAGATGCGCTCAAGCTCGAACGTCTCCGGGATCAGGCGAGCGAGAAATAAAAGCCACCCTGTGGGGTGTCAGATAGGTTGATGGGGGCAAAGTAGCCAGCCAATGTTGCGCCACGGTCGCAAGTGCCACGCAGGGACGCGGCGTCCGTAGCCCTTGGCGAGCCTGTTGCGGCTGTCTGAACCACACTCGCGGGATGGTTAATTTTCCTAGTCTGCCCTCTCTCTACTCATGATCGCTGTAGATCAAGATAGCATCAAATCTTCTGTGGATACAATCTGTAAGGTGGTGAATCGCGCAACATACCACCACCCCAGTAGAGCATTCAGGAGACGCGCGCATCGCATGCCCCCTCAGCGACCCCAGCAGCTGGTCTCCATCTATCAGCAGCTTTAAACGCAGTAAACACTAACGTCCCTGGCCCCAGCCCAGAGATAAGGTCACTCCCGCTGATAGGCCACACGGGCTCACCAACGCGTGTGCCATCCCGGCAAAGTTAATCCTACGACCCGAATGAGGAAAGGGCCGAAATGGGAATCCGAGGGAAAGGAAACCACCGTATCTATGCATCGAAAGCAATAATTCCTTCAAGACGCTCGTCCTCCAAGTGAAAAGGCGACCAGCGACCAAGAAACTCTCTTCTGATCTCTTGGACGTTTTGAGTTCAAGATTATCTCTTGGGTGCTGCCGCCGGCGACTGTGTCTTATCAGCAACGATGTTCTAAATGTTTCGAACCCCACGCGAATTCGACTGTGCCTCATCCCACGAAGATGGCCTCCTCGCCCATCAACTCTCATGCATCTCCCCCCAGCAAACATACAAGCCCCTGGAGACGGTTGTTTCTGCTGCGCGTACCTCAAGGATGTAGATCATGCGTTTCTCTTCTCGAACGCATTAGACCGTGCGGTTGGTCCCTCTCCCTAGACCCCGGAAGTTGCTTTTGATGCCTAGAACGTCACCCGCACCTGGAGAGACTTTTCGAGGGGAAGTCAGTGCCCGGATTGAATGTCGTGACCGACATATGCACTTGGATATGTGTACGTATAACATTTCCTATGGACGATGCAACAGTTTGCTTCAAATGGCAACACAAAATCCTTCAAGGATGCAGTTCTGCAAGCGCGAAACGAATGACTAGGTGGCTGGTGGCTGGGAACTGCTGAACGGTGAAGCTGTCAATCGGCCAAAAGCCAGAATGAGCTGAATGGCTTTGGCGACTGTGATACGCCAGTGTTAGTGTATCGGAAAGGTGGGTTTTGCGGTACGCAAGGCTGTTTTTAGTGCACTTTTGGTGGAACAAAGCCTCGTGGCGGCCGACAGCATCCAGCCACGCTCTTGTGTGATTCGAAAAAAGCAAGACACTTATGCACGAGAAGACAGGAAGAGCGTAGTGTGTCCCAAAACGAAACGTTTGCAGCTGTTGCTTTGAAGTTGTACTACGAAGTAGCGCTACCATGCATGTCGACGTTGAAATCGAGTGCTGTGGTCAACCACAGCTTGCGAAGAACGTCGTTTCCATTTAACCTTGTGGACGCAGTTACATTACTGCACACATAAGCGTGATCTCGGGCATTCATTACTGCTCATCTGTTCCCACTTCTTGCCCTACCTGGTAATGCAATGAGATAACGTCTCAAGCATGCCTCGATCAATCATGAACCTCCACACTGTCTGGTCTAGTCCGCGTAGACTTCAGGCAGGGTTGGAGGTGCAACTCCGAAGCCGCGGATTGGATCGAACATGGTCAGGGTGCGAGACTCGCGCCATGCGAGCATGACGGCTGGCATCTTGTCTGATCTCGTGTAGATCCAAGTTGTTGCCGCTTTCTGGATCCCTGGAGATTGTCTCAAGGATGCATGGGTGTACCTGACCCCGCCGGTGTGCTTGCCCCCGGAGTGGCGGACTCTGTTCCCGCTTTCTTCTTCTTTTTCTTCTTCCGCGGTATGAGAGCCGGTGGATTGATCAGAGCGCTTCGTAGTGACAAATATGATCCACAAGTCAGACAAAGGTTGTCTGGTAGGACAGAGGTGCAGAATACTGTGATACGTTAGCTCCGACCAGTGTCTGCAAAACCAAGAAAAACATACTGCTCAAGCACACGCTGCATACGTAACCAATATCGACTACGTTTCTATGGCAGAAACAGGCCGCTCGGAAGTCCACTCCTCCCGCACTCGGAATGATCAAGCTCTTGCGCGCTGTGGCATCGGGCAGGTATGCCATCATCAAGTATTGTAATAGCCCCTCAGGCCTCTCAGGCTTCATGTAGACCCCGCCAGTAGCATCGCTGGCCTGCTGCAGCAGAACTGTATCTCCAGCCAGCTTTAATATGTCTATCGGTATCTTCTTTCTTTGTGCTGCGAAGATGGAGTTCATTACAGGGATGTATTGGTTAGCCAGGTCGCCCGACACGGAAACGATGAGGATACGAGAGGTGAGCGCTATACGGTCGAGGTGCGTGCTGTTGTCTGTATCAGCCATCGCCGCAACAGAGGTGATCTCGGCTGAAGCTCCAGTTGGTGCGTGAAGAATGGTAGACTTGTTGATATAGGACAGTGCCATAGATATGGCGCCGCCTATGAGCGTTGTGGGCGTTGCTGCAAGATGGCTTTCATTCGTCTCTTCCAACAGCTTCGCAAAGTTCTTGAGGATGGCACTCTCGACCAGTGCAAAAGCCCGGTACTTGTTGGGGTTTTCCGCGATATAAGGCTTGTTATCCTCTGCTCCATTCATCTCGACATCGCCGTTGGTGCCATTTCGTGACTGTGGCTCGGGAGGATTCGGTGTCGGATATAAAAAGGTAGCCTTGTGCGAGTGAGAGGCAATAACGCATACTTCGTTCGCGTTTCCAGAAGCCAGGTGCGCGTTGATGAAGACCAGGATATTTGCGAGGGCGGCCGAGAGCGAAATGGAAGACGAGAGATGTGCCCAGGCATGTGGGTTCGTGTCGAGGACAACAGCTAGTAGTGATGGTGGTGGAGCTGTCTCGATATGCACATGGCGGTCCGAGGCGTCGATGGAATTCATTGTGGCAAGTTCGAATCGCGCAAGGCGATCTGATGGTGTGTCTAAGTTCTAAGCAACGGCATGCTATCGAGTCGGCAGACGGGTCAATCGAAAGCGAGGATCAAACAGAAATGAAGTGTGTCGAGCCCGTATGGCGTTCGCGATGACGCTAAGTTTGTGGTCCGTGCATGCTCGCGCGTTCATGTGACTTTGGAGCACCCCACTTCCAAACTCGTTCACCATGGACATCATGGTGACACGTATTTGCATTGTATATATCGCCTGAAGTGATTATGACATTGTAATAGACATGTTATATTACCCCGACACAATGAAGGACGTACTAGTGTTGTAACTACAAGGAGCCTTTGAGCATATCGGCGAGCTAATTTTTCCATTTGAGTCACGCCCTATCGTAGACTACTTCAAGTATAAAGGTAGGCCATACTTCAAACTGCACTTCATACAGTCCGGTGCCAGGTCTGTTGAATTGCCAGTCATGGCTCAACCTTCGGTCTTCAGTGAAGACCAGATCTCAGCATTCCTCAACTACATTGGTCTACCACCGTCTCTTCAGCAGCAACGGTACACCGGTGATGCATCCAAAGATATCCACTTCCTTACACAATTGCACATACACGCGATCTCAACAGTCCCTTACGAAAACCTCTGGCTTCATTACAACCCCACTCACACCAACAACATCAACCCCAACGACACATACACCAGCATCGTCACCAACAACCGAGGCCGAGGCGGCTACTGTTTCCAAGTCTCCATCTTCCTTAACCATATCCTGCGAGGCCTCGGCTTCCCAGCCTACCTCTCTCCAGTACGAATCCGATATCGAGTCGACGGCATCCCCCAGGGTAACTACAGCGGCTGGGTCCACCTCGTCAACGTCGTCACACTGACAGACGGATCCAAATGGGCCTTGGACGTTGGCTTCGGCGGCGACGGACCCACCGCCCCGATCCAACTCGTGCACAACCACATCTCCACGAACCTCGGTAACCAAGAAGTCAGGCTCTGGCGCGATTGGATACCGACGCAATTGCACCGTACCGCGGAGACGAAGCTTTGGATCTACCAGTACCGCAACGGCGTGGAGCAAGAGTGGAACTCGTTCTATGCTTTTGGCGAGACGGAGGCTATGGAGGCGGATTTCTTCAATTTGAACTGGTATACTGGATCGCATCCCGAGTCATTCCAAACGTTTACGTGCATTATTGTCAAGTTTTTGAGACGGGAGAAGGGAGATGGGAGTGGGGATCAGGAAATCTATGGGAAGAGGATGTTGGTGAATGGGGTGGTCAAGGAGAATCTTGGAGGGAAGACGGCGATTAGGGAGGATTGTAGGACGGAGGAGGAGAGGGTGCGATCGCTAGAGGAGTGGTTTGGCATGAAGCTCACTGAAGAGGAAAGGGCAGGTATTCGAGGATGGGGAACAGAGTTGAAGGGAGACGGGAGTGAGGGCGTCATAGCGAGGCAAGCGCAGTCGAAGGAGGTGTGGGAGATTAAAAGAGGCAAGGAGTGGCGGCATCATTGGTAAAGATTCTCTGCCAGCATGAAGCCCTCCCAACATTTTACATAATTTCTCACCCATTCGAATGAGGTTATCTTACTCCACTTCTTCCTTCTCTACCGCAACGATACCAGGCAGCTCCCGCACATCCGCAGTCTCGTTCGTCGCCAGATCGATCACCCTCACACTCTCTACCCCCAGCACACCCACAGACAGCGGCAAGAACTTCAAGTCGGCTGTATAGCACGAGCCTGGCGCCAACTGCCCCAGTCTGATATCAGTGGTCAAGCAAACTAGTTCCGCAGTTTCGGTCCTCGCACTCTTCTGTTTGGCATACACGATATTCTCGTCCACCACCGCGTTCCCCAAGAGGTCTTTCTTGTCTACTTTGACACCGCTGACTGAGGACGTCGAAAGGTGTGAAACATGTTGATCGAAGTCACGTTTGCGTTTTGGAATCACCAAGACGGCGAGTTTGCGGACCTTGTCGCTTCGGTTGACGATGAAGACGTTCCATGTGAAGATGTTGCCGACTGTAACTTTGGGTGGGCCGGAAATGGTGAGTGTGATGTTGATAGCGTTCTTGGCTTCTTCTTCCGCTCCCTGGGCTTGGGTGTCATGTGCAGGTAGCGCATCTGGATTCGGTGTTCTGGCGGCTTGCATAGATGGAGTGCTAAGGCGATGTGCGGCTTTGATCATCTTGGCTGTTTGCTCGGATCCCGGCGCAAAGTCTACATGCGTCCTCCAGTCTATTTCTATCTTTGGATGGCAGTTCTCGGACATGATGACTTCACCAGAGACATGCATGGTCAAGTAGTGGCCTTTGCTTCCGAGTGCGGGGCTCCCGTCTGGTGTTATGTCGGGCTTGATTTTGTATACATAAGTGAGCTGATCACCAGGCTTGTTGACTGTCTCGGTTTGCTGCATGTTGACAAAGGGTGTGACTTCACCTCCATGTAAACTCAAGTCGACCTTCTTGATGCGCACGTCGTAGGTTGCATATGACGCCACTTCAAGATCCAACGAAGCGATCATTGACAGATCGCTCAGGCTTGTATGTACCCTTGTATATCGTATTCTCCAGATCAACGCTGGAAGTACTCGGAACAGCGGTCGCTGCCCGTTCCTAATTGGCCGCACCATTTCCTTCACGACCGATGCAGAGTTAGGTGCTATCTTGTTGATCCGCATAGCCGATAGGCGAGGATGGACACCATCAAGAGCGGGATCGCTTTCAAAAGCCTGCAGTAAATTGAGTGCCGTTGGGACATGACTGGGGAGGTATTCATCTTGGGGATCATTCTTCTTCGGCGATGAAGCCGGCTTGAAAGATGCAGCTGGTTGAAAATAGACAGCCGGCTTATGAAAGCGGCCCTGTGGCCGATTTATGAAAGCTCCAACTTTCCAGACAATGTATGTGTGAGCGTTTTCACCTTGGCCATGGCGTGCAATTGTGGGCTTGTCTGTGTCCTTGATAGTGTAGGCAAAGATGAGCTCTTTCGTAGGGCCGGCTTTCTGCTCCCCTTCTGGTGGCGGCGCGGTGCTGAAAACAAAGCCCTCTATGTTCAGCACCAGCCTGGCAAGATAGGACTGGAGGGTGTCATCGTCCAGAATTGGTGTGCGGAAAACAATGTAAACGGGAAGCAGCTCATCTAGCCTGTGCATGAGTAAGATTACTTGTCAGAGCAAAGATTCAGGCAAGTCGTACCCAGTAGTAATACAGTTCTCTGTGAGAGGAAAGGCAGTATGGATCCAGTTTCGTCCTCAATCGCTCCGTCCCAGGATCGCAGTTCCTCCTCGATATCGATATTAGGACGACTGGGTACAATTGACTCTAGCACCGAGCTCTCGACAAATTCAGCACTGGTTCGAGACTGCAGCTCTCCAGGACTTGTGCTCATGGTTGCTTGCTCCCTCTCGTGTGGAAGTGAAGCATGTTCACGTGTGACGAATGCCTCAAGTGGTCGAAGGTGTCCATGCGCCGCTAGCTTAGTGTCCGTGCGTCCAGTCATCAACTTTTACTTTGAAGATCGCGTTGGCGACGCGAAAGTCTCCTCAACGACCCAACCACATTCCACGACTCCAACACAATGAACGGGTTTGCGCCTCCAATGGGAGCGCCCGCTACGCCATGGAGAGAAGTGACCAACGAAGAGGGCAAGACTTACTACCACAACACTCTTTTGAACACGACGACTTGGACGAAGCCTGAAGACTTGTACGACGACTTTGAGGTACCTGCATCAATTTCTATACGCACTGCAATTGGCACTAACATGTAATAGCGCGCGCTTGCCAGCACTGGATGGGCGGTTCAGACATCGGGCGACAAGAAGTACTACTACCACAAGGACACTCGCGAGACGACGTGGAACATTCCTGCGGATGTTCAGGCAATCGTCGACCAGAAGCAAGCCCAACAGCCCCAGCGCCCACCTCCTGCCGGTCCATCCGGCTGGGCTGCAGGCCCTCCCGCATTCGACACCCGACGCGATGACTACCAGATGGAGAGGCGCGAGCGCGAGCCTCATCAGGACCGGGGCCGAGATAGGGAGCGCGACTTTGGCGGGGAGAGACCGAACATCTCCTTTACAACCGGCAATGAACTCCAGTTCTCAACGCCACAGGATGCCGAAGGTGCCTTCATGAAGGTGCTGAAGCAAATGAAGGTGCAGCCCGACTGGACCTGGCAGCAGGCAGTCCGCGCCGGTATCAAAGACCCCAACTGGCGCGCCATCCCTGAGCCAGAGAAGCGCGAAGAGGCATTCAGGAAGTACTGCGAAGACATGCGCGCCCAGGAGAAGCAGAAAGAACAGGAGCGCCAGGCCAAGCTCCGCTCCGACTTCACCGCTATGTTGCGCTCGCATCCCGAGATCAAGCACTACACCCGCTGGAGGACCGCGCTCCCGTTCATCGAGGACGAGACCATCTTCCGCTCGGCCAAAGATGACAGCGAGCGGCGCGCGCTTCTCGATGAATACATCATTTCTCTCAAGAAGGCAAATGAGGAGCAGGAGGCAGAGAACAGGCGATCCGCTCTCGACGAAGTCCTCGGACTTCTCCAAAGCCTCGATCTCGAACCCTTTACGCGCTGGCACACCGCCGAAGAGAAGCTCGAGAGTAGCGACGACTTTAAAAGCGAGAAGTTCAAGGCTTTAAGCCGCATGGACGTGTTGACCCAGTTCGAGAAGCACGTCAGACAGCTTCAGCGCGAGCACAACGACCGAGTACAGGCTGATCGGGTCAAGAAGCATCGCGTTGAGCGCAAGAACAGGGACGCTTTCATTGGTCTCTTGAATGAGCTCCGTGACAGTGGTGCGCTCAAAGCTGGCACCAAGTGGAAGGACATTCACGAGAAGATCAAGGACGATGGACGCTATCTAGCTATGCTTGGTCAGGGTGGTTCCTCGCCGCTGGACTTGTTCTGGGACGCCCTGGAGGAGGAGGAAGGCAAATTTCGCACTCTGCGCCGTTATGCCTTGGATGTGCTCGAGGTAAGCTGGCTTGAACTTAGACCGTTAGAAACAATCGCTAACATCGGACAGCAACAACGCTTCGAAGTCACCACAGCCACCCCGGTCGATGAGTTCCTAAAGGTCATGCGAATAGATCCTCGCACCGCTAACATTGACGAGCAGTCGATGCACAGTATATTCAACTACGTTATAGCCAAGGTCAAGAAGCGGGAGGAGGACGACCGCCGTGACGAAGAGCACAACGAGCGCCACACCATGGATGCGCTGCGCTCCATCATCAAGCGCTTGGACCCGCCAGTGTCTGTGACAGATACTTGGGAAGTGGTACGTCCCCGCGTTGAGAAGACAGACGAGTACCGGGCACTGAAATCAGATACTCTCCGCGAATCCGTCTTCGACAAATACATGCGTCGCCTCAAGGACAAGGAGAGCGACCGACGCGATCGGAGCAGACGCGACGACCGTGATCGCGAGCGGGACAGGGATAGGCGCGAGCGAGATCGTGAGTATCGCAACGGTCATTCTGATTCTCACCGTCATCGTACACGAACTCGCTCACCAGAACATGACCCCTATGCAGCTGAGCGCCGTCGAGCTACGCAGGACAGAGTGGCCCGTCACAGGATCAGTGATGGTACTGGCTTGTCTCCCCCCCGCCGTCGTGAGCGTCGCGAGGACGACAGATACGAGGGCCGTCCTCGGCGCAGCCCCGCTGGTGACCACTACGTCTCTGAGCGCCGTGAACGCGAAGCTGAGCGCGAGCGATCCTACGTGAGCAGAGCTGACCCGCGTGAGTCAAGTGTTAGCTTGTTAGACTACGGTGACGGGGCTGGTCGTACTGCTTCGGCTAGGCGCCGCCGGGAGAGTGATGAGAGCGCAAGCAAGCGCGACAGCAAGGTACGTACATAACGTTAATTTCTTGCAATGTGAAATGCTGACTTTGTAGCGCGCTCGCTACTCTCCTCGCCACGATCGCAAGTCGAAGACGCCGGTCCCAGAGCCACCCAAAGAAGAAGACCGTGCCGTGCGATCCGGTAGCGAGGAAGGTGAGATCGAAGAGGATTAGAAACTCTCTCTTGGTCTGTCCCTTCGTCGCAGGAGGCAAAGCCGGCTGACATTGAGGGCCCTTCCGATACTATTGCCTCCTTGATAAAACTCAATACCTGACATAGGACAACATCGCATGCAAGGTTTTTTGGTCTCCCATCGGCTTAAAAAAGGTACGTGAAAAGTAGAGCGAGTTGATGAATCTGAGGGATTAGTCAGTCCTTGGTTATCCATCATTGTTTTCAGTGTTGGTGTTTCAAAGCTCCTCACAACCATGGCGTTTCATTGCTGGCTACGGGCTGCAAGTTGCAACAGAAGACAGTGGCTATGGCTACTATTCTTCTAGTGTGTAGTTCATTACCAAAAGTTAATATGAAAAACGTCGCTATGCACCTTCAAATGTGGTGGGCATTAAACTAGAACCGTGGTACCCAGATATAGTGGCCCAACTTCAATTCCATTTAATGTAGGTATTGATACGCATAGCCCTTTGCAACTCGTGGAATCACTGACGGTGCTCGATTCCATAATTTCGACTTGCCGTTCTGTCCCGATGTCAAGTTTACAAGATCTGCCCCTCGAGCTGCACCTATACATCCTCCAAAGCTCATCGCTGGACATACTTGACCTTGTCCGCTACCGCGCCGTCTCACCACTATGGCGCGCAATAATCGACACCAAGAAATTTCAAGAGCGCCTTTTTCTCCGCCCCCTACTGTCCCCCATCCTCCCTGTAGCCCTAATCGGCATAGCCATAATCGCCGTGATCCGCCCCGTCCCCATCACCACCACGACCGAGTACAACGAAGGGCTTTACAATATGACGCTGAAAGCATATACATGCGCCGATCCAGATGTGCGCAGCCGCCTGCATCCCATAGTCAACGACCTTGGAAATCGTATGCACCTCCTCAACCACAACTTTGTGCGCACCAGGAGCGCCTGGGTGACGTCGTTTGCACCACCCAGTATGCGTTTTCGCGGCATGAAGCAGTTGGGGAGTAAGATCTTTCCGCACTACAATGCGAACTCGCCGGCATCATGGCGTGCCATGAGTCTCTCCCAGAATCAATATGATCAGTTTCAAATCTACTGGGCGCTGGATATGCGCTTGTGGGCGAAGACGTGGGAACGGGTTGGGAGGGGCGTGTATAACAACACTGTTATAGGAGCTAAGATGAGAGATTTGGAAACGCAGTGTCGGCTGGTCTTGAGACAGATGGTGGGGTTGCTTGATGAGGATGAGGATGGGGAAGTAGTGTCTAAGAGGAAATTTTGGTTGAGTGATGATACGAACGAATTGTAATCGTTGTGAAGATCGAATAGATGCGAGGTCGTTTATTCCGGTGGAATCTACAGTTTCAAAGGTATTTGGGACATATTTGTGCTATTCTACGACTTGCTCTCTGGCCCTTTTGCTATTTCGGCGAAGATGTCGACGCCTTTTCTGCCCAATGCTGTTCCTACGCCTACGGCTGCCGCGCCGACTGCTCGCATTCGATCGAAGCCGTGTACGTCCTCGACTCCGCCAACCCCGATAATTTGGATACCAGACAGGGTGTCATGTTGGAACAGCATCCCTCTGATCGTATAGACGTTGCCCAAAGCTAGAGGATGCAATGGTGTGCCAGCTAGTCCACCGATTCCTGTTTCGTTTGCAGATTTGATGGTGGCCTCGAAAGTTGACTGAGCCGGATCGCCTTCAGCCGGAACTTGAGGTGTGAGTAGTAGCGAAGATCCTAAAGTGTTTGTCGCGGTAATGAATGACACAGGGCACGGAAGGTGCTTCGGCTCAGCTTTAGCACTCTCCAACAGCGCATCGATCATCGCCTGGAACTGATCGTGATACGTATATGGCGGTGTCTTTATGCCTATGGGTACATGAACATGTCCCCCGTGTGGATGCGATTGTTGTAGTGGTTTTAATTGCTTGCCAATTTCCCCTTTGAGAGCCGTCAAGTACGACAGCAAGGAAGTCGAAGAATACGCCGGTGGTGGCTTCCCTACAATATTCGGGCAGGAGAGATTGACTTCCATGGCAAGGGCCATTTGAACGTGTTTTTGGTGGGCACTTATGAGCTTGTAGCACTCTACTACATCCTCTTCTGATCCGGTCACTGAAATAATGAACGGTTTGCGATGCTCTCCATCATTGAGGTCCTTAAGTCCATCGCTAATGGTTCGGATGTATTCTAGATATTCTCGTATCGATGTTGGACTGTACCCCAGCGTATTCAAGCTGCCGCTCTGGTCTGACGTGCCTCCTTTGTCCTGGCTGGTCTCGGACGCCGAAAGGGATCGAGGGTTGAAGAAGGCGAATTGATGTACAGAAGAGTTGTGCGGGAATCCCTTGAGGAGCGATGTCCGCGTCGTGACGGCTCCAGTGTGTGGACAGTCATAAAGTTCTTGAAGCTGGGCGAGCGAGGTGCACCATGGATTTGAGGAGTTCAGAAGGGGCGGCGAGATAGTTAGGGCCTTCATCTTGTAGTGTTGTGAGGCGAAGTGTGAGTATGCAGTATTTGGACTAACAGACGTGAAGAGCTGCGAGACGGCATGATGAAGGGTTGCAGCGGGGTAGCTTCTACGGGTAGTGCAAGACGAGTTTCTATGTGGTCATCTTATCGAATAATTCTTTTGCATTCGTGTCTGATAGCCAGATAAGGTCTATGAGCCCGGTAAGGTGCTAGCTAGCTGATGTCGAATGGGTGAAGGTTGCTGGGTAGCGAGCACGTGAGCACGCGATCCTTCGGAGGTCGGAGGCAAGCATCCATGCTCGACCGGATCATCGCAGCGCGCATCCATCCACGCCTCCACTCATTTAGATAGCAACCTTCCTTTCGAGCATAGCAACTTCTACTCGGGATGGAAAAGGATGTGCCGCCGAAGAAAAAAAGACGAGGTGCGCCACGAAGCAGAACAGGTAGGAGAAAGAAGAGAATGCACCTCTGTATTCATGGAAATCGCTGACTATCTAAAGGATGGTATAGCTAATCGCAACTTGTGGTAAAATCCTCAGCAATCTAACTTGCAAATAGTCAAACCTGTAAAGACCGACACACTCGCTGCGATGAAAAAAAGCCCATATGTGGCAACTGCGAACGTCTAGACATTGTTTGCGAGCGATCCGATGATAGAACATGGAAGATGACGTATTCAGCACCTCCAGCACAGCCTGTCGATGAAGAGACATCGTTATTAGAGATCTTCCAGTCACACATGGATGAACTGGAACCGGTTGCGGACGGTGTACGCCCAGGTAGCTTTTCTAACATAGGCAGCATGTATACGCCCCCGGCCACGGCGGTCTCTAATCCATCAACGGGGACGATATCTCTGACATCTGAAACTGCATTTCTTCTGCAGACATATGTCCGCACAGTCGCCACATGGATGGATCTTTTCGATTTCCAGAGCTCTTACCAGCTACGAGTGCCTCGACTAGTGCTCAACTCACCCTTATTGTTCCATGGCGTGTGCGCTTTCACGGCGAATCATCTAGCGCTTTCTAACGCGAGCAACAACCCTGCTTGGAGAGTGGTAGCAGTAAAGCACTATGGTGAGGCGCTGCGTTTACTCATTGAAGCCTTGAGCATGCCTGATCATGAGCACGCTCTAACAGCCAGTATGTTGCTACTGAGCTACGAAATACATAAGGCTCAAAGGTCTGAAGACTACCGACGACATTTTCTGGGTTTGTCAACTCTGATCAGGTCTCGAGGAATTACTGCACAGAGTCCTGGCACAGATCGAGCGAACTTCTGGATATACGTCAGACATGAGATTGCACTCGCTTTCTCAAGTGGAACGACGCTGGTACTGGATCCCGTCGAATGGGCAGTGACTTGGATGGAAGGGGAAACGCGTGAGGACGTCCTGGGCAATCATGTTGTGTGGATTTTGGCCAGAGTCGTTAACCTGATTCACGGCCCGCATGGGCGATCTACTGCCAGCAAATCTAAACGAGAGGCTTTTCTGGAGGAGCTTGAGGTCTGGCGCGCCGGCTTGTCAGACACGTTTGTTGGTATCCCGTACGGCGAGCAGGACGAAGAGGGTTTTCGTAAGGTCTACTTCCCGGTCGTCGCTGCCGCTGCCGCCGCCTTTTGGTACCATATTGTTCACATCCTTCTCTATGCAGAGCCAACGCTACAGGACGATAGCTACATACCTCTCATTCAAGAGCAAGCTATGCAAATCACAAATATCGCCATTTCAGATTTCCCTGCAGCTTTGAAAGTCTTCTCGACCCATGGTCTGTTCTACGGTATGTACATTCTCATTTATGCTTGGCTGCAATTATGTATCTACTACCAGATCCCTCGTTGACTTATCTACAGCTGCAAAACACATTCAGGGCATTTCTCGAAAAGCACGTATATGGAATGTACTCAAAGTTGTTGAAGCAGAAACCGGGATACAATACAAGAGCGACCGTCAAGCATCTGCAAGATCTTGTTGAGCAGGACCGCTGATCGCTTCTTGTTTGAGAGTACAAAGGTCCTAATGTTAGAATCTGCAAGTTGCTGTGCCTTTTATGCACTGAGGCGGCAGAGTTTCAAGATTGTCGTGTGACTTGCGGACGTCCAGCTCGTTGGGTGCGCCACCGAGGGGCGCAGCAACAGCGCCAGGGAGGGCGAGATACAGGCGCTTAACCCCAACTTCTCGACACATCAGCCACCGATGCCAGAAGAACTTCAAAATCGATTCAACTCGAATATATACTGTAAAGCTCGAGGTTGCCAGTTTAGTCTCTAATCTAGCAGTCTTGGAAGCTTCACAAGTACCCTAAGGCTGCTTCATTGGTGAAGAGGGCGCGGCCAAGCAAGCCACCGGAGCAGTCTCGCTAACTATACATGCGACTCAGGCAGCGACAATTAGTGTTTGCAGCCTCCTGACCTCTTGCAGGAGAGAGAAGCGAATGGTACCCTGTCGAAGACCCGGCAACTGAACGCATGAATTTGCTAGCCACACACAGCCATTCCCATCCATATCTTCATGCGGCGTTTAACACGCTCAGCCACCCATAAGTGTTTCGACCAAGTTACACCGCACATCATAAAGTTGCTACGACCTGCCTCTACAAACTACCCAGCAGTTCAAATGGCGTCACAATCCAGTATTGCCAACTCTTCTTTTATTGACGATTGCATTAGTAAGAATAGAACCCTTCAAGATTGCTACGAAGATCTTGGACTTTTCAGTGAAAATGGCGACGCACGCAAGGACCCAGTCTTCCCCAAAGAGGAAGCAAATGATCTACACAGGAGAATCAAAGAAGTAGCCCAGTCTTTCAAAGCTGCCTATAGGAATGATAGGGATAAGCTCCTGGCTGATCTGATCAAAGAGGATGCTCTTGCCGATCAAGTACAAGAGTTGGGCGAATCCTACGGGCATCTACTCTGGGGTGGACCTGAGAGGTGTACAACACGATATGTGGGACAGGTAGTCAACCTCGATCAGCTCAATTGGGATGATGAGACCGACCAGAAATTGTAAGAGAAAAGCATGTGTTTTCTAGCGCATAGCAAGCTGATGGTATGGGCAGAATTCGCTTTTATTTGCGTTGCTGGATCACCAGAGTCGCCGTCCAGAGTCTACCACATAAGGGAAAAGTAAAGGGCAAAGTTAGAGCCAACACAACAATCGAGCATGACAATTCAGACGTCGAATACTCGGGAGCAGACTTTGTCCGAACTCCGCCGCGCGCGAAAGATGTATCGTCCTCGGAACTACCGATCCGCGCTCCGGAAGTGCCCTCGATGCTTCCTCCTGCAGATCGATCTCGAACCGAGCGAACAACTGTACAAACAGGGTCCATTATCGCATCAGACGCCACCATGGTGTCTGATGCCGGTTCTCGATCCCCCGCAACGCCTAACAAACGCAAAGCGCCACACCTACAGGGTCAGGAGTCGTCGGGCAAATTACAAAAAGTGACGAAAGAGGCACTAGCAAGTACAATCTCGTCCCAAAATCGACAGCGGCATGTATTCTCGGGATCCGTATCGCCCGGTCTTAATTTTCCCGCGTTTCCAATCGGACAGGCTCAGAGACGACAGAGAGAAAGCACATGCGATACCGATGTGACATGGGCACCCCCAGAGATGGAAAGAGTCGAGACCGAAGCCGTCAGTGACCTCAATCATGTGACGGGAGATACGCAAGGTACGTAAAACGTCTTACGCTTTCACACTGCCTGTTAACATTTCTACCAGAAGCATTGTCGGGTGCTGGGTTGGAAAACGATATAAACGGTTTCGACGCCCACCGCTCGCCCACTGCTGGACCGTCTGGCACTTACCGCAACCCTCGAAGACAGGACTCAGTCATTCCTTCTCCTCAACATGGTACAAGTAACCCACAATCCACCCGTACTCAAAGCATATTCCATACAGATATGGACATTATCAGCACTATCAAACAACGTAACTCGTGGCACACAACTCAAGTCGATGTAGGCAGTCTTGATAAGTGGCACCTCAAACAGCTTCGCATGGAGCTATTCAAGCTGCTTCTATCCTTTCTGAACGGCATCAATCAATTCGGCGCCGAAACTTACGAGCATGATGCCGAAAGATAGGTTAAATCACCTCCTTGTTCAACTCTGGATCAACGATGCTGATGTCATTCGCTCCAAAATTGGTCAATGAATTTGCAGAGGTAAAAAACGTATGGGATCATTGTACGAATATGCGGCTTTTATTGGCCGAGTTCCAGCATACCACAGGCTACTTTGGGAGACCTGGTAATAGCTGGAAGGAGCACCTTCGGCAGATGGAACGAGTAGACCACGCGAAAGCAAGTATTGCTTTCATCGACATGAAACGCGCGGTTTCTAACCAAGGGTTTGCCTCTGTTATTGGACCTCACTTCAATAATCGACTCGCGACGTTATTTGATCTGCTCACTCAGGTTGAGGGATGCAACGGAGTGGAAGAGTTTGGAGCTTTATCTTCATATAATGCGGAGCTTCTGGAGTGGTTTTCATGAATTACGACGACGATATCCGTCGAACCGTTAATATATGACATATAACTAACGAATGATAACGTGCTTTTCAAGGTCGGGAATTTGAATACGCAGTTGTCCTCGTACAGGGTTTAGGGCACGGCCTGAGCCTACCTGTGCCCTGGAACGATACATCCGCACAGCCCATCCGGACTAGGGCCATCTTAGAGTGTTGGCTAGCTTCGTTCTAATTGCGCGAGCCATCAATAACATGGTAGCTCCTCAATCGTGTGATGCATGTGTTTACCAGATATTGCAGCTTCTGATTCATGGCTGGAGAAAAGTGGTCGAAGTGGATCGAAATTAGAAATCGCGCAGGCCACACGCGGCCGTGCGCTACCTACCCGCCGCAACTCGTGACTAGGTAAGCTAAACCTTCTCACACCGACATCAAAGACTTTGCACCTCACACCGTACCCTGGGGGTTTAATTACGAAGACAACTTTTGGATGCGACATTTACGACTTCCATGCGGATTCTAACCGCTATTACGACACTGGGTAAGACGCATTTCACAACAACGCGTACCTCATCCCTCTTCCCAGAAGCAGCCTAGCCAGGCACCCTGGAGATGGCTTGCGTAGCAATTAGGACCATTTCGAGATCTACTCGGCAAACAGCTGTACAAAACATCTGGATAAAACACTGTTTCTGGCGGACACGAGGATCAGGATCTTTTCTTCTGAGACACAATTCAGCCTCATGAGCAAATTGGCGACAGTAAAACTTGCTTGTTTCTGCTGCCTGTGCTTGGTGCCTGCGCCATAGCTATAAGGACCTCCTTCTGGCCTCTTCACATCATTTCCACATGCACTAGAGCTTTGCCGACCCACAACTGACGGCAACCAGCATGGATCCATCTCGATATCGCCAGGCATATGCGGCGATGCTGCATACAACACAGCTAATAGAAGAGCGTTTGAATCAGGATTCTGAAAGCAAGGAGGAAAATGCAGGCCAAGAAGTCATACCCAAAGCGGCTTTCCAAGAGCAAGACCCTGATGGTATGGACTGGGAACCTACAGAATCGAAGACTCCCCCAGTCGAATGTGGACCACCTAAGCCTTTGTCCGAAAAGATGCGCCAGTTTCTGCCCGGTGCAGGAGAGGGAGACTTGCGGGCTGAAGATCGTGGCGAGAACGCTGTACTTCTGCATAAGCTCAAGGAAGGTGTTATCGTGGATGCTTGTATAGACAAGCTAGTTCGAGACTTACCCGACGTCATGAGCCATGATGACGTGTTGTCTTTTACACCTTCAACTATTGAGGTCCCCAAGGATTTCGGTCTTCAGCTCAGCATTTCGATCAACCATCATCTAGCTCAAGTGGCAGATCGTAAGGCTCTCGAAAAATACCGAAGATTACTCGGCCACCGCAAAGACGCATCAAAACGAAAACAAATCCGGCTGGGTTTCGATCCTGTAGAGCTTATCAAGAAGCAAGCAGTTACATTTTCAGAAACCATTCAAGATCCAGTGTGCACGCTCGACAACGAGATTCACAATATCTTCCGCGTTGACAACTGGCATGGCTGTTCCGATGCGATATACGAAGTGCTGAAACCTGCATTGCGGCTGGCTACTCAATTCATGACGTCCCGCGCAACCGCGCACTTCTGGCAGACACTAGTGTTCGGTAAGCGCGAGGCATGCGAAGACACCTCGAAGCTGTATGGACAGCCATGTTTCCGGATTCGAGAAACTGTTACCTGGGCAGAAGAACGTCAAGAGACCTTCAAAAACTTTCTGGAGAATCAAATCGACACAGTACACTTCTACTTCCACCACGACCCTCTGCCACCGGAAACTGCATACGCATCGATGGGCTTAGTCAAGGACTACAAGAATGGGTTGATGCGGAAACTTAATGAGAAATGCCACACAAGTCGCATTTGCCTGCACTCCGATTTCTACACGACTGCGAAGAAACTGAGCTTATTGCAATATCCGGAGCCTGCGATGGTCTTGCGCTTCAACTTCTTTCTCGCCATTTGTCTTGCGCATGAGATCTCTCATTTCTGCGAGGTATCTGGGCCGCATCACGACCATCCGTTGCTGTCAGAGCCAGAGGTATTCTTCGGGGATAACATGTGGACTGAGAGCGGCATTGCTTTTGAGTTGAAAGTGTTCGGTGGGCGCATCCATCCACTCTCCAGCCGTATCGACTGCAGCTTTGGGCTGGCCTGTCTCGATTATCCATTGAAGGAGCTTTACGACAAGGATGATAACATCCTGTATGCTCTGCCCATGGACTATATCCTGAAGCTCCAGCAAAAGGCGACTTGGGAGCAGGACTTTAGCGGATGTGGGACGGACGTCTTCTTCGTACCACGCACAGGTGGGCGGTCATACGAAATCAACGGTACGAATCTCATGATTTGGGAAGACGAGAGTGATGCCGACATTTCCGACCACGTCGATGGGCAAGACACCGAGTGGCAACGCATGGACGATGGATCGATTGCGAAGAATCCAAACTCCGGTAACCGCAGGCCGCAGCGACAGCATGCAGCTCATCGCTGGGGTCCATACAACCACAAGCGGAAGAACACGGGTGAAGCAGAGTCTATCGTTGCCAAAGCAGAGGTGGAGAACGTTGACGAGGTTGTCAAAACTGCAGCGGGAGAACAAAAGCAGCCGGTACAGGCAGAGGCGGTGGAGCTTGCAGAGGAAATCAAGGTGGCGGTGCCGGATCAGGATATGCTTTGAAGCAAGCTGTATCAACTTGGGAAGGGTGTTGTTCGCATTGTTACACTTGCACTTGTTGCATTAGCATCTAGCATCGGCGTTTTTGGATAGCATAGCATTTCTGGGAGCAAACGTGCGTGGAAATCACATTGTTATATCAGGTTTGTCCCACCCGAGAACTCTATATCCGAGTGCCCGCGCTTCATCATTCAGGAACGTTCCGTTGTCCGTATGCTCACCCCAGGTCCTAGCATTAACCCCACTTTCCTGCTGATGTACCATGGTACCAGCCTCATAATTACATTGCCTTTTTCTTCCCTTTCAGAATCGCATATTCTTCAGACAAAGCATTGAAGAAAACGCCAAAATGGTTGTAGACGATGAAAACTTTCGAAGAGATCGCCCGCCTCTATGATCCTATGGAAAGACGAATGCTCAAGGCCAATTCCTATCGACAAGCTCGTCATTTATAACGAAGCAAAAAAGGTCTCCCAGCTACAAATGAAGGTCACGAAGTACCCAAGCCCAGTGGTTGACCCGGCCAGTCTGGTCGTCCATATCGATGGGGCGTGTCGTGGCAACGGCACCTCCTCTGCAAAGGCGTCTTACGGCGTATACTTCGGCCCCGAATCCTCACATAATACCAAGGGGATATTGCCACAAAGTCTGCCGCAAACCAGCACCAGGGCAGAAATTGAAGCTCTTCGACAAGCCCTCGATGTTATCTGCCGGGTTACCGACCAGGATTTTACGCTGACATACATCAAGATCGCCACAGACTCTAGCTTCTTGGTCAACGCGATGAGTAGATGGATGGACCAGTGGATCGAGAACGATGATGTTGGCTCTAATGGACAGAGGGTGGCGCACTTTGAAGTCTTGAAGGAGTTGCACGATAAGTTGGACTACATGGAATATAGTGATGAGGGGGGCAGGCATGTGCAGTTCTGGTTAATCCCACGAGACCTGAACGGCGAGGCGGATCGTCTGGCAAACATGGCTCTTGATGGGTTGTAGCTATGAAATCGTCTTCTGAATAGGATTTAGTAGCAGTGGCCATGAGCGAGGCTTCAAGCTGGTTGCATTGGCGACCATCAGATGCATGGGAGACTAGTCTACTTTAGGCCTAAACCGCCATGTTCGCTTAGGAAGTTGGTGAATCTTGGCGTCGCTGCACTGGAGTCATTTTGCTCTTGGACAACAACGACGACCACCTTTACCGCCCCATCCCCGCCCCAGTACAGCCTTCCCGACCAAAGCAATCATGGCGGACGCTCTCAAGGATGTGCCGTTCAAGACGGTCCAAGTTGACGCTCTCGTACGTACGAATTTCACAACACAACCCCGCCGGAAGCCCCGCCATTATGCTTCTTGCGCCGTGCAGGTGTCGAGTGTCTAGGATAAAGGCTGATTGGGGTGTCTAGGTCGCGATCAAGATTGCTACTGCGAGTGGTAAAGCGTTCCCTTCGCTTGCCACTGGTAGCCTGGTCGGCATGGAGAAGAATGGCGTCCTCGAAATCACAAACTCGTTCCCCTACCCCGAGATCAACACCGCGTCAGCCGATGGTCAGAACGACACTGCTGCAAACCTCTCTGCAGCGGCCCCGCGCGCCAAGCAGAACATCGCATATGGCAACGAGATGATCAAGTTCCTCCGGGAAGTGAACGTGGACGCGAACAACGTCGGCTGGTACACAAGCACAAGCATGGGCAACTTTGTCAACCTCAACACCATTGAGAACCAGTTCTACTACCAGAGCCAGCTCAACGAGAGGACCGTTGCGTTGATCTACGATGTCAGCCGGAGTTCGCAGGGCACCCTGAACCTGCGCGCATACCGCTTGTCTCCTTCGTTTGTCACAGCGTATAAGGAGGGCAAGTTCACAACTGAGAGGTATGCTTTGTCACTTATGCCAGCTTTGTATGCGTGCTAATTTGCGCAGCCTCCAGAAGAGCAGCCTCAGGTACCAGGACATCTTGGTTGAGCTCCCCGTTACTGTCCACAACTCACATCTCCTCACCTCCCTCCTCCACCAGCTGCCTTCGGAAGCGCCCAAGGAGGAGCTTTCTTTCCCACCCAACCTAGCGGCCCTGCAACAGGATCCCAACACCCCGCTGCCTCCCCTCTTCCCCAACTACGACGCGCTCGACCTGTCAATCGACCCCTTCCTCGAGAAGACGTGCGACCTGCTCCTCGAGAGCATTGAGAACCACCACACGGAGCTCAACAACTACCAGTACTACCAGCGACAGCTTGCCCGTGAGCAGACCAAGATTACCGCATGGCAACAGAAGCGCAAGGCAGAGAACGCGGCGCGCACAGCCTCGAAGCAGCCACTTCTACCGGAGGACGAGTGGCAGAGGCTGTTCAAGTTGCCAGCTGAGCCTAGCCGGTTGGAGACGCTGCTCAACTCCAGGCAAGTGGAGCAGTACTCGAGGCAGGTTGACGGTTTCGCTGCTGGCGTCACCTCCAAGATGTTTGCGGTGAAGAGCAACCTGCTTCCCGGCGAGTAAAGGATTTTTGGATTTTGTACGTTTCATGACACTTTATCTGGCATGGGCAAGGCGTTGGGGAATACCAGCTTCGCCTGTATGGCTGAAGATGAAGACTTTCAAAGAGGGCTGGCATGATTCGCGAAGCGGGCACGGGCTGCTCGAAGTATGCTCGGTGCGCCGTGGAGGACTAAAAGTGAACAAGCGCTCCATGGACCGTCATGCTCGGGTGGTGTTTGGCGGGCGGATTACGTTGGGGTCCCAAGCGAAGTAGCAGGCGTAGCCACATTGAGTACCAGATCAGACAAAGAATCAAGACGCTTTTGCGACAAAATCCGAGTGCTTCAGGTGACTAACAGCTTCATGATCAATAAGTGACCCGTCGCGCGTCGTGCACCGGAACGGTTCCTGCCCATGGTATTCCTCCTTAAAGCGCACATCGACGAACGTTAAAGCGGCATGTTGGACGCGATGCAAGTCGACGAGCGACTGTCACCCGTGCCCGCGCTTCAGCAGCTGCAGGCACTCCATCCCAACGCACTCACATCATCTTCAGCATTCTCCCGATGGGTCGCTATATGCACAAGCCCACCACCAAGCGCTACCCCAGCTACACCACGGGAGCAGTGCCGTATACCACCACCACCACCACCACCACCACCACCAATACGCCTTGAGCGGAGCCCCGCAACCTGCCCCGCACACGTTACAATACCAACACCATGCATTGCCAGGCTCGCCGGTGCAGTACGCCGCATTTCCAGGCTACCAACATGCCTCGAGCCCGCGATATGGCCCCGTCCAGCAGCTACAAGGCTCGCCACAGCTAGCCCACCACCAGCCCCTACCTCGTCCACCGCCCGTCCGCGCAGCGCCGCAACAGCCGATAGTGCAGCCATTCCAACTACCGGTTCAGCAGCATGCGCATGCAGACACAGCAGTGCAGGCTCAAGGCGCCGATGCGGATGACGCTCCCGCATCCAACCACGGCCAATTCCATGGGCTGAGGTTGATACCGGACCCGCCAGATCTCGAGGCATGGCGACAGAAGCTATTCGATGTGGACGAAATGATTACGCTGAATGAGGACGAGTGCGTTCATGTCTTTCCACCGTTCTGTACGTGTCCAAGAGGGCTAATCGCGACCAGATTCAAGATATATTTCCCTCACATCGACAACGTCTATTCACACCGCTCCACCCAACGCCACAAGCGCAAGCGCTTCGTCTCCCACTACTGGGACTGTCGACTCAAGGGCCGTCCTCCTGGAACAAAGAAGTCGACAGATCCGGACAAGAAGAAGAGGAAGCGCGTTGCAAGGGAGCGGGACCTGTGCGATGTCAAGATCAAGATCACCGAGTACTTTGATCACCAGGAGTATGTTGAGCAGGTAGGCCATGATCCACCTGATACGGGCGGAGACGCCACGAGCCAGAGTCAGAACTTCTTTGGGCAAACGCAGATGGGGCAACAATCGCGAGATGTTGATGGCTGGGACATGCCCACGAATATGGCCCAGTCAATACCACAGTTCGCAACTGGTCCAGGCTCACCCTCGACATCGCGCTCTTCGTCGAAGAAATACTATACGTTCCAGCGTGTCAATGGAAACGGCGGCAACGGCAAAGGCGATGGCGTAGCCGGCCCACATAAGCATACACTCGAGGAGAGCGATAGAGTCAAGAAGAATAGCGTGTTTAGATGGCTAGCCAAACGTGAGAAGGGCGATCGGAGAAAGTCACAGGTCAGTGTCTCTTCTTTTTCAGGCGTGATCGTATGCGCAGTTCACCTGCTTTCAAAACGTTCGCTGCTTCAGGCGAAGGCCACAAGTTACATTGGGAGTCTTCAAACACTTCTAGAGCTCGCAGCATCCGGGCCTGCGGAGAACCTGTGGTCTAGCTTGAAAGACTGCAACCATTGCAGGGTCTTATGCAGTGCCGATCATTTGTATAACGTCATTTCGATGCGCCTCAAGAGGTCACCAGAATCTTGTCTCAACATTATTTCCTGCAACTCTTCCAAAGCCTTACCTCTTCTATGTATCTCTTTCCAAAATTGCTACCTCAATCATCACTCGGTTTTTCAAGACCTGCGTCTACTTTCAAAACTTTACTTCTTTCACATCCCGACCACATCTCTCCATCATCCACATCGCGCTTCTCGTCAAGAGAAACCATTCGATCCAACATGACTGATACCAACCAGGGCGGCGACCCCACCAAGAAAACATACCACAAAAAGGCCACCGGCAACGCCTGGACAACCGTCAAGAACCACTCCCAAGAAAACGACCTAAAGCTCTACGGTAGCGCATTCTGGTCCGTCTCCCTCTCTCTCTCTCTTGCCCCAAACTTCCCCCTTCTAACACCTCACAGCCCCTTCGTCCAACGCGTCTGGATCTCCCTCGAACACAAGAACATCCCCTACCAATACATCGAAGTCGACCCCTACAGGAAGCCCCAATCTCTCCTCGCCGTCAACCCGCGCGGCCTCGTCCCCGCCCTGCGCCACGGCCCCACCTGGTCCACCCACGAATCCACCGTCATCATGGAATACCTCGAGGACCTGCATGCTGGCCCGCCTTTACTCCCCGCGGATGCGCAGTCCCGCGCGACGCAGAGACTCTGGGCTGACCATGTGAATCGCAACGTTATCCCGTGTTTTTATAAATTACTCCAGGCGCAGGCCGAGAGGGAGCAGGTGGAGCATGCAAAGGAGCTGCGGGAGCAGATTAGTAAGTTGGTTAATGCGGCGGATGCGCAAGGGCCGTTCTTCGCCGGCGCAAGTGTTTCGTTTGTGGATGTGCAGATTGCGCCGTGGGTGTTGCGGCTGAGGAGGGTGCTGGGGCCGTATAGGGGGTGGCCTGAGGCGGACGAGGGGAGTCGGTGGGGGAAGTGGGTGAGGGCGATTGAGGAGGAGGAGAGCGTGAAGATGACGACGAGTACGGATGAGTTGTATTTGGATTCGTACGAGCGGTATGCGGAGAACCGACCGGGGACGAGTATGCTTGCTGATGCGGTGAACTCGGGGAGGGGCCTACCGTAGGGAAGTTCAGACAATGTGGTAGTAGAAGTGGGATATGTGTATTTCTAATTGATGAATAATGATTGAAATGTGTATATGGTGGAGTGTATCCTAATTGTAGACACCTCAGTCGTCTTCATCATCATCGCCAAAAATTGCTTTAAACACATCTTCTGGCGCGCGCTCACTAGTCAGTGCCTCATTCTTCTCTACATCCACAACCGCATGATCAGTCTGTGGCGTCTCCTTAGGCCCGTCAGCCTTTCCCATCCACGCCGGTCTCTGCAGCCCCGGCCCATTCGTCAAGACCTCATGCAGCATCTTCTCCATAGCATTCTTCGATACTACTTCTTCCGTCTCCTTTCTAAAACCACCTTCACCGGCGTCACCACCAGGCGGCATATCAGGCGGCGGCTTGACATTGAAGCGCTTGCAGAGTAATCGCGATGGATGAAAAGGGAACGTAGTCCGTGTCATGGCGCCATACATGCCCAGCTTCGCTGCTTGTTCCGCTGGATCTTCTGGTTTCGCTGTGGGTTGGCGGAGGACATTCTCTTGACCACTCCCCGCACTGCCTTGTATCGTAGACGAGCTCGAAGACGTGAATCTCGAAGCCATGATGCCCGTCGTCGGCTTGAAGACCTCAGCGGCATGCGCGAATTCCTGCAATTCCTTGACCCAGTCTGAGATTGAAAGGCCAGACGTTCGCTCCGGCAGGTCAGTCTTCAGACCGGCGCGGAGCTCAAGGAACCCGACGTATCGTGCGCGCTTCGCAGGGTCTTCGGAATACGGCATCCAGCCTGTTGCGCCTTTTGCTAACGCCCCTGCCGCAATTCCCTTGTCGAGAAAGGGGACGAGGCTCCAGAGATCTTTGGGCTGCGCGGTGGCGGCTGGTAAGTGGCCTTCAGGACCGGATTGGCCTAAACCTTGAGGCAGGTCGGCTCTACCAGAGAGATTGGCGAGACGGTCGCGAGCATCCTTAGGTATGAAGTCGAAGACTGATTTGCCGGGAAGGGCCTTTTCTCCCAAGAGTGCCGAACGTGCCTTAGTGTCGAGAGTCGAGGCCTTTGCTGCTTCCGCAACAGATTGATACTTGGCAGGATCTGCAGCAGCAGCATTCTTTGAGGACTTCCAACCAGGGGGTATCTTGGGCGGCGGGTATTTGGGTTTATTTCTGAGTTCGGCGATGTCCGTGGCTAGAGTGAAACCCTTCAGCGGTGGCTTTCCGTCCATGGAATTCCTCGATAGCAGCGTGAGCGACTTGGAAGTATCCTTCTTCCTGGACACAAACACCGGCTTATCAGGGATGCCTGCTTTGGCGAACTTGCTTGGCTTTTTCGTCTTCTTGTCTTTGCCAATCGTCTTGTTGAACGTAATCTTGGGCCCAAGCTCGTACGGGTCTTCGTCATCGGAGCCAGTGTCGTTCAGAATGCCAACACCGAACGATGACTTCTTGACAACGGGCTTCTTCAACGCTGACTTTTTTGAGTCCTCGAGGAAATGCATGTCCGGTATGGCGCTGCGCTCTGGCTGTTTATCCGCTGCTACACTCAGTCGGGCTTCCGACAAGTATCCCAGGCCTTTTCGCTTCACTTCCTCCCGTGAGATTGTCATGATTCGGGCATCCTCTGGAGCGAACATGTGTGCAGCTGAGTCTCCAGAAGCGTCATCCTCCAGGCGAGCATTGCGACGAACTTTCCGACCAATGCCCTGGTCTCTGCGCCAGCCCATCTTCTGCGCAATCTTCACGCCCATGGTCTCCTCTTGAGTCAGGAAGAGCCCAAAAACATCGTTCTCATCCCCTGCACCAGCTTCGCCTATGCCAGCAAAGTTCTGCGCAGTCTCGAGCTGACGAGACTCAGCCGCTTGCGCCAAATCCTCCTCGTCCATGAAATCCTCGGCTCGCTGCGTCTGGCCATGGGATTGGTCTTTGTTGCGGTTCGCGCGGGAAGATACAAAGGTCTTGGGTGCCCATCCTTCTTTAGATCCAACTGTATTAAAGTATCTTAGCATAGTCAAGAAGTCTTGAGCTCGGGTCAGGGTTGGCTCAGAAACTTACCCTGCACTGAAGCCTCCAGTAAATGCACCGTGGAGTCTCCTGCGACCTCGTTCGTCGGTCACGGTCTGCTTCCATACTGGCACGAAGGCGCCATCGTCGCCGTCTTCATCTGGCAGCTCGGTGCCAAGAGACACATATTTGGATGGACGGGATCGCTTCTGGGCGGACGAAGGTGAATTCGCACGTGGGCGTTTGTACGCCATGGTTGATCCTCAGAGGGTGAATGCAGACCAATTGTGTTGAGGGTGTCGTCAATCTGGGCAGTCGCGAGGCATGAAGATGAGAAAGTTGGGAAAGCGCAATCTGGGTGACTAAGCAGCAGTACCGTATTGAACACGGGCAGCCGGATGCGGTGGTTGGTCTACACTTAAACTCGAACTGTTACCCGGAGCAGATTACACATCCAATCTGATACTTGAACGGATATTGGCTTCCCTCTGTGCAGCAGCATTGGTACTGCCGCCGAGGTTGCGATAGTGAACAGCGCCAGTACCGGTGGCTGGGCCATTGTGGGCCCTATGATGTATGCCAGCAACGGCAGCGTTTCCGACAGCAGCCCGATGTACAGAGACCCTGAGGCTGTCAAAGGTGATTTGCTGCTCAGACACAGCGAGAGTTTTGCGTGCCGTCTAGAAGGGCAATGTAGGCAAGGCGGATAGACGCCAGAATCACACAAGAGGCCCAACACGTCGCCTTGTCCAACCCCACCATTTTGTGTATGCCCTGTTCGGACCGCATTGGTGGACACAGCTAGCTCTCTAGTGCGCGGGCGCCGCTTGCACCCAACCATAAACAACTCATTGCAACCTGCCGTGAAGACGCTCTGTCGCCGCGAGTGAAGAGTAAAGCCTGCTCGCCTGTCCGCCTGTACGCCTGCCCGCCTACCCTGCCGTGACCGACCACGGCATTGCCTCCCTGTTCCTGCGGTGGTGCAAAGCCGCTGACTTCTGCCAACGCGCCCGTCATCTCATCTCGCCAAGGGTGCAGCTCCAACTGGCGACCCCTACAAGCACACGGGCTCGACATCGCTATCCACGCTCACTGCAAACTTTCAGCGCGTTGCCTAGCCACGCCGCAATTTGATCGCGTCCACATCGACCCCGGCGCCAGACAGGCTGAGTGCCCGTGAGCAGAGCAGTAGGCCCGCATCTGCACCCTGCGCCCGACCTCACCGACGCCATGTCGACGGCCACGCCAGCATCACCCTCGGTGGTTCGCAACCAGTCGACCCGGAGAGCGCCCCCTCATGCCAGTCCTGCTGATCGCCCCCATCGCTCGCAGAGCACCACATCACGGCCCAGCACACAATCGCACGCCCGCCAGCAGCAGGGCCTCAACAACGTCGCCGCCCGAGACTGGGAGCAGACCAACGTCGCAAACGAGGGCGTCCGTCGCAGCGAGTCCAGAGACCGTCCCGCCCCTACACCCGCCCGCACCGAGTCGAGCAGGAGGAGCCACGCGCGGTATGCATCAGACGCGTCCACCGTGTCCGCCATGCCTGCCAACGGAGTAGCCGCGGCACAGCCCGCCAGCACAAAGCGGAGGACCACCATCACCGCGCCGAGCACAGGAACATGGACGCTGGGAAAGACAATTGGCGCCGGCAGCATGGGCAAGGTCAAGCTGGCGAAGCACTTGGAGACTGGCGAGCAGGTACGTATGTCGTATAGTAGAGGCTGCATGGCACCTTTGGAGCGACAGAGAGTCAGAAGCTTCACTTCGACAACAATGCTAACTCGACGCAGGTGGCCGTCAAGATCATACCCCGATTTTCGCAGGACCAGCACCAGAGCGCCGCCGACCGCGAACGTGCCGACCACTCCAAAGAAGTACGAACCGCTCGAGAGGCTGCCATTGTCAGCTTGCTCAACCACCCCTACATCTGTGGCATGAGGGACGTGGTGCGAACGAATTACCACTGGTACATGCTGTTCGAGTTTGTGAACGGCGGCCAAATGCTGGACTACATCATCTCGCACGGCCGGCTGAAGGAGAAGCAAGCTCGCAAGTTTGCACGCCAAATCGCGAGTGCTCTAGACTATTGCCATCGCAACAGCATTGTCCATCGTGATTTGAAGATTGAGAACATCCTGATCAGCAAGACTGGCGACATCAAGATCATCGACTTCGGATTGAGCAACCTGTTTTCGCCTAGGAGCCAGCTGAAGACCTTCTGCGGAAGTCTCTACTTTGCTGCGCCTGAACTGCTACAGGCAAAGCAATACACTGGGCCCGAGGTCGATGTCTGGAGTTTTGGCATCGTTCTTTACGTGCTGGTCTGTGGGAAAGTGCCTTTCGATGACCAGAGCATGCCACAACTGCACGCGAAGATCAAGAAAGGGCATGTTGATTATCCGCCGTGGTTATCTGCCGGTATGTTGCCCACAACACAGAGATTGGTACTTGCTAATCCTGCCAGAATGCCGAAACTTGATTCACAGAATGCTGCAAACCGACCCTACCCAGCGCTTGACTTTGACAGAGATCATGAACCATCCATGGATAACGAAGGGCTTCAATAGCCCACCCGAGAATTACCTGCCTCAGCGTGAACCTGTCCAGCTGCCCCTGGACATGGAGATTGTCGAGAAGATGAACGGCTTCGATTTCGGCACAGTAGAGTACATCTCTGCCCAGCTAACCAATGTTCTCCAGTCTGACGAGTATCAACGAGCTGTACGATTAGCAGCTCGGAGAACCACCGCACACACACCTGACACTGAAAAGAAACGGGGCATGTTTGACTTCTACAAGAGACGCAACTCAATTTCTAGCAGAGAACAGTTGACAGCGTCTTCATCAGAGGACATCCAGCGTGGTCTCGACCCAGTCAACGCATACAGCCCTCTTCTGTCGGTCTACTTCCTCGTCAAAGAGAAGCGAGACCGCGAATTACAAGAGGCAAATCCAGGAGCTGTCGCCGTGCCGGTGAGCCCGGGCGAAAAGCCGCTGAAGATGCCGGATCTGCCAGCCCCACCAGCGGCGTACACCAACACGTCTACTTTCGAGATGGCGGGTGAGAAGCCCACTGGTGGACGATCGCGACCTCGAGCGCGAACACACGGCGAAGACGAAGTGACAGATAGCCTGAAGAAGATCGACCTCAATAAGCCACCGGGCTCGGTGTCTCCAGCGGTTCTTTCACCGCAAGTTGAGCATCCGAAGAAAGAAGGCGCAGCTGCTGGCCTGCTGCGACGTTTCAGCACTCGAAAACACCGGGGCCATGATCGATCAGAACACCCACCTCCACCAGCCGTTGCAGTGTCTGGGCCGCCAGAGCCAGCTACAGTTCCCAGGAAAAGCTTCAGTATTCGGAGACCAAGGGAGAGGGACACCGGATCGTCTCCACATTTGCAAGCGGGCGCTACCAACCAGCCAGAGCTTCTTTCGCCACCACACAGCAGCAATAGCGCTGCTCGCAAGTTCAAATCCCTTGGTCGCTCTACGAGTGTCAATTCAGCAGATCTGAGGAGGCGTCTCAGTCGACGGGGGCGTTCATCGGAGGACCCAGGGAATCCACCGCCCACAAGCGGATCCGATAGGTCCGACCTCAGTGCGCAGAAAGGGAGGACACTAAACGATGCTGCTTCGGACGATCTGTCCGCAAGTTCGCGGCCAGTGACAGCCTCACGCGCAAAGTCGCTTGGACATGCACGGAGAGAGAGCATCCAAGCCCGCAGAGCTCGCAGAGAGCATGCCAAGGAAGCCAACGTTCCCGAGGAAACCGATGCAGAGCTTGCACAAGCACAGGTAGAGGCCAATCGCAGCCCAGAAGTGAAGCCTGTCTTGTTGAAAGGTCTGTTCAGTGTCTCGACGACCAGCAGCAAGCCTTTGTCCTACATTCAAAGCGACATCATTAGAGTGTTGGATCGGCTCGGCATTCAGTGGGAAGAGACCAAAGGCGGGTTCAGCTGTCGACATACCCCAAGCATCGACCTCCACCAGAGTGTCGATTCACCAGCCTCTCCACCAAGCGGAAGCCGAAGGAGAATCAGCTTCGGCGGTTTCAGAGGAGCTGAAAAAGACCGTGACGAATTCCGAGATCAAAACCGCGTTCCCCATACTCCAAAATCCCGGCAGCGCCCGTCTGCTGCAGACCGTAGCTACACGAATACCGACGAGTCAGATGCAAGCGACGATCGGGACGACAGGCGGCCACGGTCTGGTCGTCCAGTAGCAGCTGGCGAAACAACAACACACGTTCAAAACGACATGGGTGGAAATATGTACCTAGACTTCGATATTCTAATTGTCAAAGTACCGCTGTTCTCGCTACACGGTATTCAGTTCAAGAAGGTGGATGGAGGGACATGGCAATACAAGAACATGGCCCAGGCTATCCTGCAGGAACTTCGGCTGTAGGGTAGTCACTTCAAGCATGGCGTTTACGAGATCTGCAACTTCTTTGTACGGGGCGCTGTCCGCTTCCTCGGGCTGGTGTCCTAATGGTTTCGTATGTAATTGTGAAGCTGGTACAATCCATATAGACAAGGTCGACATTAGAAACGGTCGACCACCGGCCACTGAAATTCTATTTGTTCATTCTTCCGAGTCTTTTCTAGGCGCCTGCGATGGTGGGAGGTTCGGGTACAGATGATATTTCTATGCGCTCTTCCCACTTACTATAGCTACCACATCTACACTTAGAGACTGGCATTTTGATTTTGTGATTCGCAATCGAATTGCTTGTTATCATTCTTGCTAGCGATATTGAGTAAGCGACCGGTACTATTGTGTGAGCAATTGCCGTTCACCCCATGAAGATCAAAGCTCGAGCTCCCGGGAGGCAGCGCCAAGCCGCTCGAGCGCGCCAGTGGGGTATGTATTCACGAACCTCACCTCTGAAATGCGGCCGAAGCGTAGCACACAATACAACGCGCCTTCACCCAACGTCCACACTTACCGCTAGCGCCTTCTCGATCCGACTACTTATTTGCCTACCGCGATCGTTCCTCTCTCCACCTACTACACCAAGAGCCTCATCACGACCGCGACTATTAGCGACCAATGCAACATATCTTCACGCACCAGCAGCAGTACCCTGGCGAGTGGCCCCAGGGTCATCACCAGCAACCGCATCACCATGTAGGCCAGCACGGGCAGCTTCAGGCACAGGCGCAAGCGCAAGCTCAGGCACAAGCGGCCGCCGCTGCAGCCGCCGCGGCGCAACAACAGCACTACAATCGCATCGCCGGTAACAACGGCACCTCTATACCAGGCAACAACATGATCCCCCCGCGCGGCCCTGCCAACGACATACAAGCGAACACGGACATCGGCATGACGGACGAGAACAAGCGCGTTCTTGACTGGATCGCGCAACTCATGAAGCCAGGGACGCGCGAATCGGCCTTGTTGGAGCTGAGCAAGAAGAGGGAGCAGGTGCCAGAGCTAGCTCTGATACTGTGGCATTCTTTTGGTATGGATTCTTTCAACGCGGGCGTATGGAGTAATAGCTAACGACAGCAGGTGTCATGGCTTCTCTCCTTCAAGAGATCATCTCCGTCTACCCTCTGCTCAACCCCTCGCAGTTGACCGCTGCCGCTTCGAATCGCGTCTGCAATGCTCTCGCGCTACTCCAGTGCGTTGCTTCTCACACCGAGACTCGCGGCCTCTTCCTGAGTGGTAATTTGCACCTGAGACATGGCGCAACGGCTGGCTGACCTTCCCTAGCGCACATTCCGCTCTTCCTCTACCCGTTTCTCAACACGACGTCCAAGTCGCGACCATTCGAATATCTTCGTCTTACTTCGCTTGGTGTCATCGGTGCTCTCGTCAAAAATGACTCCTCCGAGGTCATCAACTTTCTCCTAACAACCGAGATCATCCCGCTTTGCTTGCGCATCATGGAGACTGGCTCCGAGCTCAGCAAGACCGTCGCCATTTTCATCGTACAAAAGATACTCCTTGACGACATTGGCCTCGCGTACATTTGCCAGACCTATGAGCGGTTCTATGCTGTCGGTACCGTCCTTAGCAACATGGTCAACCAGCTCGTAGAACAGCAGACTGTTCGCCTGCTCAAGCACGTCGTTCGATGCTTCCTTCGGTAATTTCTGCTTCTCAACCCCTTTGGGTCTCTACTGACATTTCCAGCTTGAGTGATAATGCTCGCGCTCGCGAAGCGTTGCGTCAGTGTCTACCCGAGCCTCTCCGCGATGCTACCTTTTCCTCGGTGCTACGGGACGACGCGGCCACCAAGCGCTGTCTCGCCCAACTCCTAATCAACCTCTCTGACAATGTCGATGCTGCGAACAACCAGCAACTCATGCATTAGACTTTCTTCCTTGACATTCCGGCTTCGGCCACCTGAACTATCACGGCTTGGCTTCTACTACATTTGGCGTGGGGTACTTCATGGCTTGGCTCAGTTACATATCCTTTCGACTTCTTCTGACTCGGATTGCATTACGAAAATGGTGCGGCATGGGCGTTAGGGTCTCCTTCGGATGCGATACCCGTAGCAACAGTGTTCCGGCTGTTCTACCTTCTATAGTGCATCTATTTCATATCTATGGCCTAAAAACCGGCACGGAGTTTGGGGCATTGCATGGCATATGAGCAGTCCAGGCTCGGGACGACAAGTGGATTGTAAAGTATTTATGGTTCGGCCTCAGGCACTGTATGAGTATGCATTCTTCTAAAAATATGTTTGCTTGAGCTGTCATCATGATGTTGTCGTTCCTAATCGCCTACACGGCTTCGACAACAGCAAGAATACTAATCATTGAAAAGTATGGATTTCCATACTCGGGGACTCGAGTCTGACTGCTCGATGCGTGCGTTGTTTCAGTGGTCAGCCTAGTTTGGTTTGGCGCTAAGATAAGATAAGCGACAGCCGCACCACCAAAATATCCGCCGCCACCTGCGAACTTCCTCTTCTCAACCACTCACGCACCAGAGCCACCAAAGGAATCAATCAATCCCTTGGGAGACACCAGCCAAAATGTCGAAAATCTCTGTTGCCGGCGTTCGTGGAAACGTCAAGGAGCTCCTCGAGTACTCCAACGAGACCAAGAAGCGCAACTTCCTCGAGACCGTCGAGCTCCAGATCGGCCTCAAGAACTATGACCCTCAGCGTGACAAGCGTTTCAGCGGAACCGTCAAGCTGCCCACCGTCCCCAGGCCCCGTGAGTTAATTTTACAATGCAGTTAGTGAGAATGCGAAGGCTGACAGCAAACCACAGGCATGGCTCTTTGCGTGCTCGGTGACCAGCACGACATCGATCGTGCCAAGCACCACGGTGTCGATGCCATGAGCACTGACGTAAGTCTCAATTCTGGCAACAATTGCGCAACGGCGTACTGACTTTTCGCAGGACTTGAAGAAGCTTAACAAGAACAAGAAGCTCATCAAGAAGCTCGCGCGCAAGTACGACGCCTTCATCTCCTCCGATGCCTTGATCAAGCAGATCCCCCGTCTCCTCGGACCCGGTCTCTCCAAGGCTGGAAAGTTCCCCACTCCCGTCTCCCACAACGAGGACCTCGCCAACAAGATGACCGAGGTCAAGTCCACCATCAAGTTCCAGTTGAAGAAGGTGCTCTGCATGGGTGTCGCCATCGGCAACGTTGGCATGACCGAGGATGAGTTGATTGGTAACATCATGTTGGCCATCAACTACCTCGTCTCACTGCTGAAGAAGGGCTGGCAGAACGTGGGCTCATTGACCATCAAGGCCACCATGAGCCCCCCCAAGCGTCTCTACTAGAGAGTTGTTGAAGGTGTCTGCTGGGTTTATGAGGTGTGTGCTGTCGAAAGACGGCTCACTACGACTGATGATCTCACGGAATGACAAGGAAGGATGGGCAGTAGTGTAGACCGAAATGCATGCATGAAGCCCACCACAAATGATATCCCTAACAACCATGCAATGTGGTGCTCACCCAATGCATTACTTGTTATGCAGACCCACCCTCAAAATCTCCTCTTCCCACGTCGCGCGCATCCGCCGCAAAAATCATCCACTCCCAGCCCACCCGCCCACCTGACTAAGCCTAGCCCCTGCTGACTAACTAGCGTCCCCGACGCACGTCCCCGCGCGCCTCTGCCTACAAAACCCTCGCGCCCTCCGTCCCTCCTTCTTCCTCACTATCATCAGTTGGTATACTACATGTATAACAATATCGTGGCTCCGCGCAAGCGGCTTGCTGAGGGTTATTCCTTTTCTCTGTGAATAGTCTTCCGTTCCCGGCCCCGTAGAGTAATTCCGACCGTCTTCCTACCAATTGCAATTATCCGTGAAAAGATGGATTGGAGTTGTGGGATGGTGTGGGACATGCCGTTCTTTGTGGCTACGGCTTCTTGTTATTGTCTGGAGGCTTTTGTGATGGCTTGATGATTTATGACGGAACCGATCTCGCCATGTGAGTTTGTCGTGCATCTTCGCCAATGGAGTTTTGCAGTTGCGGACTTTTTTTAAGTGGGGCATATCGCGATCTTTAATGGCGGCGCGCCAACGTGCTCGTGGTGCGCTGCTCATGTCATGTATCTTGCAGTACTGTTACTTGGTAGACTGCTGCCGCGTAGGAGTTGTGAAACTTTTGCGTGGCATGTTCCCTGTATTAGTGTTTCTCACGATCATGCGAATTGAGAGTTGAGTCTACATTATACTACAACGCCATGCGCAAGGCTCCAACAATGCAATCCAATGTACCTTGATACGCTGAGCATCCTTTGCTCTATCTTCGCTGCGTCACCCTCCACTTGTCAAAGGCCTCCTCTGCAGACTCATGACTGATACCACAACGCTCACCCAGCAGACTCCATGTCCTCATCCGTATGATCTGCTCCACCGCCCTCTCATTGCGCATGAGCATGGCTAAGCTTTCCGTCCTCGCTTCCCGTGCAAAGTATCGCCCGGAGTATGGATCTAACCGCTCGTTCACCTCTCTGTCGCGCGCCTTTGCATCTTCAATCTGCCGAAGTACGCTGTCTGGGTCATCTGGATCCGGCGATGTCGCGACTCCAGCGCAATAGTCTAGCACATCTGATCGTACTGCCCAGCTTGGGTACAGTACTTTCTCTTTAAACTGGTCGCACTGGTCGGGTTGTAAAGTCCTTCCTGGGGAATTCAGCTGCCTCGTACTGGTGGATGTCGGGTCGAATCCTCGGTGTGCAGGCGTGAGTAACGCATTGAGGTTCTGTGTTATCGAGTCGTCGATAGTTCCGCGTGATATCCGAAGAAAGTCTGTCAAGCGACTTGTGATTAGTTAGTGAGCTGACGGGCAGAGACAGGTCTTGACAAACCTCGTAGCGCGGTCTGGTTAAAGCAGAATTGTGGTGTGAGACGCGGGGCGGACGAGGGTTGTGACATATCGGGAGGTGATGATTGAGGTGGCGGCGAGGGAAGAGGGGGCGCCGTTGACCAGAAGTAGGACGCCAGATCGAAGGTTGTTTTGGGTATCTTTTGGGTATCGCGAAGAAGTTGTATAACTTATGGTGTTTATGAACGTGCGCGGCAACTATGTTAGAACGATGATGCTGGAACGACGATAGAAGAGCCATGTTCGGTTAATGATGTCAGCACGGTTTAGCGTACTTTGGACGCGACGAAGGCGCGTCTCCGCGTCGAGGGTGCCTGAAAAGTGCTCCCACCTCACAGGCAACAGAGCATGCCATTCTGCTCCAATTCGACAACTTTGACTGCTTTAAAGTCTCTCCACGCTCGTTCAGCATTTCACAAGTCCTACTTCTGTTGTAGCACTCTTTTCCGTTCGCTTCGCGACTACCATCTTCCGCCGCGGTGGGGTGCACGCGACAACTACATTGGCATAGCCATGGCGCCGAAACAGGCTACTTTGGGGTACGTCAAGTCTTCTCAGACTACTCTAGGGTGCGGCGACACATCCAAGTGGCATAGAGTATGTTATAGCAATGCTGATGAGCCTATCGCAGAAAGTTCTTTGGAAACCCGAACGCAAACACATCGAAACAGCAGTCGAAGCTGTCTTTTTCGACCAAACCGAAGGCCCAAAAGATAGATGCAGAAATCAAAGATGAGCTGGAGTCATCTACCGGAGATGTCAAAGCCGAGCCCGCATCCACGGCAGAGGAGATAGAAGTCAAGCAGGAGACAAGCGGCGAAGCGATGGAATTAGACAGCTCCTCCTCAGAGACTGGAAAGAAGAGGCCTGCGAAGGAAGAAGAAGAAGAAGACTCAGAAGATGAGCCCCCCATGAAGCGTCAGCGGAGAAAGCCCTCAAAAGACTCCGAACCTTCGAAGAAGCCGAAGCCAGCAGCAAAGAAATCTGAGAAGGCGTCTGTAAAGTCGAACAAACAACCTACGAAAGTCAAAGCAGCGGTGCTGGAAGACGACGACGACGAAGTTGCTACAACAGCCTTGGCCAGCAAAGGCAAGAAGATCACTGGAAAGTCACCTACGCCTGCACTACCAGACTACGACGGCAGTGCGAAGGAAGAAGAAGAAGAGACACTTAGCTCAGACGAGGAGCCAGAGGAGATGAAGAAAAAAGCGCGGGAAAAGGTGCAGACTGCCCTCAAGTCCAATACAAAGGACCCATATCCTGACTGGAAGGCTGGGGACCCTGTACCGTACGCCGCGCTGTGCACTACCTTTTCGAAGATCGAAATGACCACGAAACGACTGGAGATATTGGCACATTGCTCGCTGTTTCTACGACAGGTGTTGCGTTTGACACCATCCGACCTGCTACCCACTACTCTACTCATGATCAACAAGCTCGCGGCCGACTACACGGGAGTCGAGCTTGGCATTGGGGAGTCACTCATCAAGAAAGCCATTTCGGAGAGTACAGGTCGAACCCTGCAGCACATCAACAGCGATCATAACGAGATCGGTGACCTTGGACTTGTGGCGGCCAAGAGTCGATCGAAGCAGCCAACGATGTTCAAGCCCAAGCCTCTCACTATTCAAGGCGTGCACAAAGGCCTGTTGGCGATTGCGACCATCGAGGGGCAGGGTGCGCAAGGACGAAAAGTTGATGGCATCAAGAAGCTACTTTCCGCTGCTGATTCTCACAATGCTGGTAAGCATATCGATATAGAAGAAAACAAGGGTGGTCCTAGCGAATCGAAATTCATCGTGCGCACACTTGAGGGTAAGCTCAGGTTGGGCCTTGCCGAGAGGACCGTTGTTGTTGCGCTCGCTCAGGCCATGATATTTCACGAAATGTCGCAAAACGGCAAGACACCCTCAACGACTGACCTGGGAACGGCCGAGTCGATACTCAAGACTGTGTACAGGTATGTACTGCCACAGCGATGCTGGTTTATCCTGTCTGTTAACACCAATACAGTGAGCTCCCAAGTTACGAAGTCATCATTCCAGCAATGTTGGAGCATGGCATTCTGCAGCTGCGTGAAAACTGTCGACTGCAACCCGGTGTACCACTCAAACCTATGCTTGCCAAGCCAACGAAATCCATCACAGAGGTTCTTGACCGCTTTGAAGGCAAAGATTTTACATGCGAGTACAAGTACGACGGAGAGCGAGCCCAAATCCATTTCGTCGCGCACGACGCCGATATGGAAATGGCGACGACAGCTCCGTCCGCCGGAAAGAGCGACCGCGGAGTATCCAACATTTTCTCTAGGAACTCGGAGGATTTGTCCAAGAAATACCCAGATATTCTCGCAAAACTACCCACTTGGATCAAAGAAGGCACAAAGAGCTTTGTTTTGGACTGCGAAACAGTGGCCTGGGACATGGTCGAAAAGAAAGTCCTGCCATTCCAACAGCTCATGACCCGTAAGAAGGAAGGATGTTAAGGTCGAGGATGTGAAAGTCAAGGTCTGCGTCTTTGCCTTTGACATACTCTACCTCAACGGTGAAGCATTGGTCAACAAGTCTTTCCGTGAGCGCCGCGAACACCTCCAAGATGCATTCATTCCTGTGGAGGGCGAATTCGCTCTTGCCCAAATATGAGCAACACCAACGAACTGGAGGCAATTCAGATATTGCTTGAAGACTCAGTGAAAGCGTCCTGCGAGGGTCTAATGGTGAAGATGCTTGACGGCCCGGAATCCTCATATGAGCCATCCAAGCGATCTCAAAACTGGCTGAAGGTCAAGAAAGACTACCTTGCTGGCGTTGGCGACTCACTCGATCTTGTGGTTTTGGGAGCGTACTTCGGCAAAGGCAAGAGAACCAGCTGGTACGGAGCTTTCTTGCTCGCGTGCTACAATCCTAACACACAGAACTACGAGTCGGTCTGCAACATCGGTACTGGCTTTTCCGAAGCTATTCTCGAGACCCTACATGAGCAGTTGTCGGAAATCGTCATTGACAAGCCAAAGCCGTTCTACACGCACTCCGTGGGCAACAAGGACCAGCCTGATGTATGGTTTGAGCCGCGCTACGTGTGGGAAGTCAAGACTGCAGACCTCACTCTATCACCAAGATATCGGGCTGCAGCTGACGAGGTCTCTGGTGGCGGCAAGGGTATCAGTTTACGTTTTCCCCGTTTCATCAAGGAAAGGGACGATAAAAAGCCAGATCAGGCGTCCACATCGAAGATGATCGCGGAGATGTATCAACGGCAGGAGAGCGTATCCAAGACCAAAGGCCCAAGTGCGGATGATGATTTCGAGTACTAGATAGAATGAAGATAGTCATGTATCACAAACAAGGGATCGACGTGCCAGATTCTGGTACATGATCCGATCTTGTGCATGTATTGCGCCAGCCAGACCGGCCACGGAATCCTCTTGACACAAGGCTAATGTTTATTGGCTCGGCCAAAACTTTCCCGCCCAATCGTGGGGTGTCACTCTTCGGTTTTGCTGTCTTTCCACACGAAGTCCGCGGCAGCTAAACCTGTTCCGGAATGTTTCATGGCACAGGAACCGGCACCATGCGTCACAAGTTACTCTTCTGTAGCCGTTCAAACAAATTTCAGAGCTTGATGAGCTTCATCAACCCTCACAAAAGCACATTTGAGAACAACAAAGCAGCTTTCAAGCTTCATGTCTTCATCTCGGGGTTGCAATTGTCATGACGTCGGTCAAGAAACAACCGAGTGATGCGTAAGCGTTGTGTACAGTTCATATGATCAATCTGACTGGCTCTTGTGCAGACTCACTCGATACTTCACACCGATCTTTGACGCCTTTGATGCAGCGTGTGTAGTGGTGGCTGCATGTGCGAAGAATGAGGTTACGCCTTGAGGAGTACACCACTCTGCAGCACACCGCATGCGAAAAGAGTGAGACCAGGGTTAGCGGTGGTTGACGTGTCGTCGCTGATAACCACAACACATGTAAAAGCTTGCTCTTTTGAGAATTCCCAGACCTCTTCACAAATCGCCATACGTGTCAGAAATCGATGGATCTGTTAATGGCCCCGCCGCAATTCCACAGGGCTGGTTGGCAACGAGGCCCAGACTTGGAACTCCTTGTCATCTTTAGCATTTGCAGCCATGTTCCACGGAGAACATGTGGGCTGGTGTAGCGGGTATATGCATGAAAGTATTAGAGGTGGGGAACACTGCATTGCGGACGTGAGTGTGACTTGCATATCGTCCCGCAATGTAACGAGTCGAATTGCTTTTCGAGTCGGTCCGATTATGGCCCCATCACCGCCCTAGCAGCAGGAAAGCTGATATGTCAGGGATAAGAATCCGCTATAACGGGCGAAGTGGCGGGAAGTATGACATTTCATGTTATTGGACTACCACTAAGAATATTACACATATGCGCTGTACTACCAACACCGTTCGAGCCGAATTGCCAACGAGTTCAACAACGGCAGCTACCCACCACTCGGAATCAGTCCAGGTTAATAGACCAGTAGGAGGTGCTCCATTCTTGTCCACATTCCCTGACTACTTGTGTGAGGGGATCTGCAATAACTTCCGTAGTCTCTATCACCGTGCAGTTCCTCGATACGAATGTGCAAATATGCGATCAAGAGCATCCCACTAGAGAAGCGGCTGACCAGTAGGAAGCCTTTGCATCGTCCCGCAGCTCTATGTGAGAAGGCTCTGCGACTACAGGGCATTTTGGGCCTCAATGTCCGCCATCTGATGCGTCTTGGAAGCTGATGGCGCGGGCCGTTGAATTTCAAGGTGTAACGTCATGGCACATGCCACAATAACTTCTTTGTACTAACATGCAACGGAGACGAGACCCGGTGATTGAGTATGAGAAGAATACCATGGTGGCTGCATGGGGATATGATCACCCTCGGCGCATTCGTAAACTTGAGGATGCCGAAGATGGGCACCCGGAGTACTTCCTAGGATAGAAATCCATTGGCGGCTTTTGGGTCCGTCCAGTCACCAAAGCAAGCGAGGCGCTCCTCTTTGCATCCACCCATGCTTCGCGCAGACTCTACATGGAATGCACCCGTCCAATTATATCGTGCCATACGTCGTGCATGCTGCTGTTGCCACCCAGGTCGACTACCTTGCCGGCTGTCGACAAGGGCCTCTCAGGCGGCGTTTGCTGTGCAGCATTTACTTGCCATCGGTCTTCGAGAGAGTCGGGGTATCAAAATCCCTGCTGACCTGCATGTGCTGCCTGCCGCGGTTGGGATCTGAGCAGTGAAGACGTGCGCCACCTGGGGTTGGTAACCAACTTCCTGACTTCGTCCTCGGAGCACTTTTCACAGGTCGTCCTCGGGTCACAATGGAAACCCCGTCAGCGAGCCCGCACGAGATGCCTCGTCCGCTGCTACGCCCTCTCTTGCCATCGACAGCTCCCCGCGGGGAGACGACTTCGTTACCACCCAAGAGACACCGTGTTTCACTGGCCTGTGCGGCCTGTCGCAGTCGCAAAACAAAGGTAGCCCATCACCAGAATCATGCAGAATTTCCAGGCCGTTTCATCTGACCAAGAACTCAGTGCGACGGACGCCGTCCAATGTGCCATGAGTGCGTAGCTCGAGAAAGTCCATGCCAGTACACCGAAACCGAAACCGCCATGCAGAAGCGCAAGCATGAAGATCTCGAAGCGCTCTTCGACATGTTCAAAACCTTGGCAGAACCAGAGGCGAATGCCTTGCTGGCCAGGATCCGAGCTGGGGCTGATCCAAGCCTGCTCGTTGAGCAAGTCAAGCATGGAAACATGCTCATGCAGCTACTCTCGTCGAGTCAAGGAGGTCCGGGTGGCCTAGGCCCGAAGTCGTATTCATCGTTGTGATGATGGGAGAGGAAGAGGATATCCTGCATTTGAAAGCGGCGGGTCGCGGCGTTTGGGGACTGCAAATTTATAGGACTGGCCGGGTGCTCGCTTAGCATTGCCCACGGTCAGAAAGATTCGATACCAGAGCATGTACAGAGCCGGATCGAGTGCAGCGCAGCAGGGAGGATACCGTACCCGCCCTCGCCGCGTTTGCTACTTCGGGCACAACCAATGTATCTCACGCAGCTCTTCAAGCTGCTAGTCACTGATTCGCTATCTCAGAACCATCCTGTCCACTTTATTGGCTACTTATCCCCGACCTTCGCACTTCTATACCTCTCCGTCCGCCCTCCATTCCAGACCATGTGTGAGCCCGAATCGATGTCATACAGCACATCTCGTGCCACTGTCCCGACGCTTCCATCCAGTCAAACGCGATTCACTCCGCTTGTGATGTAGGCATCGCGGATGCGGCGGCTGTTTTGCTGCAGCGCTCACGCCATTTGGCGGTACATACCTCGTTACGAGGGTGATATCCGGCATACATGCCCGGGACAATCAGCAAACGAGGTGGCGGATATAAGTGTGCGAGGAAGACCCCAGCGGTCTGATTTAAAGCCGTTTGCGGGCTGTCGCGATAGTCCTGAATTGGCACATTGTGACCCTTTCGATCGACCGCAGACACTGCAGAGTAGTACTGAATACGCATAGTAGACGCACATCGACGGAGCAGGGCCAACAGCAAATGCCTTGCCATACGGACTTAATTAGTCGGACGAATCCTTTGGAAGATGATGATTGGAATGCCCACTCGACGTAGCATGCACTAGGGCGCGTACGGCGGCTACCGGCGCAGTAACCGCCCTTCCGACACGGTACACTATCATCCGAACGTCTAGATCCAATAATTTTCAATGCAGCTGCAGCTCTCCAGTTCGTTTTGAAGCATCACGATCATGGGCAGTTCCCGCGGTAGGCTTCTTGTACGGTAGCACGGTATGGTTAGATTCAAACTCACGGATGCCTGCTCCCAGTGCAGTGTGATGTTTTTGGACGTATGTGACTGTTCTATCAAAGATGTGTCTTCGAAGCAAGGATCGACACTTTCCTGGGGTACTCTTGGTATGAAAACGCATCAGTATGTGCCACGGGCAGGGATCTAATTGGCTCGGCATCCCGTTCCTTTGGAATACGTCGTTGCTTGCACATGCTCTGCAATGCTGTAATGATGACTGATTCATTGCTAGGATATAACATGACATTTGATTCAAAGCAGGAAGCGATGCAAGTGCCTGTATTGTTCCTGATAGACCCTACGCACGCTAATGACAACAGGAACCTGAGCTCATTGACCCTTTGCCGATCGTCAAGCCTTCATCCGTTCTGGATCCCAACGGCGAAGGGCTTCGAACGTCGTGTTCTTGCACCAATTCTGCTTTAGAAAGTCCTGTAAAGTCCACCCCCACGCCGTACATGCTAAGCTGCTCGAACGTTTTCTCTATATTCCTCCGAAATCCGTAGACCAAATCCTTCATCCGGAGCTCTTCGCCCAGTGCAGCCTCGCTTCTACAGTAGTGCCATACGATCTCGGGTAAGATAGCGCTCCGGCCTCGATATCTTATCGACAGCTCGAAATGCATCTGAATTTCCGTCACCAGATGTTGTGAGATGAGCATGCTCTCCCACGACGCCTTGACCTTGGTGCAGGGCATTACCATCTTCGTCCGCAGATCGTTCAGGCTACAGAACACAAGGCTCTTGTGCATATCAGAAGGCATGCGAGCCCTGCAGTCAGTATATGGTGGCTGCGCGATGAAGTGCGGATTGACAATATGTAGAAACTCCTCCAAATGGTCGAAGATGAGGTTGCGTGGCCAAGATAGCGTTCCGCATGAGTGATCGTGCCGCCATGTCATTTCCCACAGGTCTTCTTGGTAGTCATTCCAAATTGTAGCAGGCAGTTGGCGGACAACCACGAGCAGAGCAAAAGCGTCTGTCTTGATTCTCGGCTTGCGCAGGTACGGAAGAGCTCGGTCTCGCTTGAGCCACATACGTTCTTGTATGCGCGAAGAGCTCTGAAAGAGCTCTCGCCATATTTTGGATGTTTCACCCAAGCGCATGCAGTCAAACATTGAGAGTGTTGGTTCATGGAAGATTTCTAGCAAGAGCTCAGCGGGTAAGTCGTTGATGGATGCCATGTCTGCTCAAGAGGCGTTGGTTTTGTTGTTAGTATCTTGTAAGATCAGCAATGTTTTCTGGAGAAAACAATTTTATGGCTGATGTAGTTTCAGACATAAAATCCTGGTTAGATGTTTGTTAGCCAAACATCGTACCGTGGTATAGAACCTGCTCAACGAACCAACACTGCAACAAAGAAGCAACGAGAAAACCAAGATCCAGCACATCAACGTTCGACAGAGCCTACTTAAAATGTTTGCAAGCCTTGATGTGGGCCTCGTCGACTTCGCGCACGTCGCTCGAAGTATACCTAAGCAGCTTCGGCACCCAGGGTCACGTAGAAGGAGATGTACAATGCACAACTAGTAATACAGCCCGCCGAGCATTTCCGTTGATTATCCAGAGCTTTGGAGCTTATGAAATCCATTATGATAAAGCTTACGAGATTAGAAAATGAGACCCTCATTCGGGCGAACACCTCGCTTTCAGAGACAAAACTGGTACCCAGGTATCTAGCATCGAAATCCACGATTCAGGAATCTTCTGAGAAAAGACCGATCACTATTGTCAACACATCTCAGTTTTTCCCAAGGTTTGACCATCGCCAATCATGTTCTCAAGCGCCAAAAGTTTCATTCCAGTGTCCTCAGGTGGTAAGCTACCTTGGTACCACAAGGCTGAGCGGTACACTAAAATCACCGACCACACTTCCGCTACCAATGATCATTTTCCAGTAAAGGAAATCATTCGTATCGTTGCTCTCGAGAACGACGCTAACCCATGGCCTGTGACATTTCTTAACTCCCTTCCTGTCAAGAAAGAAAATATTACAGCCTGTAGGCAGCGTCGACCATTTCCCTCCTCATTCTCTCCGGGCAGAATTTCGACATCATCGGCTACGCCCATCTAGTGCTCGTGGAATTGCCTCTCACTTCGAAACGGCAGAGTATTGCAGGTGCGGCAGTATGCGTTCACTCCCCATCATTCCACATACAACCACCCGGTCTGGACCACAATAGACCACGACTGTAATTATCACATCAAGGCAGAGACATGTACACAGCATATGCATATGCGCATGCATCCCTGCATCCGTCTGCCGTGAACCTCGGGGATGAACACTATGTCACCAGAGTGTCGGAAAGCACGTTTATTGGTTGCGGCGACACCCCCGCAGACAGGGTACAAACGCACACGAATACGAGAAATCGCGCGCACGACAGTGTCGTACGGAAACGAGGTCTCGTCGATTCGAGATTTGTTCAGGGCAGAGCTACCGATCGGCTTATGTTGGGCTTTTTGGGATTGTTGTGCCGCGCCCGCCATGAATGCAGGAAACGTTGGGAAAAAAACAAAATATGGAGCTTGCAGGAAGACTTTTGCAGTTATCGTGATGCAGATATACCTAGATGTTGGGCAGGGTACAGTGTAAGGATACTGGTTGGAAGTGGAGACGACGACTTTGCTATGTTGGATGCATATAGCTAGTTGTGTGGGTAGATATGCAAGATACCCCTCTTTTCTATGCTGTCTGCCTGAGTTGGCGGAACTCGTGCAATTTGGAAAGTGACGTGGAGCATGTTACGTGTCTTGCATCTGTCGCTTCTCCATGTCCAATCCACCGCTCGATCGGTAAACGTTGAGCAATGTCAATCTCTCGTCAAGACTAGCAAGACTCTGGCGTCGCCGGATCATAATTCCGGGCCAAAGTGATACTGGTTACTCGTTCATGCCTCAAGCCACATATCCATGCAATGACCGAGCCCAAAGAATGTAACCGGCAGTATTCTCCCGACCAATTGTGACCCATCTTCTAGCCCGTTTCTCCGTTCCCGCGGGAAGCTGTCTCCCACTTCCGTGTATCACCCCAGGCTGTACCACATGTGAGAGTCATTTACTCCGCATCAACATGCTGTGTCTTCCTCGTACCCCATCTCCACATATTGGGTGCCCACAATTGCGCGCTCATACCCGCCACGGGCCAAAAGGAAAACCAATTGCCATGCATGCATTCCGACCACAAGATGGCGCTACCCGATGTTGATCTGCCGTCCAAGAGACATTTTCCTGCAGCCGAGAGAATGAGCAAAGCCGAATATTTGGCAATGCGGCATCCGTCATGAATATGCGCGAAGCTGCAAATGGACACGGACAGCGTGACGACAAGGTATACTGTGATACTATCGAACGCGTACGCGTACCTACATTCGCGCATGGAAAAACAATGTGTGTCCATTGCTCAACTACGACCTTGGGTCTTGGGGGAGGATCTTAGGGCAAGAGATTCGTTGGTGAGCCCCGGTGTTCCAATGTTTGGCCATGCCAGTGGCTATCTGCGTGGGAAAAACTTAGTCTCCTTGTCTTTCATCAACGTAGTTCCGTTGAATTTTAGTGTTGCTTGCCCATGGCTCAGGTGTCGGCTGTGGCCGTCTTACTTGAATTCACAATGTATTCTTGGTTTGTTCGGACAGAGTTACTGCTCACAGTCGCAATCGCATGTAGACATTGGCAGTGTCGTTACGATTTGCAGCCACTAGCAGACTTTGTGGAACCTCGTATCGAGCAACCGCGTCGAAGTATAGAAATATTTCGTGCATTTCCATCCCCACCGCATGTCTGCAAGACCACGAGCAATTGAATCAGAAAGCATCTGGTGTGCGGCTCATACACCAAAACTTGCAACAATCCGCCGTGTGACACATTTGGCATTATTCTCCGAGAGGTTTGCTTTCCGCTTGTCTCGCGCTTCCACGTCGTTGATGAGTATTCGTTCTTCCCGTAAGAAGTTTTTACGATCATGTACCTAGAAGCGTCTCCATGTGTGCCAATTTCTTTGTCACCCTTCAAAAGCTTTGCTCCTTATCATCTCTTTCGGATATTCGAGTGTTTGGCGGGTCCTGATGGTCCAGAATCCCAAAGGCAGATATGCTGCTTTAAGCAAAATGGACCATTCGTTTCTGGTACGTGCGATGCCTCGAAGGATTAGTGTTGCAAGATTGATTGCAAAGAAACGACGGCGAGTAGCCCTTGGACTTTGTCAGTGCTCCACCCCGTCTGTCGAGATGGTGTAGCCTTCACGCCAACCACATTCTCGAATCACACCTGTGCATTTTGACAAAACGTTGTGAATACGTGCGGGATGATGGATAACAATGAAGAGTGAAAAGGCATGCCATCAGACGTCAAAACGTAGTTATCCCTAGTCGCGGCCGCCATTACTAGCGCGAGTCCTGACGCTCGGACGTCGCGTCAAGATGAAGGTTGGTGAAGCTTGCACTTACCCCACCAAATGCCCCGCGCACGAGGTCAACTTCCCACGCATTCTCCCCCAACACCACATCTACACACAGATCCTCCAAGATGTTCAAAAAGGAGTAAGCCAGACACGTCTACAGACCAGGGTTATAAAAGCTAATAGGGAAAAGCATAACCTCGGGCGCGAAATCCAAGGTCAAATCGAGCGCGCAGCGCGGCATCCGCTCCAAAGTCCTCGAGGAATACCCAAAGCTAGAACCGTATATTGAAGATATATTGCCCAAGAAAGAGCAATTAGATCTCGTTAAGCTGTATGTGTATCTCAGGTCTACATACATGGAAGCTCTCCATATCCAGATATACGGTCGCTAATGCATCGTGTGCAGACCCGACCGCGTATCCCTCTACACCCTCAACAACACACCCCTCTTCTTCCAACACATGGACGACGCCCTCATGCCTCACCTCACCCTTGTGCACAAATACCCATTCGCGTTCAATCGCCTGCGCATTGACCGTGGTGCAATCCGCTTCGTCTTGTCTGGCGCGTCGCTGATGGCGCCAGGCCTCACATCCCCCGGTGGCCGTCTGCCAGATCCCAGTTTAAGCGAAGAGGATAAGGAGAAGTACGGGTCAGAGGATCTGGAGGCGGGCGCGGTGGTGGTGATTGAGGCGGAGGGAAAAGATACGGCGTGTATGGTGGGTGTGCTGAAGATGGGCACGGCGGAGATGAAGAAGGTTAAGAAGGGGCAGGCGTGTGAGAGTGGACATTATCTGGGTGATGGGCTGTGGGCCCTGAAACTTGATTGAAGGGTGATTTGAGAGGCTTTGGAAGCACGCGCGAAGGAGCACACAGCCATTGCTGGGTCGTGCATCGGTCATACAGTTGCAGCTGTAGTCAGAGATTTGGCTGTAAGCACGCTATGCCCGCATGGGATACTGAGCTGCACAATACATGCAGGCAAAGGCCCGCCTGGCTGCAGGTTTGATTCACGTGGGTCAAACACCTTGAAGTGAGCTTGGTATCATTGTCTAGTCATGAAAGCCAATCAGCATATTCTAGATGTTGGCAGAAACGGTCCCAACTCGTAACACCTTATTGTGGTGCGCCTCCTCCGGCACCACGTCCGGCGCCTCCCATGAAGTTTCGTGCCCTGAACAAGTTAGCTGGTGCAAATGGTGAAAGCAATGGCGATGACTTACATGTCGGCGATGTTCGGGTCGTTCATCAGGCTGGCAATATCTGGCATACCGCCGCCGCCACCTCCCTGACCTCCAGCACCCCCGCGCCCAGCGAACTGGCTGGCCATGTTTGCGAGCTGAGGATTGTTCATGAGGTTGGACATCATGTCCGGGTTGCTCATGAGGTTCTGCGCCATTTGCCTCATCATGGGGTTCTGCATCAGTCCAGCAAGATCTGGCATGCCGCCGCCGCCACCACCACCACCACCTCCTCCGCCGAGCATGGACGCCAGCGATGACAGGTCCGGCATACCACCACCACCTGGGCCACCTCGTGGCGCGTCTGGCGCACCAACATCACCGCCCTCTTCTTCGACCTTCTTCTTCGCCGTCTCGTATCCCTTGCGCATGACCTCCGAGCCGCCGCCCTCAGCATCCATGCCCTTCTTGTATGCCTCCATCGCGCCCTTCGCATCACCGAGTACGTAGTTGGCCAGGCCTAGGCGCGACCACGCCTTGGAGTAGTTGGGGTCCGCGGCGACGGCCATCTCGGCGTCCTCCTTTGCGAGCTGGTGCTTGTTCTGGCCCGAGTAGGCGGCGGCGCGGTTGGAGAGGTAGATGGGGTTCAAGGGGACGATGTCGAGGGCCGCGGTGTAGTGCTTGATGGCACTGTCGTAGTCCTTCTTCTTCATCGCCTCGTTACCCAATCCCTTCAGTCGCTCAGCCTCATCCTTGTTTGGTCCGCCGGGACCTGAAGCATCCTTTGCTGGTGTCTGTGGCGTTGCTGGCCGTGCCTCTGATGCTGACGAGCTTCCCTCAGTTGAGGCAGTCGTCTTGCCCTTGAGCTTCTCGTATACGTTGTAGATGGCGAGTAGGTTTTGGCCACCCAACGCATCCTTCTTCGCGGCTTCGTCTGCGAGGTCGACCTGGAAAGCTTCGGCAATGCAGTTGGCGGCAACTTCTAGCTGCTCAGCGTCATCTGGTGCTACGGAGCCGTCTGTCTGTGAAGTCTGGAGGAAGTCGAGGATCGCGAGCGCAAGGCGCTTCTTGGATTGGGGGCTCGCCTGCGGGGTGTTAGCGGTGACGCAGATAGAAGGCGGGGCAGACTGTTTACCATGCTGGCGATTGGGTAAGGGGTGAAGTGAGGTTGAATGGAATTAGAATGCTATGTCGTAGCTGTGGTTCTTTGGCGAACTAGGTAGAGTTGTGTTCGGACAATCGTGCTGAGGGCGCGAAGTACCAGGGTTCAATGAAAGATGGACTCGAAGCTTCGCTTCCTTGCAGGGGTCTGGACGAAGTGGGGTGTTTTAAGCACGCGCCACAGTGGCTGGTATATTGTCCATGTTCAACCTACGTCGCAGGCAAGTCGTCTTTCATACCTGCTACCGCGTACAGAAGGTAAGTTAGGCTTATTGAGGAACGCTTAGGCAAATTCGTGCAGGAATTCAAGTATAGTGTGGATGAATGCTGTACGGCTGTTCACCTGTAGGAGAAAGAGACTGAGTAATGCTCGCATTCAAAAGGCATGGAAAGCTGCTGAATTGGAAATGTCTTCTGCTATGGCAGTTCAAGTAGGGACGACCATTCTTAGTTCCGTTTGCTAAACAATTCACCCTTCTGTCGATTCGACTCTGGCCCAGCATACCCCTTATGTGCGAAAGCATGTGACAGCTAGCTGACTGCTTGTCCAGCCATCGTCTCCGCTAAGCTAAAGGCAGTCTGCCACTCCATGAGGAGCAGAACTTCGTGACATGGCTGCTAATGCATCAGAAGGGAGATACCAAGTTCCGGGTGCCGAACCAATGATAGTTATCTCTGTACGCGATGTTCCATATTCGGTTAAAACAATGCCATATTGAGTTAGTTCCTGACCGAGAGACGTCACCGCAGCTCCGCCTCAGAGCCTCATTCCAGGTCACGAGCCTTTTGCATTCAGCAACATCTGCTCTCAATGTTTCCGTTGCAAGGTGAGACGCACGTCAATGTTGCGAACTCCACAGACCCGACCCTCAGCTGTGTTAGCTACTCCTCCAACCGTACAATAAGCTAGCATCAAGACTAAGCCACAATGGCAACAAGAAGAGCACATAATAAGTCAAGATTGGGGTGTCACCAGTGTAAGAAAAGAAGAATAAAGGTACGCGCCCCACATCTGGCTTGTAGCTTTTATTTCGTTCCTTGGCCCTTCATGAGAAGCATCTGGAACAGAAGAATCAATATGTGTTAGGTACAAACCGTGCCGCAGCCATGCATGTGCATACGATTTGTATAGCCGCAGTTGCAGCAAATCTGCACTCGCGGATTGCTTTTAAAATAACGACATGACCCTATAAATTTACATCCTGTACCTTCTACACAATTTCTGGCAGCGCTCCAAGGTTGTCGTGGTAGCCGGTCAGAAGATTGGAACACTTTATCTAACAGTGGAAATAGTGCGACATCAAACAACCATCATGTGCAAATTGCGACAAGAAGGGCTTGGATTGCAGCTTTCTTCTGCTTGCCCCTAGATCTAGACTTTCTGTCATACCATCGACATCACCAAGATCACCCCAATCGTTTGATGCGGGACCCGCGCCAGTCTCCGATCTTGAATATGCTAAAACACCAAATACGCTATCGGTTGGGAGTGGCAGTCCAGGTAGTGAAGTCGCCAGCCTTTCTTTGACACCGGCATCACAGACGCGTCTCTTTTTCGAGGAAGACTGCTCAGATTTCGGCTCAAGCATTACGCCCTACTCACCATCCATACCACCCGCGTTGCCTGTTCTCTCAGCCTGGTCACCAATCTTTCCCACCTTACCCGCATCTCTCCGCTCGGTCCTCTCGCATTACGAATATACCACAGCCCTGACGCTCCTGCCGACTGACCCTGCGAAAGCCGCTTGGCTCACGAATCTACCCGGCCTTGCATCTGATCATACTCACCTCTTGAACTGCGTCCTATCAATCGCATCCCTACATATTGGACGTCTACACGATCGGTACGCTCCAAAACGACTTGAGATGAATGCTTTGGCCGCTTCACACATGAACAAAGCACTATCGACATACCGAACTGAGCTATCGAATATTACGAGAGACAACGCGGCGGCCTTATTCGCAAGTGCGACACTGACAGCCGTTTACCTCTTTCGGACCACCGCACTTGACATGGAGGATATAAGGTCCTCAATCCCACCAGGAACTTCTATGCCATCAGACGACATCGTGGAAAAGATGTTCGCATGCGCCTTACGACCAATCTGGGGTCTTCGTGGCCCTCTAACGGTACTCATGAGTGGCTGGACATGGGTAACTACCGGTTCGATGCATCCCATCACAGCGAGAATGTGGTGGCCCGAACAAATCTTCCCCGCGACGCCCAGAGCCGTGGAGGAAGACGAGCGCCTAGCGAGACTGAAAGACTCATGGCTAGGAGAGCCTTCTCAGGATGTGGACCAAGCGCTGGAGTATCTTCGAGAGTCTTTTGCGCTCGTGAGTCAATTGACTCTACCAAATGTGTATCCGCCCATGACAGCAATACCGTACCTCGTCGAAGACACCAATGTTGGCGTACTTACCGACCGCGGCGCTATCTTCGTGTGGGTGGCGAAAATATCGCGCGAGTTCATGCAACGCATCGAGGCCAAGGATCGAGATGCACTTGTCCTACTGGCTTATTATGCCGTGCTACCGGGACGAGTGAGAAATGTGTGGTGGCTCGAAGGTCTCGGCGCAGATATCGTGACTGCGATCGCACTGGTGTTAGGGCGAGAGAACTGGAGTCTGATAGAGTGGCCTGCCAGTGTGGTGGGCGTTTACTTGGAGAGCATGTTCGACACTAGGTATGATAGGTTGGGAGGCCAACCCGAGGAAATGAGCATGGATGTTATATAAGTGCTGGCACTGGAAAATCTTAAGAAATAATGGAATTGTTCGGTCAGATCGAATGGGTGGAATTCAATGTCAATATTTTGCCTACTTCCTTGAACCGCGACTTACATGAATCGGCATCCTCCCCTCTTCGACATAGTTACATGCAGCATATCCAGCTCTCAGCTTAGCTTATTATAACCCCTAACTCCATAAATCGATGTACGGAAGAGGTGCGGTGTGTGTTTTGTCTACTGGCACACCGACTTCTTCACTGTCCTTCCACAGCCTTGACGATGAACATCAAACAGATTCTACACGCGTATCAGATTATTCCCACAAAAGCAGCGATACTACTTGTAGACGTTGAGATGCACAGACTTGCAAGCATTCAGTCATGCACAATGCTCGGAAAGTCGATCCCTACATAATTCTGCTCTCGTCATCAAGACGCAGCTTCAACGGCTTGATAATGATTGCTATCGCCTCACCTTCTCGGTTCCTCTCAATTGGCACAGCTAGGTCAATTCAAGCTCATCTTGCCCTTAGGTGCACCAACCAGTGTCTCTGTCCCATCGGAAGAGGTGAGTTCACAGTGTTGCTTGGTGACAGGTAACAGTGACATACAACCACTGCTTTGTTCATCCTTCATCACATACATGATGCATACAACCCACAATGGACACGCTCAATCGTCGACTTTTGCATGACCAGAGTGTTGCTTCTCATAGAAGAAATTTTCACAAACTTCAAGCTCCCAGTTGAGCACGCTGTTGGAACATACAGCACTTGGTTTTACATCACTATGGCGCTGCATTCAAAGTCATTACGTTGCTTGTTTCGTTTAGAAGACCTCCTTCCTTTTGTGACAATTGGCACCTAAAGATCCATACAAGTGCATAGGAGTTGGCGTGGCCTGAGAAGAATATCCAGTATAACACAAGCAAGTGCTGCTAGCATTAGCAACGATACATTCCAAGTACGGAATTCATTGCGAGGCACTGCAAGACTCCATGTAATACGTTCAAGCGGCGGAGCTTCTTGCTCCCTTTCCGTATGTAGACACCGTCGTATGAAGTGTCCTACGAGCAAAGATCAACACATTTCCATAAACACTTTTCCATACAGAACAATAACCCATAGTCTTCGCGATTATCACGCCGTCCTACCGGCCAGGCCGAAATATCTAGACTGGAAATCATGATACACCTCGTGCCAGGGCTCTTCGGGAAAGGGTTTCCACCTCATCTTGTGTCTACCTAGGTAGGTAGTTGATCAACCCGTCGCAGTATTGACTCCGAACCGTACTAAATCGACCGTATCAACAGTGTATGATCACCATCTCGTCCGGAGCCCGATACGCGACATACGCCCAAAGTCTAACCATACCTCTCTACAAATCTGCCGATTACGAGTTTAAGATTCCAGCTGGGCGTTGGAGCAATGCTTGGCGTTGGAGCAATGCTTGGCGTTGGAGAAGCCAGAAACTCACCTCCGCCGGCAGATCACAAACTTCCCCCCTCTCTCTCTCTCTCTCAAACGCCCCTGACAAGCGAACAGCGGCGATCCATTAGACAGTTGTTCTGTTGGGCCGAATGGCCGGAGGCTCGCCCCTAAGGCTGAACCTCATGGCGCCGAAATACTTACGCGGCGCATCGGACGCTGCAGAAGCCGTTCCACGCAGCGGTGGGTTTGAGAGAAATAGGGCTGGTCTGCGAGTTGCGCGGAATTTGCCGTGTACCGTTTCAACGACCAAATGCTCCAGCGTGTCGGTACCCGTGCGCTCTCTCTTGTCGCACGGTCTAATGAGTACCCAACGTTGGCGACACGCTCCCTGTGTGGCGCACCACTGTCGTCCGAGGCAGGGCTTACTCACCCGCCCCGCTCCAGCCTCCGCGCATCTTCGTTCGCGCGTTTTCCTTACGCACGCACGAACGCAACGGCAAATACCCTAGTATCGTTATGCGCCTGCATGCATTGAGCGTGCGGAGTTGAGGCCGGAAACGAAAGAGTTACACCAACACTGCTGCGTGCGCAGCCGCATGATCGAGCGGGTGGGAAACAGGGTCTGCGATCACGCACTGCCTGAAATCTGAGGTTGGATGAGAGCCACCTCGCCGCCTGCAGGACGCCGCCATTGTGATTCCTCCACGCCGCGGAGTGAGGGTCTTGGCCTGGTTGGCCCACATGATCGTCTTGGCACATCGATCAGTGCACAAAGGATCTTTTTTGTAGACAAATACTGCTATGAAATTCATCGTCTTTCTCATAAAGCTGTCTCTGTGAACGTACGCTGTACTGTACTTCGGCCATGTCGAGCTACAAGCCAGTTTCTAGAAGCCCGGAACGTTCACAGTCTGCCAGTGTAGAATGCGGCACGGTTAATGTGGATATCGCCCAATGGTGCATTACGATCCTGGTCGCGGGCCGGGGCTCAGATCTTCACCGGTAATTTGTGCACTGCAATGATTGGATGGTCATCTCCGCAGCACACGTTCATTGGGCAGATCATCATACATGTTGCAGTAGTGCATGATCGAGGGGAACGCAATCAGGGAGGCAGATTCTAACGGACGTCTTAATAGATATCAGCCTCGACAAGAGTGCAATAGTAGTTGGATAATATACATCCGTTCGATAGTAATAGGAAGCTTGGTGTCTACTAACCTAACACATGTGAGTTTGACTGACGGAACATAGCAGGGGTGATGTAAAAAGGACGTGAAGTAATCAGCTGCGCGAAGACCTTCAAACAGCTAATCAGAGTTGCTCAATTTTCTGCCAAATACCTCTGCTATGTTCCGTCGATCAAACTCACATGCGGTACTAGAGATTATACTGTGGCGGGTTGAAGCAACAGCGTGAAGCAATAGCAGCTTGCATTACGCACCGAAGCCAAGACCTTTAACAGATTCGTCTTCTCCCAGTGCGAGGCGTATCTCATCTTCACCTACGCCTAGTCGTACGCGGCCCACTCGCTCGCCGTGTCGGGCCTCGACGCCTATAATTCCTGCTTCTGCCAGTTCAGTGGCGGCAAGTGCCAGCCCAAATGCTCTGGCAGCCTTGGCGTCCAAAGATTTAGGCCCAGTTCTGGCGACCTCTTGATGCTTGGCTGGTGTCACGGCTTGCCTATACGGGTCTTTGTCTGCCTCTGCCATGTAGTCCATCTCAGGCATGAGTAAGTATTCGTGAACTGGCTGCAGCTGACTCATGAGCCCTAGCCTCTTGACCTCGTCAATAACATCACCCAGCACGGCTTCACCAATGCCCGTCCGTCGAATCCTGGCCAGGAGTGCTGACAGAAGGACTTTCGATGCCAACGGTAGTGCCCGCAATGCTTGCTGCAGGGGGCTGCTCGTAGCTTCGTTGATCGCCTTGTTTGATAGTCGTAAAAGTTACGACACCCTTGCCCCCGGTTGGTGCCGGACGCTTAATTGGCCGAGCGTCTGTGTCTACGGCACTATTGAGCGGCCGATACGTGGGGAGTGATTTACCTTTAGTCCCTCGGCCGGATCTACTCGGAGTAATTGGCTGCGGCTCGTCCTCCGGAGCCTGTAACGTCTTTTCTGTTTCGGCAATCTCTACAGCGCGTCTGCAGATGTCCAACGCGCGACGAGCATCACCGCTGACAGCCGCAACTTTGCGTGCCGCAAATTGGACAGCGTCAGGATGTACTATGTTGCCTGGTACACCTTCGAGTCGGGACTGTATGATTTGCATCAGCTGGTCGTGAGTGTAGCCGGGAAATGTAATTCGCGTTAAACCTATACCGAGTGTTGGTTAAGCACTTGCCCCGAGGAACTCCGGAAGGAAGGGGTTACTGCAATCACGGTCTGATAGCACCGCAGAGGTAGCTGAGAAGATCCCAGTGTTCCCCAAGGGGTTTGTTTTCTCGTTGAAGGGACCATAATTGATGCGCAGGGCGAATGCATAAACGACAGGGTGTGGGGTAAGGATGGAGTTGCCTGTACGTACCTAGACGACTGCTGATCTTGTTGCTAAGAGTTCGCTCGGGAAGATCCATCGTGTTTGCAACGGCGAGGACAATCAACCTACTGTGGCGTAGCCCCGGCCAATTAAAAAAATTGTACATGACAGATTGGTTTTTGGTAACAAGCTGATCGAGCTCGTCCATGAGGACGACGCATGGCACTCGACGAGGACTTGGAGTCGAGAACTCCCTTTCCAGCAGTTCTAGCGCATGTGCAGGACTTACTCTGTCGCCACGGAGTGCTTGCCATAGCAGCGAGTACGACTGGTGAGGATCCGTGACCTTCATGCCATTGATCTCAACGAAAATGAAATCATCTAACTCCTCGGCTTGTACCGAGGCGTGCAGTTGTGCCACAACCTCTCTGACAGTAGCTGTCTTGCCTGTCCCTGGGGTGCCGGAGATGTAGATGCATGAACCCGATCCGTCTGTAATTGCCGCTTCCAAGTGATTGTAAACGGTGGAAAATTCCTCTTCACGGCAGGGGAGTGCGGCAGGAACGGATGAAACATGCAGTTGATTTCGGGCGATTTGGAAGGGCGAATTAAGTGCCGAAGGAGAGAGGACGCGTGTGCCCAGGGGTGTAAACTCAAGCTGCTTCTTGATCACAATTCTCTTGTGCGTCGGAGTCATGAATTTGCGAGAGGCCGGGCTCTTCCTAGTCGATGTTGGGCTTGTTGCATCATTAAGCTTCCGCCGCTTCCTCGGGGTCTTGGGGAGGCCATCGTCGTCCGAGTCAGGCACTACGAACTCGTCAATATCCTGTAGGGCCTTCTTCGGCCGACCACCGCCTCTCCTGGTTGCTTTGGTCTGGCTCTCAACGAATGCGACCAGCGCATCGATATCATCGGCGCTCGAATATAACGCGTTCCAGGTGAACTCGGGCGTGTAGGTAGTGGTTCGAGTGTTGCAGCCCCTTCTGCAGACGAAGACCTTGCCGTAGTCCCTTGATGATTTCTTGACTGTTCCAGCGGGGTGCAGGCGCTGAAACTCTGCCAGTGACATTATCTTGGCGGTGCCGTTGATGGACGCGAGAGGATTGTCATCGAAGTTTGCCGATATGTATAGCTCGTTCTAGCAGGTGTTAATGGACATTCGCAGGAGGGACGTGAAGTAGACTTGCCGGAAGAAAATCGGTGCGCTTCTTGCTCTTGTTGCGGATCTCCTTTTCTGAGGAGAACCAGAGGAACTTGGCCATCTTCTCGTCGTCCTCGACGTCCTCGTGGAAGTCGCAGATGATGCCGACCCATGCCTGGTTGCCCTCTGCCTTGAGCAGCACAGCATCGCCAACTTTGCATTTGAAGCTACCCATGCGTGCCCCGACTATGCGCTTGCCGAGCGAAGTCGGGGCCGCCTTTCTTTTCCGTGGTGTCGCATTCTCCTTTATGGCCTCTTCAGCGCCTGCATCGTCGTATATCCATTCCCAGGGGTGGTCTTCGTAGCCCAACTCGTCGTCGGAGTCTTCGCGCAGGACCGCGCCGCCCGTGAGAAATTGCCGTGCCTTGTCTGCTCGTGAGCGTTTGATTGGAGCCATGGTGAAGCAGTTGAGGTCACAATTGAGTTGCTGATATGCTGACGCTTCTACAGAAAGTGGAAGGTATGGCGCGTCACGACCGGTCTTGGCGCGACCGCGCTCGCGACTGCTCTCGCGACTCAGCGATGATCTCACCCGTCCGCCGCGGCGTCTGCATCCAACTTCAACATCAGACAGTCATCTGCGCAACCAATTCAAAAACAAGTCGCATTCATCACGTGGTAGCAGTTAATTGTTTCATGGTAAATAATTCATTGCTATCATAGCCCAGGCTCGCACTGAGGTCACTGAGGGTACGAACTGGGCAGGCATCACAGCCTGCCTATGCTGGGGTTATTGCCCAGTGGAGAAGAAACTGACGCCGAACGCCCTGCCCTGAAGGCTAGCGAGAGACCTTTGCCAGAACGACCAATCGCTGAAATGCTGTACAAAATAATCGAAATGCAACAAGGAGGAGACCAAGGTCTCAGAAGGAAAACAGTCAAACATGGTACAGGCCCGTGCCTCCCTCACATGCCGTGAACAGGCTGTAGAGGAGGCGTTCGTGGCATAGAGTTGGGTGTTGTAGGGTATCCGAGTTCCGAGTGCTCAAGGGGTGGCGTCTACCGGGAGCTGTCAGCTATGACCCGATGGCGGTAGGAAAGAGATGGAGATCTAGGCAAAGTATGGCTGTCGAGTGGGGAGCCTTACATGAGCTGATGAGTCTGGGTAAGCATGTGGTGGCGGGATGTCGATGCCACCAAGCGCAGCGTAGCCGACGCCGAACGGGCTGAGGTCCTCCTCGGCGTAGTACTCGCTCTTCAGGCTGGGCACAAGGCTTGGGAGGGTGGTTGGGTAAGACGACGACAGTGGTGGAGGAAGGGTAGTGGTAGCTTGGCATGTCGGAGGTGAGCGTGGTTGGTATTGAGTGGTAAGGTGAGGTGGTTGTGTACGGCATGGTGTAAGCAACCGACTCAGGCGCAGGATACGTCGAATAAGACGCGACGGAAAATGGCGGCGGGCTGGTCGAGAGCTGGCTGTGTACTGATGCGAGAACTGCGGTCCTCTGCCGGTGGAGGGTGTACGACGACTCCCGA